TTAATGCCTTTCAAACGAGCATGAACAGATGTCATGAAGTTTTTGATGCGCTGCTCGGTGCGCAGATAGACTTCGTTTCTCAACTTCAAGTCATTGTCCACCTTCCAAGTAACACGAGGCCGAGGAACGATGATCTCAAGGAGACGAATGGGATCATACTGTACTCGCAGAGCAACGTCTTTGAAGCCGAAATAGCGGATATGATCCCGCTGCAGATCATGGGGGCAAACCCCAGCACGAGCATGCAGATTTCTACCCCAAAAGGATAGCTCTAAGTATTTTCCGAAAGAGTACTTCCATGTACTCTCCGACATTGGACTCACTTGGGTTTCGTTGCCGCATATCTTGCAACAACTCCACATCAACACGATATCCTGAAGACCACGCAATTTGGATGGGTAGGGCTGAACCAGCACGCTGATCTGCGCATCACCATGCACATACTGACGGTGATGTTCAAACATACGTTTCTCGCAGCCATTAACAGTACAAACTGCATTGGCTGAGTGGCACAGGTCTTCAACATACTGCCCAATTGTGAGGTCGGACTCGAAAATAACGTCATCGCCATGCTCATTGTAGAATTCTAGAGCAAAGACGTCCGGTCCAGAGCAAGGCACCGATGTTGTTGTGCAGACGAGGCTGTAGAGAACGACAAGGTTCTGATGTGAATAGGGATCGAACATGTTGGGGTTTCCCGAGACGTAGGCCTCCCATTGGCGCTTTTGGGTTTGATAGTGATACAGCGCTCGGTCATATTCCGCATCATGAGCAGCACGCAGCACTTCCTTGACTTTTGCTGGGGCGTCTTGCGGTGATTGGTGCACCATTTCTGGGGTGATGAGAACGAACTTTTGCTGCTTCGCCTTCTCATCTGTGAGTTCGGCAGAGTCACCGTCGTGATCACGGAGACGTTTCAGATAGGCGAGCCTGCGTTCCATTTCTCGCGTACGCATCAGAAGATACGGAGGTTCAAATTTGACGAAAGGCGAAGCAGAGAGAATCTTGGTCTGGTGATCTTGGACCATATCGTCATAGTACGTCGGCATTGGAATATCGTCTGGGACTTCCGTGGCATCAGGTGCCACAAGGATTTGACTATCAGAGATGTCGCCAGTTTTCTCGCTAGTTCCGTGCTGATTCTCGCTCTCATTGGCGGCCTGTGATGTGATTTTCTTGTCCTTATCGGCTGCCACCTGCGATTCTGTCGGCGAAGTTGGTATCTGTGCAAATTCATCTCGCATAACACATGTTTCCAATCGAAGGTTATAGACAACGTAGATCATGAACTCAGTGATCCTCTTCACTTTTCCAAGAACTTCCTCATCATCGCCGCGCAGGACAATGGTGCAACCAAGTTCTTTCGGACAGCCAGAGATATACATGTAGGTCTTCTTTCGACCACTATAAACATAGGTCTTCACGTCAAAGCTGCTGCAATCACTATGCAAAGTGGTTGTCAACAGCTTATCCATGGATGTCACAATCCTAGTCTGCGTACATCTCGATACGGCCTCCAGAACAGATGGCTTCACATTATACGCAGTGGCAATACCAGCTTTCTCGAGAAGTTCGAGCGCTAGGCCAGAGACATTCTTTTCGACCAAAAGCAAATTTGGGTGCAATGCTGCGATTCGACTGGCCAGGTTCTCCAAGAATTCACGCTCTTGCCTGATAACAGGCTCGAGACTCATGAAATGCTGTTGCTGACGGGCATATTCGAGAGGGAATGTGATGATCAAGATGTTTGGACTTGGGATGCTTCTTGGCATGCTCTTCAAAGCCAAGTTTTTGGTAAAGACGAGACCGGATACGTAGGCAGTATCCCCAGGCCGGCCACCGGGAATTTTCTTCAATTTGACGTAGTGACGGATATCCATATCATCCCCTCGTTGGACATCTGGATCAACTTCATCGGCTGCTTTCAATAATATTGGTATCAGGGCATTCTCCCAACTATCACCGCTAGGAATAGCGGACTCCACAAGAAGTTGATGCAGAAGCTTTCGTACATGTTCTAGGCTCGCTCTGTTCAACTCAACCGGTGGGGCTCCATGGCCTCTCATTGACGAGCTCCGGGTCATCTTAAACCCAGCATGGTTGAGATTAATGGGCAAAGGAACCGTTGGCAAAGAGACATCATGAAGCATGTCCTTTGATGTCCTGGGTGAATGGCGGTGCATGCTGCTTGCAACGCTCAGGTTCCGACGACGAGATGAACGGGGTAGGTTCACAGCTCTTGAGCTAGTGATACTGGCTTCGTCGGGGTCTCTATTCATACTAGGAGCACTTCGATCTCCAAAAGCAGATCTGCCCTTTTTCAAAGAGGCTAGCAGCCCGCCAAAAGAGGCTCTCTCGCCATCACCTCCACTTTTGGACAAAGCGCCCTCAGAGACTGCAGACAAAAGGCTAGGTTGCTCATCGCCGCTTGATGCATCATCAGAAAGATATTGAGCCAGATCAGGGTCAATGATGTTATCTTTGTGAAAAGCAGGCAGCCGGGATTCAAAGCCTGTGTCATCTGCATGTCGGCGTTGAAAAGGCGCTCGGTCTTCATGTGTCTTGAAACCCCGAATGTACTGCTGACGAGAATGATGTCGTTTGTGACTCATGGAATGCGGTCTTGCACTGAGTGAGGACCGCAATGACCGTGAAGAAGTAGGTCGTGCCAGCGGGCGATCAGGGTTGATTTCGAGGACCGCCGAGCGGCGATTGTGGCCTTCGCCAGCGCGCCGTGTGGCTGGTATGGCCATTGTTGGAGTTCTGAGAACATGATCAATTGACTGGGATATGATAGAGGATGAATCATCGTCATCTGCTGATGCCCGTGTGTTATTCCCCCAGCCGAGTTCAGCAACCCGCGAGTTGGAAACTATGGGGCTTTGCTCACTATCCGAGAACTCGGAAGAATCATCATCATGGGCATTGATCATTTTCTCGCAAGGGTTGCAAACTCGGATGCTTCCAGGCTGACCAAACCGCGCTCCCGAAATGAGCAAAGTACATTTTGAATCAAAGATTTGACCACAGGTTCGACAATGGTGTTTTCGACGAAATGTGGTAAAGGGATCGCCGCAGTGGAAGCAGTCTTTGGCATTCTCATCGCGCATCCAGTAGTCTCTGCTAAGCAACTTACTTCTTAACTGAGACAACACACCATCGCCTCCGGCGGTCAGTTGACGGTTGGGCTGTGAGTGTTGACTAGGAGCCTGACCAATTTTGGTTTTCAACGGAGGCAAAGAAGAAATCGTGGTCATGGTCCCTGCTGTGGTGGTTCGTGACATATCATAACCAGGTAGTCGCCCAGCTCGGGTTGGGATCTTTTTATCCCTGAGTTGATCGGGGAGAATGATCTTGGGCGGCTCATTGGCATCCGCACCTTCACGAGAGCCAGTCGCTGCCTTGGTAGAAGGTTTATCTGGATGGTATGTAGCCTCATCATGGGATGAAAGTCTTGAAAGGCTAGTCGAGGCAGATATTGAAGCTCGCGGCTCGTCATAACGAGAAGATGTTCGCGAGTTCGATCCGTCTCCCAAACGCTGAGACACATGATCCTGGATTGACTCTGTTTGCTTACAACTTCGGAGCATGGCAGTTTGGGGCGCGTTTTCAGGCGGTCTTTGTGGATCAGCAGGGACTGATTTTCGAGACTGGTTGTCGGGAGTGTGGGTGGCCAAGATATGTGATTCTTTGGGTTTCGATTGACCCTGGTCCTCCTGGCTATCATGCATCTTTCCAGATAGCACCGGCGAATTGGAGAGATTCTGGCTCAACAAAGATGAAGTTTGGCTCATGGAAAGATCCGCGGCGCCATCCTTACTACCAGTACTTGCAGATTCTGCACCGTGAACTCCTTGGAATGGGGCTTGGAACGGGGTATTGACGGAGCTACTTCTTGAGTGATGGGGTTCTCCAATAACGTTGACCTGTCGCTGGTTGACTATTGGTTCTGCGGCGACAGCGGTTCCGGTGGCTTTCGTCAACGGTGCGATGCCGGGCTTGATCCCTGGGGACGGTGGAATGGATGTCTTTGAAGATACGCTGCCACTCTTGGAGGATATTCGGGATCTTCTTCCCGTGGTTGTCGGTGGCGCGGGATCCTGCTGAGACTGAAAATTCGCTACAACAGGCGATTGAAGCCTTGAACCTTGCAAAGAGGGGGCTGTGACGGTAGGTGATCAGCCGAGCTACCGGCTGGGTCTGAGACCTGTTTGACCAGCGAACGTTCCGATGCAGGAGTCTTGGCCGCAGAGGTTTCGGCCGTGTTCTTGTCTGTAGGCTTTCCACCGCTGACAATATCTCTCACTCCCCCCACAGAAGTCCTAAAGCGACTGTATAGACCACTTAATCCACCTTGTAGCTCTTCGGATAAACCTTTTTCGTCAGACGCAGAGGATGGTACCGGCGGACTGCTAAATTCTTCGAACAGAGTGAGCGATTCGGACTGATAAGCTGCGCTGTGTATGTGATCGAGAGCTGCATTCGTCGACTCTCGCTCGGTCTGAGTCGTTGCCATCGAGCTGCGGGACCGACGTCGGCCGATGGGAAGTGACATAGAGGACGCCGACGGACTGCGTGAGCCTTGGGACTGCTGAGACTCCATGATGGTATATCCAAAGGGTCGCAGAATGACAAGTTAGGCAGAAAGATCTCAGATCATCCCCACACAGGAGATGGGCACCGTTGATAGCCGGTCATTCGAGGCAAAAGTGCGATAGGATAAGCTGGGAGTGGATCGAGCGCTAAAGAGCGCAAAACCCCAAGGTCCGGGCGAGGAAAAGCTGTAGATGTCAAAAAGTCGTAGATCTTCTCTCCGCACTTGACCTCCAAGCTGTGAAATGACGTGGTGGAGCTGAGTCAGCTGGGGCGCGTTTCGCGTCTTATCGATTGGCAAATTGTGGTGTATCACTGCTGCTTCACGATGCGACTACATCAAATGCCAATTCTTGACTCTCAGCTATGACACAGCTCTACCTTCGTCACAAAACTGGATTCGCACGATGAATCCAGTTAGTCCCTGGCTGGCGGCGTTGGCCGAACAATGTCTCTCGTTTTACCTCGGCCGAAACAGTCAAGATGGAATCGAAGTGGAAGATCTTGAGGGTTGCCTCAGCTTCAGTATGCGCGGGCTTGTCATGTCAGCCATAATTGACAAGGTACGGACTCAGTAAATATCTCAGAGTCCCTTGCGACTAACATATCTGGTGTCTATTAGTGGGGACAGGGAGACGGTGATCGCGCTACATTGACGGACTCCAAGAATCAAATTGATGCCATTTTCTCGCGCGATTCGCTAAATGAGCACGAAGCTAGCTCACCTTGCCCGCCTACGATCAAAGAAGGACCCAAAAAGCAACTAATTGAGCTTCTTGATGTGAGGTTGGCTCTTATGTACTCGACAAATTCCCCGAGATCGAGCTTCGCGTCAACCGCTTTCGCATACGTTGGAATCAGGTCACTAAAGGGGAACCTCCTAAACCAAAACTCAAGAAGACGCCGGCTATCAAAGTTCTATTGAAAGAGGCATGTCAGAAAACGCAGAAAAGTTCCCTTGATGCTAGACCCAATGGCCAAGAAGATATTGCCTTGGCTGAGCCTTCAATCTCCCAGTTTGACCAACCGGCGTCGCCCGATTCTCAATTTGAGTCGATGGGATCGCAGTTCTTCTCTCAAGTTCTCTCCAATACCATCCATGACGCACAGAGGGACCATTATAAAAGGAGTCACGTTTCTCTCAATAAGGATGCAATCCTTGGGCTCTTGAGACCTTCTGCTGGCCTGATTCATACTAGGACAGAAACCCCCAGCCTGCCTCTGGGTAGTAGCAACAGCACGCAGTCCGCCTTACCGGACGGAAAAACACCGATTGAATCAGGAGAACACCCCTCATACAGACCGTCGAGCACGCTCGCTGAAGCTGAATGCCCCGACACACCTGATTCCAATGCACCTCGTCCCAATACCAGCCAGGATATCGTTGGCCCGGCAGTCATTGAGAGACAATCTGCGTCTTCTTCGATTGATCTAGTTGATCGCGACGAGACTGTGAATAGGGAAGAACAAAAAAGGATGATGTCTTAAAGAAAAGGCAACGCGACAGCACAGATGCACCTTCGCTGACATCTCGTGATGGCACAGATTCCCAAAGGCTGCGGAAGCCAGGTATTACGTCGTCATCGAACAAACGACAGCGTACTGATACTGGAGAAATGACTCAAGTGGACCTGAATGAAACCAAAGAGATACGAAATGAGCCCGGGCCCGAGCCAGTACTCTCCGAGTTACTGAATTTACCCACGCACCAACTGTTGCCAGATCCGTGGGATGGAATGACAAAGATACCGACGAGTGATGTGCATATCCCCAAAGAGCAAGCCGATCTCTTCGAGCCACTTGTGTGGATCCAACAGGGCTCTGGTGAATCTACGCCGCTGTGTCATGTACCGCCCAGACTTTTAACGAGATGGAACGACATCGCTCAAAAAGAAAATTATTGGCGAAGGAAGATCAGAGAGGTGGGAATCCGACTCCAACCTCGCAAGATATCAACAGATCTGGATCTGTTGCTGAGTCGGAGACCGGCAGTCAAAGATCAGAACCGTTGTCTCCCTGGCCTGATTCCCCGGAAAGGCACCCCGGAAAGATCCTTCCGCCTAACACCCCGCCTCCAAGCAAATCCAGGAACATAAGGGAGGGTGCAACGCCAAGCGGTACTCAATCCAGCGCCTATCAAACTGCAGAAGATGGTGACGTAGATATGGTGAATGAATCTCGTGCTACTTCTCAGCCTGCACCGGAGGTTGTCCCTTCCCGAAGTATTCTTGATGTTGTCGCGCAGCGCGCGTCTCAGTATCCTGAGGACTCAACAATGATCTTGAAGGAAGCAGAATCTCGATCTCAAAATCCTGGTGATGCCCCATCTCAAGAGCACAATCATTCCGATCCGAGCATTGAGATTGAGGAACAAACACCAAATCCAATTCAGGAACCTCGGGATGGAAGGCGCTCGGAATGCCCTCCAGCCGCCCCAGAATCTCACCAGCCCGAGTCAAGTGGCGATGAAAGTGATGAGACCGACATGGAGACATCCGTCCCTTGCGCTTTGGGGGCGAGTATTCCCCCGAGCAGTCAGCCAGAACAGCAAGTAGACAGCTCAGGTAACAGCTCGGGCCTATCACTTCCAAGGTCCATTAGGAAAAGTGTTCAAGTCGTCGAGATGCCTGCCGTCCAAATGACTCCTTCACACCGCGAGAAACAAGGTAACAAGACAGTTAACCCGGAGCATTCAAGCTCCCAGCAGCCATCATCCCAAGCTGCCAAGACATCCTCTCAATCTCGAATTCTCGCTACCTACCGCTCGCAAGAAAGCAACACACAAAGCGACCCTTCTCAAGAGGCACTAAACCCATCTTTACCGGTCGAAGATGAATCCCTTCGGGTGGACGTGCTAGGTACTCAGACTCAAACCAGCAGCTCGCATCCGACGTCGCAAGAGACCCCTCAGTCCCATACAGAAGTTGTGCTCGATTCGTCAAAAACCGCTCAGCACCAGTGGGACTCGTGTCTGTTCAGCTCACAGCCCTCTGCCAACTCTTCCTCTTTCCCTTTTGCTAGCTTTCATCCGCAGCCCATGTCCCAACTCAATGGACCAAGCCAGAATTATATGGGAGAACTGACCTCTCTCGATGGCGCGACGTACTTCCCAGACACGTCTCTGGGTGATTCATCCGGCTGGACCGCTCCTGATGCCGAATCCCCATCAAAGCCTCCCAAAATCCGACAAATTGAAGGCACTGATACTATGACGGCGTTCCAAAGTCCAAATGGCGGGCTGGTGGCACGGCGTCAGAGCTTTATTGACAAGCCCGACCAGACCGCCGAAGCATTTATGTTTTACGAAAAATTCTGTAATGACTATCCGCCGTATTCTGGAGGTTTTGCTCATTTCACCGAGATGTGCGCGAAGCTGCAGGCCCTTCGAGAAAAGGGTGCTCTGCAACGCTCCTTCCTGTGGGACGACTTTGTTATCTTACATCTCGAAGAGTATCAGCGTCACGTGGAAGATTGCGCGTCGCAAGATTTCAAGACATTGAAATACGAAGACTTCTTCTGCTCAAGCTTTGCAAGGCCCCGGCACAAGAAACGAAGCCTGACCACTCGCGCGGTCAATGTGGCTGCATCTCAGTTTGTTCCACCTGATACAACGACCTCATCAAGTCAGCCGCCTCCATGCCCAGTGGCTACCCAGGGCGAACGTGCACACCTTTCTTTCACGGCGAGTCTCGTGGACAGACTGTCAGACCTCCACACTCGTTCATTTAACAATGCCAGTGCCAATGATACTCCCAATAGTCCTAGCACCAAAAGAGACATGTTCCCTGCAACACAACATTCGCCTTTACACCCTTCGGGCACACTGCCTACAGTACAAGTCAAATTGGAACCGGATAGTTCCAGCAATGAAGTGATGGACACTCAAGCTCATACAATGAGCAGCAGTGGGCAAAGGCCTGTACTTTCCAGCTCGGACCAGAATATGGATGATTCAATGCAGCATGACGAAGACGACACACAGATCAAGCCTGGTTTGAGCGATGTTGATATGACCGAAGCCGATGAATCTCAGGGGGCAGATCGCACCCACCACAGAACTGCCAGCATTGAACTTGGCGATAATAGCGAGGACCGCCACAGTTCTCTAATTTCTCCCCCGGCTTCAACGCAGGCTGTCGCCGAAGTCGCCGCTTCCACTGACGATGTCCAACAAGTGCCACCAAGGCCACGGCCCTGGTTCCGATCACTCAGGAATATCTTTCCTGCTGGCCCCGTATGGTCTGATGACCCCAACACGCCCTTTAAGCGCTGGGCTCGAGAAGACCAGAATGTTCTTCAGGAACTCAATCGTCGTGGAGGGGCGAAGATTCAACTCGATGATAAGGGTGTCATCTGCCGTCCTACCTACAAACGAGAGAAGGGCCCTGGATCACTATGATTCCATATTAACTACTTTCTATTCTCCAACTGTATTTTTCTTTTTCTTTTTCTTTTGTGGCCTCCGGCGCTGGTCAGTCGAATAGCCGATGGGGAATATGCACACCGGCGAATACCATTTGATTTTATTGGTTCGCTCTACCGGAGAAGAACAACGTGGCCCTAATATTGCTCAATGCCTTTTCGTGTACAATATCTTCGCGTGCCACAATTAGCCTTAGCGTCAGAACTATTGAACGTTGCCGGCAAACTACAAGCCATTAAACCTCATCAGTTGTAACCAACTCCAATATAATGTGGAAACTTCCAATAACGCAGAACGTTCCAATATACCACTAAATATAACTGCACAACTAAGTAAACAGTGGTTTCCCGGCCCCTTCAACCCCAGGACAAGGCTCAAGCAACGATGAAATTAGCGAAATGGAGATCGACGTTAATCAGATTGAGTTCAATCCCAGCCCGTGCGGAGCATGTAATCGAGAGGACATAAGGCTCGAGCCTTGCAGTTCTACAACAAGTTTAGTATTGGCCCCGAGGCTTTCAACGTCAAGGCTCGCAGGGCCACTGTTCTATAGCGCAATAGCGCGTTGAAGCTAGTGAAACCCACTGAGAATGGCGAGCCTTATGACTCGCGCGGTGGGAGTGGTGTTTTCGAGCTGAATGCTCTAGGGAAAGATTCCTCTTTTTGGCGGAGTTGCATATGCTAGGCTTACTACGAATGAGGCAGACGTTGTGTGATGTAATATTTAATATGGGAGTCGCAAAATGCAGAAAATAATCATTTCCTCTGTATTTAGAGGTTGAACAATGTACATAATGCAAGTTTATTCAGAGACTGTAGTCTTTCTGTGCAAGAAAAAGGCATGATAATCATCAAAAAAGATCCAAAGAAAATGGTCATAAAAGGCATGCAAAAAAAACACGGTGAACGCCTTGGTATCGCCAGTCTAGAAACGCTTCAGAGTGTACATTCAAAAGAAACTCGTAGTCTTTTTGGTGCTTAGACGTGACGGAAAGGCTCGTATGCGTTTTGCCGCTGGTTGGTCATGGGAATGTCGTTGTGGTGAGCGGGAGGAGGAGGGTAGGCAGTGTTGTGGCCCTGAGCGTAAGGCTGGCTACCGAAGGGAGGGTGGCCGGCGCCAATGGGCTCGTAGGTGTAGGGAGCCTTCTCGGCGGTGACGGAGCCGCGGGCGTTGCCGCGGTTCTTGTGACCGTAGGGGGAGCGGCCGGAGCAGCAGCAGGTGCTGAACATCCAGAAGAGAGTACCGGCGAGAGAGAAGACCACGGCGAGCCAGGTTGCGGCGTAGATGTTTGTGCCCATGGAGACTTTGACGCCGTAGGCCTTGGCCGCTGTGCCGAGAGAGCCCTTTGCGATGGAGAACATGATTGTCGATGTGAGCGAGGCTCCTAGAGTGAAGAGGAACGCGACAATCGAGACCATGGTGGTGACGCAGCTACCCCAGCGGCTGCAGATGGCGAAGATGCCGACCAGGATCTGAGCGCAGGTAGCGATGAAGGCGACAAGGTAGGCGATAAACATCCACTTGGAGACGGCCTTGTACACGTTCATGATCTTTTTGGCATCAGTGCCGAGTGCGCTTGCAGCGTTGGTGTTCTCCAGGCCAAAGAGCGAAAGGGGGTCGAAGTAGAACTCGGCCTTCGGCTTTGAGCAGGAGGTGATGTTCTTCTTGCTGCCGGAGATGTCGCCCTCACAGTAACCCCAGAGACCAATGTCGTAGTAATCGGCGAGACCCGATTCATTCTCAATGGTTTCAATGGCACTTGTGAGATCGTCCACAGTGACTGAGGTAATGCCAGCGTCGCGGAGGGCATTCTCAATCTCGGTTGTCGTTTCTGAGCTTGCGGTTATGTTTGAGATGTCAAGCTATAGAAGATAAGGGTTAGATGCGTCTAGGATGTCGAAAGCAGTAGATCACTTACACGAAGGAAATATAGGTTGTTCAAGGTACTTGAGCTGGCATTTGTGCAACCCAATCCCACCATAATAATGCAAATCAGTGACGCGATGGTCAAGACGTACGGCGTGAAGATACACGCCATGCGACCGGCTTTTCCCATGATGAAGTGGTGTGGGGGTGTTTGAGAGGGGAAGATAGTATAGGGAGAAGTGAAGAGTGAGTAAGATGAATGAATCTGGAGAAGGGGGGAGGGTGGTTTTTATCCTAACATGATCATCGCAGCCTCGTAGACACACGGCACCAGCCTCCTTGAAAAGAGGCGCAGGGGTCAGCGGGCCAATCAGGGCTTGGCAGGTCACGCCTCATGTCCACGTTTGCTTCTATTTGTGGCTACCACTAGGCTACTTTTGGATTAGTGGCAAGGCCTTTTCAACCTGTCTATCCCTTCACAGTTAACTTAACAACATCATAGCTTTACTGTGTACAATATATGGAGTATATTCCAAGTTCTTGTTTCTATCTCCCAAAGATATCACTCTCATAACATATCTCAATATACCATCCAAACTCCCATGTGTACCTGTGCCTGACCCAAATCTATCAAACAGTCCCATGGTTTGACGTAGGATCATCATTCCAGTGGCCAAAACTAGCGACTCCGTAATTGAAGCCTCGTCACCCTTTTCTACCCTGAACAGCCTTGTGGATCCCTTGATTATTTTTTTTTATTTTTTATTTTTTATTTTTTCCCTACGCCTCCTAGCTGCGTAATCCTACTCTCGCTTTAATATCTTAGGCTTCTCCGTTTTGATCTTGGCACTATGCCGTGTCCCAGAGTCTAAATACCGCACATACCACGTACGTTTTCCCCAATTCTTGGAACCCACTGATCTATATTTATTTTTAAAAATAACCTTTTCTGGGGAGCCTTACGAACCCCTACACTGTCATGGTTCTAGCTGTTCGATTTTTCCAGAGCCACTCACATACGTACATGTAGATCACCAATTTGAACAGTCATCGGCTGACATTTTGTGTATGTCTGATCGCTGCTGCCAAGATTGATATGCCGGGGGCCTACTCTTCAAGGTAAATGGCTGCGCTCGGTCAATTTGTTATAGGTACTCTCTATATCATATTGATATTATTGTCAATCCTTGCACATGCAGCTTGAAGCGTGTCTGATGACTTTCAATTAGTTGCTTTCAACATCATCATTTGCCGTCTTATTTCCGGCACAGGAGATTATTCAAATGGTGGAAAGTTACACCACAACCTTACGCCACAAAGTTAAAAAGATAACAAAAAGAGTTTGACAAACCCAGTTCAACAAATATCACTCAATGAATACTGATTTTCATTCGATATCTTTATGAGAAGTATATTCCAGTCTTACGAAATGTAATCAATCTCATCACACCAATGTCGAGGAAAAGACGCAACGTATAAGCTTTAAACGGATTGTTATTCTAGGTAGCTATAAAGTGTAGTGTTAGTTAATACCTAAGAACTGTATAGCTTATTACCTTGAGAGCCCCAATCTTCGTCTGATAGATATGAAGACCAGACTGATTGAGATTCCAGGCCACAAAATGAGTCTTTTAAAGAACACTCTAACATACTAAAGAAATCTTCTCATTGATATCTCAAATAATCAACTCTCATCGCCATGACGTCACTGAGGCTTACTCTTCACAATGAGCTTGAAATATGCTACCTAGGTCTTGCTGTCGCTTTAATTGCATTGTCTGCATTTCCTGAGCTCAAGACATAAGAAGTTGAGCACTGACAAGAAATTGGAACTGGAATATATATTGTGGGGTATGTGGGGGAAATGTTCACCTCGATAATATTGGATCGCGAGGTACCTTAGCATCTACCTACGTCATTGCTCCTAGGTCACTGGACCTGTCGAACCGCGTGCCCCGCTCTTAAATTATCCATGCTCTGCTCTTTCATCTTTTTGATACACACATCCTTACACATAGACTCTGTTGATCATGAGCGATTTAACAGAGCAGGCTCTGTGTGACCATGAAGCAGACCGTCAAACTCGCGAGACCTATCGTTATTTCCAACCAGCAAATCCAGCAGCGCTAAATGCAACATGGCCCCCTGGCGAACATTTAACCACTACAGTTGGCCTATCGACAGCTACGAATTCTGCAAATTCAGCTGATTCTATACCGGACGATGAGATCTCTGAGACGGCCTCGATTGATGCCAGCCCTCTGTACAGCCCGAATACGACTTTAACATCTCTTGCACAGCTGGCAGCTCTACGCCTGAATGCACAACGTGCCTTTATCACGTAATTTTATCCTTTGTCTAGCAAGGACCTTGTGCTAACATCTTATTTTTAGTATCCTGAACCGCGACTCTCAGTTCGTATTGGCGGAAGCTACAAAAACGACCAACGTGGGAAGCTCGACATTGTTCGGTGAAAAAGGAGACAACCTCTTTGCTGGAACATCCACATTGACAAACACTTGGAATATTTGTCGGGTAAGACAAAACCATGAGCATTGCCATACCAGCCATCTTCTTGATACTGACCTATTTCTTCGAACAGGAAACTGTCAATATACAGTCACACGAACAACAAGATGGAACATATCCTTTCCTTATCGTCAATGACCTTGTACAGGAGGATCGCTTCAGAGAGTTGCCTTTCGTACAAGGCGAGCCACGCTCCCGTTTCTATGCCGGAACGCCCCTAACAAGCGAGAGCAACATTAATTTGGGATGCTTGTTTATATTGGACCCTGAGCCCCGTGAGGGGCTGTCTGATATTGAGAAGGATATACTAGGGACAGTGGCAGCGATGGTCATGGACTTTTTACAGGTCAGCCGCCAGGCCGTTGAAGGGCGCCGTGCCTCCCGGTTATCACAGGGTCTCCGTCTTTTCGTGGACGGCAATTCCAGCTTCGCGGATAATGCTCCCCTTGCTCGCTCGTGCAGTTCAAACTACAATCCGCCCTCGCATACATCGCCTTATCGTAGGGCAAGCCGATCTGCGAACTCTCAAAATAGCGGTTCCAATCTTCGCGCAGCACAATCCGAGAACGATGACGTACCCTTTCAAGACTGCGGCGCGCGATCTTCAAGCCCATTTTCTACCGAGGAGTTGGAGATTGGCATGTCAACTAGCCCGGCGCCATCATCGCGCAGCTCGCGCCAGGGCGACGTCGGTTCGATGGTCTCGAGTAATACAGATTGGCTATTTCAACGAGCTGCGAACCTCTTATGGCAAAGCCTGGACCTGGATGGTGCTGGGGGTGTGATGCTCATGGAGACCAGCGATGAATCGTCAGACAGCCCAGCCAGCAGCCAGTCTGATCCCGCTGATACCGAGACACCTGGGCCTGTTCTTGCGCTGTCCACCAGAGAGGATCCTTTTTCGTATCGGACGGGCTCTGAGGTATCATACCCAGCTGTCAAACTCGAAAATGCCTTTCTCAATCAATTATCTTCTCGCTATCCCAAAGGTAGACTCTGGTCATTCCATCGTGACGGGAGTTTGTCCACCTCAGATGAAGAGCAATCTGTCGGTGCAAGTCGGAAATATAATCAAACGTCCAGGGCCTTGGAAGCCAGTAAACTGAAAGCCTACTTTCCTGACGCGAGTCAGGTCATGTTTGTTCCATTATGGAACGCCAATACTTTGCAGTGGTTTGCAGGGTGTTTCTCGTGGACCCCTCAGTCGACGCGAATTTTCAGTCGGGCTGTCGATTTGAGCTCGATGTTTGGCTTCGCTTCCTCCATTATGACTGAATACAGCCGTATTGAATCAGTTGTCGCAGACCGCCAAAAAGGAGATTTTATAAGCAGCATCTCTCACGAACTGCGCAGCCCATTACATGGCGTCCTAGCAGCCGCCGAGTTTTTGGGGAGTACCCATTTGGACGAGTTCCAAGCGTCTCTCCTCGAGACGGTAAATGCATGTGGTCGGACTCTCTTGGATACGATGAACCAAGTTTTGGATTTCAGCAAAATATTGTCGTTGGAGAGGCAGAAGAAGAGGTACAAACGCAAAAAAGATCCATGGAGACCAAAGACTCCAGACGAAGTCCCAGCGCGGCTGGATCCACTAGTGTCAACAAACGTTGCCATTTTGACAGAGGATGTTGTGGATAGCGTGTGTTTGGGGCATTCTCATATCCAAAAGTCAACCTTGCCAATCAACCATCTCATTGGCGAATCACCAACTCCTTCTTCCGCGCCATCCAAACAGGTCAACAAAGTTGCTTTCAATCAAGCTGTGGAGGTTATTGTTGATATCAGTGACAATGACTGGTATTACAATGTTCAGCCGGGTTCGCTAAGGCGCATCATCATGAATCTTCTTGGCAATTCCCTGAAGTATACCAGAAGTGGCCTGGTATCTGTCTCAATCCGGGCAACTGAGAATTCAAAGGGTCGTTCCCGACGCCAGGGCCTTGAGGATATGGTTACGTTGACGGTTTCAGACACGGGTAAGGGCATCTCAGACGAGTACCTTCGGACACGTCTATACACCCCATTTGCACAAGAGGACACACTATCGGTAGGTACTGGCCTCGGTCTGTCAATCGTTCGAGGCATTGTGAGAACACTCCATGGAAATATCAGAATCAAAAGCCGAGTAGGTGAAGGCACTACTGTCAAGGTGACAATTCCTCTCGAGCGTCCAGTGGGAGAGAAGAAGAACCTGTCGTCAATGCCTCACGTCAAGGACTCGCAACAGGAGACACTTACAGCACCCTTTCAACTGTGTCAGCTGGACTTGACCGGAAAACGTGCCGCCATATGGGGGGTAGATCCTTCTTGTCTTGGTGAATATCAATTCTGGTCTTCAATTGCTCAGTATATAACGGACTGGTATGGCCTGAAGCTGGTTCCTTGGTCTACCAAGGATCATATTGATGTGATTCTTGCGAACGAAAGCGATTTGTCTGCAGAAGAATTCCAGAGTTTGAATACCGCATTGCCAAGCATGCTTATTTTCCGCGACGGCACAGGCAGCTCTAATGATACTAGGGCGCAATGGTCTCACATTGCTGATTCTCTGGTGATTCTTCGTCTTCCCTGTGGCCCACAGAAGCTCGCCAGAGGTATCTTGAGTTGCCTTAATCCAAAGTCGGCATCTCCTGTGCCGCGTTCACACCCTTCCGAGCAAGAATTCGTGATCCCGAAGCGACACAGGCCCTCAGGTCAGACTCCATCAACTGGCAGTTCTAAATCACAGTCGTCTGAAAATCTAGAACCACCTGTAACTGGATCATCCAATTTTATGACAGCGTCGCGCAGCTGCGTCATGGATCCCGCGAAACGTAATGTTTCTGGCCAGTCTCCAGATACAGTCAGCTCTTCTCGTCTCACAGCTGGAAGCGGCGCTTCCAGCTCTCACACCTATTCCTCCTCTTCCTCGCCTAGTGGATCAACTCCCATTGATTCCTCGTCTGGAGCCAAAAGCAAACCTCGAGTATTGCTGGTCGATGACAACGATATCAACCTCCGACTAATAAGGACTTTCATGAGAAAGTGGAATGTCACGGCTGTAGACACAGCACAAAATGGCAGAGAAGCCGTCGACTTGGCTGAAATGACGCTGCCAGGATACGACCTTATTTTCATGGACATGTCCATGCCCGTAATGAACGGGTTTGAAGCGACTCGTACTATACGTGCGATTGAAAGAGATCGGGGCGGCAGCGTTCGGGCCAAGATCATCGCGTTTACCGGACTCAGCAGCTTGCGTGATGAGTCTCAAGCATTGGAGTCAGGAGTAGACGTATTCCTTACGAAGCCTGTTTCGTTTAAGGCAGTATCGCGGCTGATTGAAGATTGGGAAATCGGACTGTCAAAATAATTTACGGCGATATGCCTTTCCACCTCTAACATGCAAATTTGGCGCAGATATATGGGAAGGCTGGGAAGATAGCGAAGATATTGTCTCAGCGGCTTGGAATAAGCAAGAGACAATATCAGTTGCCTGGTGCGCAACAATGAATCTACACACCCGGCAAGCTTTGTCAGAAAGCAATCCAAACAAAGCCTCGTCTCGTACTCTGAAAATGTCAAGTTCGCAAATATGACACTGGCCCTATTATATTGGCAGCGTCACATAGCCTGACTCTCGCGCGTACTCCAACTACTAACCCCTGAATGCAGTCTCGAACTGGGGAGTACACCCCAAGAAGAACATAACCTGTCATAAAGTCAGGCTCAAAAGAATCATAAAGCCTCTGTAGAGGTGCTCAGCAAGGGAAGGCCTATTCGTCGAGTTCAATCTCTGAACACGACAAGGATTGGGATTGTTACATGCAGCTCTGTGTCGGGCTACTCAAAACTTGAAACAGAAGACATGAAAGGCGGATGCCTTCGGACGCTGTCAACAGAACTGCTAACTAAATCAGGTACTAACCTAATCTATCCAGATCAGAATAAGCGGAACGTCTGCAAGCAAGCACAATATATTTTCGCTAGGCTATGCTAGAAACCTAGGATATCATTTATAGTGGTGAATAACTTGCCTATGCCGATCTATTATCCGATTGCTTGGCCTTATTTTAACATCTTGTTAAGTGCCTTCTAAGTGGTTTTGGGGAGTACTAGTAGAACGCTCATCCTTCTCAGCTCTACACAAGCCTTTCTCCGGTTTGTTAAACTAGGGCTACATTGATAGCAATAGCTTTCCAGGCAAAGGCAAAGTGACACAGGTATTGTGTATATGCCAGAAAAGAGGTGTTTCCTGGAACGAAACCACAACCCCATTGATTCTGGCGTTGACCAAACCCACGTAGACCGACAGATCTCACAGCAAGTAAGGCTCCAAAGTCGACATCATCCCAGTATAAGCCGCACCGCTAGTAGGCTCCATACTATACATATAATCACCCCACCAAGGCCCAGCAGCCCACCACATAGCACCCATCCAAACACCCGAGTTCTCACCCAGATAACTAAGCATGCCAGTAACAGCCGTCTTGCATTGATCATTGACACCACCAGCGAATTCACCCAGGACTCCAACCTTTTTGTTATCCTTCAACCACTGCGTCGCACCTGTCACGCGCTCCTTTCCAATGGTGGTTGATACACAGGTCTCGCTAGTACCCGATCCATCGGAGTCGAGGTACTGGTGCATCTCATAGACGATCTTGTCTTGAGGATCGGTTAGATCCTTCAGGTTGTCATTCACGTCCACCCAGGTCCAGGCGCCTGTGTAGGAGTTTCCTTCGACGAAGATGTATTGGCTTGTTGCTCCTGCTGCGCGGATGCCGTTGATGGCGGCTTGGTTGAGGTTCAGGACTAGGGTTTGGTCCATGTCGTGGTATTCGTTGTCTATGGACGGATTTCGTTGTCAGGGAATACATGCATTGGAGGGAAGAGAAAGAGTACGAACTTGTGTCGAAGATGACTAGGTCGTTCGATGCGAACTCGCCTGCGACATTTTGCCAGAAGGTTTTGAAATTGTCGGTGCTTGAAATTATGTTGCCGTTGCTATAGAACCCTCATTAGCTTCAGCTCGCTTGATCAGCAGTATATCTAGTTCACTTACTATCTGCCATAGTTGTGCGGGTCGAGTACGGCATGGGCTCCTGTATCGGTGATGGATTTGACGACCTGCCACGTTGTTAACATCCACCAATCTCTTTATTATGCATTCGCAATCTAGGATAACTTACCGAGGTCAGGTTGCCTAGATAGGCACTGTCGAACGATCCAGTCAGGGAGTCTGGAACCAACCGTTCCATCAGGAAAGGAACCCGGAAGATGTTCATTCCCTTCCCCTTCAAGGTTTGGATAGCATTGGTGTCGGGGAAGATATAGTCGGTTCCCTGTGTGCTTTGTCAGCTGACATCTGCTTCAATACATCTATAGCCAACATACATAAACCCCGGGAAGGTTGGTCTGTCCGAATTCAGCACCTGACTCGCTTACTCCGAACCCTGTTCAGCAATTTTAATGAACGGCACTATAAGTGTAGTCAGGTTCATGGGGTCAAACATTTGAATGGCGAGGCTCGCTTTGCATGACTCCTGGCAGGGGCTGCTGCAGCGGATCCAGCCGCTGCAGCAAAGAGAGCAATATTTGTGAACTTCATGTTGATACAGTAATCGGTATCAAATCGATTACCTAAAGAATAGCGAGTGCGAATGAGATGTTAAGAAATGAAGGAGTGTAGGTAAAACCAGACCAGCTGTCACGTCTTAGCACTGAGAACGGGGATGTTTTATAGTTATTTCAGGGCTTATGAATCAGTTATTTATTTGCGATTTAGTCTACAGAGGGCTCATCTCAGGGACTAGTGTCAGGAAAGGACACGGAGCTTCCATGCTTCCCTGACTTCCGAGACCAAACGGAGGTTTGACACTGACGGAGTGGAGTATAGAGAAACATTTGACATTGCAGTGTCGAGTAGCAGAAATTCCCCACCAAAGGGAGACCATAGATGTCCAGTCTGGCCCTAGTGATCTTCTTGGCTCTCTACGATTACGAAACGGAGCCAAGTATGTGCCGTGTCTTCAAACCGGAGAGAACAGAAATGTATAGAATTCAATTCCCATTGCGTATACCCCACTTCGTCAAGCTTTCTTCGGACATAGGTGGCTTCTGTAGGCATTGTTTTGTTGGAGTAAAAGATGCCTAGCAAGCCCGTGGCGTTTGGGGCATAGATCGACGTTCATAGTCTTATGCGCACGATTAACAGACAATTGACTTCGCACTACTGCTAGTAGTTTATTTGCGTTTGAATAGAGGATCTTACACTAGGCGGGAGAATGTATACCAGCGAAACGAATGTGGGAATTAAGGATGTGGACTCTGTCCGAAATTGATTGACTGCAGCTGAAACAGGGACCGGCCCATCCGGAGTATATGATACTCAAAGAAGAAATGATCGCTCTGCATGAAACATCGCAGCTTTTGCCACTTTGAAACTTGGCATGGTGATTGTCCACGCCCTCATACTTCTCCTTCAGTGATCGTACTCGTCTACCACGCACCGAGAGGCTTGAGGTGCTGTTTCATATCTGCCGCCTGCAGCTGGTGATACTTCTGGCCCGGGTGGTAGTTATTATACCAGATACAAGAAACTCCGTCTTCATTGATGCAGGTGGCATTCGGGTATCCATACTCCTGAGGACTGTCGAGGATCTTCGTCATGAAGCTCCAGGTATCGTAAAGGACGGTGGTGGTCTACCATTGGTTAATCCTATAGAGTATCCCAAGAGATGAGAATGGACTCACGCCACTGTGTTTTGACTTGAAGCTCTTGATCATTGATTGGAGGCCTTTGTTGTAAGCTGTGACCCATGCAGCGTGAGCGTTTACCACGTCCGTCCCCTGGTCAAGAAAGAGCGGGCTTCGACTCGTGGGAGGTACATTGAGGAACAAGAACTTGCGCCCGCCATTTGAGTATATCTCTTCAATAAGAGATTTATACTGCGCCATCAGTTTGGGAACCACGACGCTGGCATCGTTGCTTGAGTAGGCCCAACCAATGCTGTAAATTCACATATTAGCCAGAGTAGTGATAGATGATCAAGATATCATACTCGTTAATTCCAATCCAAAACCCAAAGACTGTATCGCTCGCAGACCACGGCGCAGATGCTGGCTTCTGACTGTATGAAGTCTCAAAGGAACCAACCTGCGTTGTCATATCTACGTATGGGGCACTGACAATTCGATTGTCAATTGTCGCTCCTCCAATAGCGAGATTGTAGCTGAGTACCAATGAGGCATTGTCAATTGTGGTCAGGTATTCTACCCAGTTGAGACCACCACTCGATGTGCCAGTCCCTGCGGAGCATTAGATGGGCAATTCAACTCGAGGGTTCTTCTGGTGAATCAGACCTACCTATAGTTGGATTCCCCATTGGGTTTGAAGCAGAGGGCTGTGTGCCATTGACATCAAAGTTGCTCTGGGTATAGGAGTCCCCGCTATACTTGTCAATCAGCTTCTTTTCCCACGTGTATATAAACGGCTTGGTTGATCCCTCACAACGTAAAGAAATAAGTCTGTGTAGTTCGGTGTTGCAAAGGCCCTGCGGCAACTACGCCGACACCGGCCATAATACTAATAAGATGCTTCATGATGTAGAATAATTGATATGTGTACGGGGTATCAAAAAAGGAAAGAAATTGTTACAGGTGTGCACATTCTGCCATAGCTCTTCCCTTATGTACTCACCCCTCGTTTCCGTTTCTTTTTGGGACCTCACTCTAATTAGATTGTAACATGCAGTGAGATCCTGGAAATAATTTCGCCGGTCTCTAATTATCCTCGATTATCAATCGGGTTGTCGCTCTGAATCACGGCTCCATCACCAGATTTAGCCGGTTGAGTAGGATGAAAACGCCCTAGACTGCGGGGTTGACACTGGCATGGGAGTCAATTCTGCAGAACATGAACAGCTAGACCTCGCATGTTGGAATGCAAATGCAATGCTGCCCAGTCATCTGGGGTCTTTGCGGGGACGACCTTGCCCTTTTAGACACGGGCATGCTATGCAGCTGTCAACGTCCTTTTTTGTTTCGATTCTCCCGGGAGATCGGTTATAATATGTGCCATTGAAGTTTTATGTACATCAAACATCACGTCGTCATAATGCAAGTCGAGTTCATTACAACTTGACACCGAACATCTCCATGCCAACACCACCTACCACGATCTTCGGCTGGTTCTCTTTCAAAGAAGAAACATCAGTTTCTGCAGAAATGTCACGCCCAGATCCGTGTATAAGCCCCAATGACGATACATCGGCCACGGAGCTGTATCTGTCCAATAAGAACTCGACAGTGATCCCCCGCGTGCCAAGCTGCTGGGGATCCACGGTAATCGACCAAATCTTGACTCGGTGATCATTTCCAGAGGATGCGACAGTGATATTTGCGAATTCGGTGTTTGAGGCAACATCCCGGGACACCTGTTGACTGAGTACTTTAACGGCGGTCACTGCCGCTGCATGTGCATCGGAATGGACACCGTAGTGACCTGCGCACTAGGGCTTGGATCAGACGGCGTCGTGAGAAGAGAGATAGAAATAGAATTGTCATCGCCTCCAGCCACAATAACAGTGTTTGTGTCGGAAATGGGTAGTAGTTCCAGCGACTTGATGCTGTTGGAATGAATCAAATATCGGCTCTCGCATGTGATGTTTTCTGGCGAGAAAGATGAGCCATCAAAGGGCTTTTTGGCCTTCAAAGTTGAATGGGTGATTGTGTAGAATGGGTTGAGTGTGCTGGTCAAATCCCAGAACGTGAAGTGGCCATCAGTGGCTGCACTGATAAGGCTCACGGACGAGGTTTTCACCAGAAAGTGCGCTTGGGTCAAACAGTTGGTCGTGTATCGGCCGGAAGCCAGAAGAGTGAACTTCCCCTCGTCAGATGGCGAAAAGTGGAAGATCTAACACGGCGTTAGCATTGACTCAAGAACAAATTGGGAGATTATGATCGGTATACCTTGAGAGTGGAGTTCGCTAGAGCAAGACACACAAGGAAGCTCTGCTCCCCGTCATGGTCTTCTACTTCCAGTATATCAAAACTGGGAATCCGGAGATCTGAGTTTGCATCATCTTTAGGGCTGGCCGCAATCAACTTTGTGGCGATGCCAAACGAGGGAACTTCGCTGATCCTCCAGACAAAAAACTCTTCATATGCAGCACTGGTAAACAGATACCTTCCATCCTTGGACCAGCTCACTTGTTGAATACCAGATCTGTGTGCATCCAAGACACGCAGGCACTCAAAGGCAGTCATCGAACTAGCAGTCCTTGAAGGGGCCGATCTAAAGAGACGGACGGTAGTGTCTTCAGCGCCTGTGGCAAGCAGAGGCTGATCTTCCCCGATAGGGTTGAAAACATCGACAGATTTGAGTTCTCGCCCATGAGCCCCAGCTCTCAACAAGCAGCGAGCGTCATGGCGTATACGAGTCGTCTGCAAAGCTCCTTGGTCTCTCCATGTGAACAAAGCATCGCTCTCCTTGGTTCCTGGGTGGAAAGCCCAGGCCCGGCGAAACCCACCAGAAGCGATTGATACGACATCTGTCAACTTGGACTCATTGCGGAGAACGAAGTCTTGAGATCTGAAGCCGTACAACATGAATTGGCCGGTCGTTTTATCGAAATAGCCGCCTTCGATGTTACCCCCAACCAGAGACGCTGTACGATGCACTATTTGCATTGAAACTGCGTCTTGTCTGTCTTTGCACAGCTTGAGTTCGTGAACGCAATAGGTCCCATCACGGCCGCAGCTTAATAAGTATTCAAATATTGAGCCATTCTCTCCAGCAATGGATGATATCAGGCTAAGGTGATTGACGAACTCCTTGCCATGAACACGCCGATCAAGCAAGACTGGTCGTGAGCCTTCGTCAACATTAAAAGTTTCGAATATGCCAAGTCCGCCGCCTTTGGAGCCGACGGCCAAGTATTGACCATTAAAGACTAAAGCTGCACTCGCCGCCACGAAGGAAGGTGGCACGCCGATCGTAGATGTTTCAACATTGGGAGAATCACTGTTCCTATCGGAGACCGTGACAAGCGTTATCTTCTCTTCTGCCGTATAACAGACCAAGAACATAAACCCCTTCGATGAGGTTTCGATCTCTGTTGAGTGAGCTTCAAGGAAGAATAGATTAAGAGGTCGTGTGCCAAGTTCTGTGATTTTAACAATCGACTTCGTACTGTGATTGTACAATCGAATCAGTCCTCTGGCATTGCTGATCAATGCTAGGCCTTTCCGAGGCTCACTAGCTATCAACACCCAAGAACCAAGCTCAGGTTCGATGCATAGCTCTTTCCAAGTAATATGCGTCTCTGTGCCATTCAAATATCCAAGCTGGATTTGACCTTGTGCAGAAGAGCCAAGAAGGCAGTCGTGTGAGACAAATGCGGATGCTTTCAGTCCCTCACTTTTGTGGGGTTTCTTTCGCAAAGCAGAAGGTTTCTCTAGAGTAGGCCTCTTATTTCCCCGGAATAGATCGTCGTTCTCTTCAATGGCAAAACTTTTCAATGCACCATCGGCACCTCCGGTGTAAACAATAGTTTCAGAGCCAATTCTGCAAAGATCCAGGGACCAAATATGCTTTCCATAATGAGGATGCAACGAAGAGGCCTGATTGAGCTGATATTGTGTTGGTCCTGCGGATGTTGATTGCCAGCTGAGGTTCCACATAATGCATGTAGAATCTTCACCACGAGACACGAGCCCCATTCCGGTTTGATCATCATGTTGAATGGATCTGAAATGAACGCCCCAAATGCGGGCTATGTGCCCAAATGCCTGGACCACACATGACTCGGATCCAACACCTTGCTCGCCTTCTTCAACGGGACCAAAACCTGTGCTTCGCAGGTCATATCCGTCTGTAGAGTATGCAGAAGGATCTTGGGCGGTTTTCCGCTCACAATCTGAGATATCCCAGATTCTCACGGTTCTATCATCACTGCAGCTGGCGAGAAGTCGACCAGATTGCCCTGCGTTCAAGGATGCAATTTTAGGAGAGATTCGAACGTCAAAGATCGAGCCGTCATGCCCTGTGAAGAAATGGTGGATGGAAGCAACGGCATTGGCCTGGCGCGTCTCACTGCCATTTAAGAAGCACGACCATACAATAATTTCTCCAAAGACAGTCCCGGAAGCCATGAGAACGTGAGAAGGAGAGAGAGCAATCACATGGGCAGAGTAAAGGATTGACTTCACACTCGTCGCCAGCTGGTGTATGGAGATGACTGTCTCCCTTGCCGAGTTTCCACAGTCGAGCAGCTCCAATCCAATAATTGCGTTGTTTGCAGTGATCATGAATGCTCCATGGTGACCATTTTCAGCAGATGCACATCCGCTCATGATCCAGTCCGGGGCAAGGAACTCGGCACTGGATATCGACAGGGACACTTCAGCGCCAGGTCCCATGAGAAGATCAATGGCCCGTACTGAGCTTCCACCCCAGACGATGATTTGAACACGACCTGTGCCATGGTCCTGTGGCCGTTGGTTCAGAGTAATAAAACCATGAACATTGTTTCTTTTGAATGCCTGGATTTGCGCAGAAACGACACCACTGGCATCGTTAATAACGCGGAAGAAAGAGCCCTGGCCTTCGAAGACGAATCTCTTATCATCCCAGCCAAACGCCTTCAATGCTGTTACCGGGAGGCAAGCATCAATATGCTATAATTTGAGTCAGTGGGATAACAGATGACATGTACCGCAGCAGCACTCACCTGGAGAGAGAGGGACATTTTTGCCACCCTTGACACACATTAGGTAGAGAAGCAATTCACCACAGACTGTTCCAATTGTAACTTCCGATCAAGAGTACATCCCACTAAGCCAAAAAAGCCCACTACTTTTTCGATCTCCAATGAGATTACCTAATATATCACACTAGTCCATACGTGTTACCTCAGTTACCTCAGCCGCCCCCAAAAAGGCGGTGAATTTGGCCATCCACCGCCTGCTGTTTCCAGCGATGCTGACACACCTTTTTTGGGGAACGTCTGAGCTGGGAATTTGGTGGTACCATACAAGTTTCCGGGGTTTTTGCCCGTGTTTATATGGCGAAGTTTCCAGGCGCGTCTTTCAATATTTCCAAGTTTCTCGCGCACCCACGCGAATATTAAGAATCGGGCGACGATGTCTTCTGCATCTTTCTGAGCTGAACCCATTGACACCAAAATTGTATGTATAACTGGAAAGGTGGGTGAGAAATATGTCCTTAAAATACCCGAAGGAACCCTTTCTTAAGCTGTCAAAGCCATTATATGCCCCAAGTATTCCGCCAAAACCTCCATGAAGCATATATTGACATATTTTAATGTATAGTGGCTACATCTGATCCACAATATTAACTCTATCGCGTGAGAATTGACTCCAAACCCGCCTCACGATGCCAGATCGACGCCCATCACGACGGAAGCCTCCTCGGAAATATAACGCGAAACTGAACGACCCCGGAAATGGACAGACACAGTTGGATAACTGGTTGGCCTCTGAGAATAATCGACCTTCTTCAAAGGCTGGAGAGCCTATTGAATTGGGAGTGGAGTACGAGAATGAGGGCGCAACTGTCTTGCTGGAGAAACAACAAGTTGAGAAGAATTCAGTTCTTCAAGCGCAGAAACTGATTCGCGATGCGTCTGAGAAGCGTAAGGATGAACAGGACCAAGCCATCAGACAAGCAATTCGAGAGCTGTATCCCTATTATCCACGTGCGGGTCAGTTGCAAGCATTGAGACAATTGATCTACCTGAGAAAGGACCTTATCCTGATTGCGAAGACGTCATTTGGGAAGAGTATGATATTGCAAGCAGTGTCACTCTTGCTTGATAAGTCTATCACCCTTGTTGTGCTTCCATTGAATCAAATTGGCGTTGAGCAGACCAATTACATCGAGAACATTGGAGGGCGACCTTGTTTCCTAAACAGGGAAACATTCTCATCCGAACTTCTTGACAGGGTACAAGCGGGCAAGTTCACACATGTCCTCGTGAGTCCAGAGCTTGCAATCAGTGACAAGTTCCGTTCAACTGCTATGCATCCAGGTTTCCGAGACCGGCTGGCTCTGGTTGTTGTAGACGAAGCTCATCTTGTGGCTCAATGGGGCAAAGATTTTCGAACGGACTATGCGCGATTGCATCAATTGCGAAGTCTATTCGGCAGTGGCGTCCCCTGGTTTGCATGCTCTGCTACGCTTGATATGAATACATTGCGCGTTGTTATTGAGGGACTTGGGTTTCCAAAGGATGTTGAAATCTTGCGGACATCCGTCAATCGTCCAGAGTTGCTCATTCAAACAGCTTGGATCCCACAAGGCGCGCATAAGAAGGCAACGGCCTTGCGTTTCCTGTTTGACAATGGTCCTTGTCAGCCCATTTTACGACCGTCACGAATCCCAAAGACATTGGTATTCTTTGACTCGAAGAATGATGCATATACTGCCATGGAAAATTGTCGGTATTGGCTGCAGCATAACAAGCAACCAGATGGGGCAAGTGTTCAACATTGCAACTATACCCTCAAAGAGGCAATGGATACGGTGAAGGTCTACCATAGCGACACCGCAAAGGGAGACAAGGAAGCAATGATCAAAGAGCTTCAGAAACCCGGACCGCAATCCAAGCTTCGTGTCCTCATGACCACCGAGGCACTAGCGCTCGGAGTGGACCTCCAGGATATTGATCAAGTTGTCATGTATCGGTTCCCCAAAAACCTACAACCAGCAACGCTCTGGCAACGCGGTGGTCGGGCATCTCGCCTTGGACAGGATGGAAAGATCGTTATTCTCGTTGATCAGTGGATACAGGGGCGTATCAAGAAACGTGCCGTGAAACGCAAGATTCATACAGAAAATGATGATCTAGCGGAAGACAACCCACTGGCCGATTCAGATGATGAAGTCAAAGAAGCAAACCCTGAGAGACCACAGAAAGGTGGACGCTTAAGTCATGAAGAGCGACGTGCTGTGTTGCCTGAATTTTGGTATCTCCTTGCCAATGAGCCTACAGAATGCCTCCGGAAACGGTTCCTGGACTACTTCAATGAACCTGAAGAGTTCAGATGTAATCCTCGGCGTGACCGGTGCTGCAGCAACTGCAATCCTGAGTATCAGCTCAATGATCCAACTCGTTATCTGTATACTGAGCACGGTCCGAGGTCAGGACAGATGGACGAGATAATCATCAACCAGTTAAAATATTGGTCCAAGGAGGTCCTTTCAAGCGCTTTGAACGGAGTGAAGTTCATACCTGATTGCTCAAGCATACTGGCAGAAGAACAATATGTCCATCTTGCGATATATATTGAAAATGCCACCTATTCGGAGCGGGAATATTTCCAGGCAAAGGATCTTCAGACAATATTGGGAATATGGGCTTTGTCGAATCAGCTTGCTGAGGGTCTTGTGGATGTCTTGAAGAATGCATATCAAGCAGCCTTTATGGCCACTATTCAAACCCCTGCAAAGAGGAAGCGTGTGTCGAATGACTCTAGTCAAATGAGTGAATGCAGCAACCTCACATGGTCTTCTGCAGTCACGCCAGAAAGCACCAGTCAACCAACTCCATCTCGGAATATCTCTCCGTGGGTTGATATTAACACGCCATCCCAAGCTTTTATGGACATGCCTCCTCCTTCGGCAACTCCAGTTCCCAAACGCAAGGCCCTCGGTGTGGTATCAGGAAATGGGCGTCGCGTGATGAAGGGTGGAGAAGACCTAGGTTCTAAGGTCTGGTAGAGAATGATGAACAATCCATCTGATGCATTCCATCAATGTGTGTCAGTCACCTTATAATATAGCGTGGGAGTATTATCAATGGAATGAAGAGAAGTATAGCTAAAGCTGTCCCGGCAGCAACCTGCTATTCAGTGTCATGTGTCATTCTCTTCAATCTCATCTAGAACAGCAATAGGAGTCGATGTCATCTTGCTAAAATCAACTTCTTGTGCCCACTGTCCGTTGACGACGAGGCTATTGAAGTTCTGTACGGCTTTGAAGAGCTTTTCGCCAATTGTTTCTGTGAGTATATCACATGGTTGAAAGCCTCTTGTCCGACCATTTGGTTGCTTTTGGATGCACTTCGAGATCTGATAAGCTAGATGACGAACATCCTGGCTAGCATCCTTATTTTGGTGTCGCCCATTGCTATATTCTCCAAAGGTAGCCTCCAGAAGCTCCTTTAGATCAGTACAGTAGCTGGCTGTGAGAGCAGTTCGACGGAACATGGTAGTGATGTCCAGATTTGAGGTCCGTCGAGTCGACATGAGTGTCTTCATATGAAGATTGAAGAACTCATTCAGTCGATCAATTTCGAACCAACCGTCCTCCGCACCCCGTAGATTCACAAGTCCGTTGGCAAGAATGGCAGTCTGCAGCTCGGGATCAGCTGCTTTGGTTTGAGTGAGCCATGTCATATACAAGGAGAGGAAAGAATATCGGGTTTTCTTTGTGCCAGGGAAGAGGAGACAACATTGTGCAAAGATCCGCTGGATAATTCCAATGTCACCAAGTTTGATGGCAAGCTTCAAGGACTTGTAAGTCTCCATCTGCTGAAGGAATTTCGCATGTGCTGAGAACTCATAGTCGACTGGTTCTCCTTCTCGTTCACGAACCTTAGACTGCTGCTCTTTAAAATGGAACAGAGACTGGCGTATCTGATCCACAACGTCCAGGAATTGACCCCTTCCGAGGCTTTGAATCCAATCATCCACATCTTTAGCATCCGCGAAATTGACTGTTAATGGGACAAACTGATAGAACATGGCCGTGACGCGAGCGTCAAATGAGCGAGTAGCCACCTCTTCTTTATGGTGGAATGGACTTTTGTGTCCCTGTACGCAACCGAGACAGACCTTATTATGATGGATCGTCGATTCAACGGTAGGGTGGTCTGTCCCAGCATAGAGCTCAAAGATCATATCCAAGTAGTTCATACGCCAGTGGAACAGTCCGGGGATTGGCAATATCCAGCTGAAACGATCGAAAAGACGAGAAGCCTCCGCACGTTCTTTTTTGACGGCACGAAGGAGTGACACTGTTTTCTGATCTCCATAAACCAGTTGTAAAAGCCCATCAAGGTCTGTATCATCATCATCCCCCAGTTGCTCCAGAAAGACATTCTGAATGACCTTGTATGTCCCCTCTGTCGTGCCTTCGTTGTATAACATTGGCCCAAGGCTGTAGTGAATTGTCTTCTGCGCTTGCAGTCGTTTAACTGCTGGGAATTCAGGCCAGTCAATAAGATGGGCTCGCGGTTTCATCTGGCCTGGTTTGACGCACGCTTCCGCAGTAAATAGTTTCTCTACTGCCTCCCGATGAGTATAGCGAATGGCCTCTGCAATCCAATGGCGCTGACATTGATGGAAGATCTCATCATCCTGATTGCCTGGTGCCATGTAGATATCATGAGGACTCAGTGTAACCTCTGGATGGAACATAGATCGGAGAAGCCCTCCTGCAGGGATGGACTGACCGATACAAAGCTTGCCAGTGGTGGCGGAGATATGCTCTGATGGATCACGAATAGTTTGATGTCGAACAGTCTGGCTGTAGTCAAAGTTATCCCATGCCACAATGAGATTCCTGCGAGAAGCCTGGGCATTCTGTTTCAATTGTTTCTGTACACATCTTGGGGTAAGAAGTCAGCCAGAACATGTTATTCTCCGGTAAATGCGGTTATAGTACCTGTCCTAGTTCTGCAAGTTCCTTCCGTCTGTCCATGATAGTCTGGTATGCTGAGTTTATCCCCAGGCCAGCCAGAAAGCTAATCACACGTCGCTTGACACCCATTGCATGTAAATACAAGCCGATCAACATCGGGAAGTTGTTGCTTTTCCGTGGTGCAAAAGCGCAAGCCAGAATTGAACAGACCATCACAATGCTGCCCTGGTGGATCTTGGGTGTATCGCGATGGTTTCCTGGAGGTGTCATGATGCTAACGAGCAGTCCACAGAGCTCTGGAGCTTTCCTCTGCATCTGCGTAGCCAAGCTAGAGATGTCCATATCTTTAGGGTCCACATTGGACTGGAACTCGCCGAGTATATCTCCGTTAATCAGCCCTCGAATCTCGGTCTGTATCCGAGACACGAGATCGGATGCACCAGTGGCATATATGTCTTTTGAGACACTACCTAGCCGCTCAATAATTTCAGGTTGCCCATATATAGCGTCAGACAATTTCTGTGCTCGATACGATGTCGAATATCCATTTTTTTTGACTGGTTGTGCATGCACCATGTGGTAAAGAAGATCCTTGATTGTCCACCGGTGCTTATCATTAAGCTCAGCCAGTACCATATCGACACGTTCGCGTGGCTGCAATCCTGAGATATAACGAGATCGCTGAGTAGACGCAGGTGGTTCTTGTAATGGTGAACTGGAAGAAGGCCACTCGAGGGAGGATTGTCGAGCACGCTTTCGCGATCTAGAGATCATATTGGGCAAATCCGGTGATGCCATTCTTTCTAACAATGTCAGAAATACTCTCAGAGAGCTTGAGAAAACACACCTTGACCAAATGGTGGGGTTGCTGGCGAGAACCGGAAACTTGTATGTACGGAAGGGGTTCCCGGCTCAGACCACGGGCTGATGAAGCAACCCAATCGGGTTAGCGTGGCAGAATCGGCAGAATTCTGTCTCATCATTGGCTGTGGTCTGAGGGAACTGAGGTAACATACGTGGTGATATTACACACGTGATCTCGCGATCGGATTGGTGCCTGAGGCGTAGTTTGACGCTTGACTCACCCGTAGACGTCACTGACCAGTCCTGTTTCGCATTTCCACTCGTTGGCATCGGGCTTACTGCGTGTGGACTTGGTATACAATGCAGCAATACCCTTATACTGATTCATGATTTCGTATCCCTCTGACCTGCTATGGGTGTCACCGGCCTTTGGACGGTCGTGCAGCCCTGCGCTCGTCCTATCAAACTCGAGACGCTAAACAAGAGACGGCTTGCGGTCGACGCGTCGATTTGGATATATCAATTTCTGAAAGCAGTGCGAGACAAAGAAGGGAATGCGCTACGAAACTCCCACATCGTCGGATTCTTTCGTCGGATATGCAAGCTGCTGTACTTCGGGATCCGACCTGTCTTCGTTTTCGATGGCGGGGCCCCAGTCATGAAAAGACAGACGATTGCAGGTCGGAAGAAAAGACGCGAGGGTCACAGGGAAGATGCTGTGAAGACCGCAGGGAAATTACTCGCGGTGCAAATGCAACGCAGTGCGGAGGAAGAAGAAAGTCGCCGGCGCAACAAGAACCGGAGACAAGAAGAGGAAGAGGTGACGGAGACTCCGGTCTATGCAGATGAAGCATTTATGACTGAGAAAGAAAGGCAACAAACTCGACGTTTCAAGAAGAAGGATGCCTACCACTTACCGAACCTGGATGTATCGCTCCAGGATATGGGTGCACCAAACGACCCACGCATCATGTCCCAGGAGGAATTAGAAGAGTATGCTAGGCAATTCCACCAGGGCCAAGATATCAATCTTTACGACTTCTCCAAGATCGACTTCGACAGCTCATTCTTCCTCAGTTTGCCCGCGACTGATCGATACAACATCTTAAACGCAGCCAGGCTGAGGAGTCGACTGCGTATGGGATACTCAAAAGAGCAGCTAGACACCATGTTTCCTGACCGCATGGCATTCTCAAGATTCCAAATCGACCGAGTCGCAGAGCGAAATGACCTTACGCAACGATTAATGAATATAAACGGTATGAATGGAGAGGAAGCGTTCTACAACTCTGGGCAGCGTATTGCAGGAGAACGAGGCAGAGAATATGTGCTTGTCAAAGATCGCGAGCATGAGGGTGGTTGGGTGCTTGGTGTTGTCGGAAACAAAGAGGGCGATGAAGAGAAACCCATCGATCTCGATCGGCCTGAAATATTGTCGGACGAGGATGAAGTGTCCGATGAAGATGTCTTCGAGGATGTTCCAATCGAGGGCCTGAACCGACTTCCTAAGCTTCCCTTTCTTCGAGACGGTGTATTTGATCAATCCCTTCAGATTCAAGGCGATGAGGACTTCGACATGCAAAGAGCTATAGAAGAATCGCGTCTCACCGCGCGGCGACCGCCAGTGAATGATCGTCAAATTCAAGCTGTGGATGACGACTCGCTTTTTGTTGAGGCGGATGGAAATATTGGTGTTCAACAGCAGAACAACGACACCGATGGCTTTTTTAATGGCGAAGATGATGACCTCGAACAAGCCATTGCCCTTTCATTGCAACCGACTACCGACCATGATGAAATCGTGCCGGAAATAGCCATCAATCGACCTGCTGAGCCAGCCCCTTCTCATGATATGATGATACCAGACCCCGACTCTGAGAGCGACGATGGAATGGATTTTGCGTCTGCTCTCGCCAAAACCAAGGTCACAAAGAAGGCCCCTCGGTCATCAAATCCATTCGGCGGTCCCCTTCCCTTTGAGCCTATCAAGCTCACAAAAGCAACCAAAAATACCGGGAAGGCTAGTGGGGCCGATGAAAACGCAGGTGGCTTTGTTAAGGAATCCGCGAAGAAACCAAAACAGGCAGACCCGCTCCCTCCCTGGTTCGTTGGCGAGCGCACGAATCAAGAATTCATTGTTGATCCAATTGAAGACCCCAAAGAACAAGAGAAGTCGGCGGCACCGGATCACATGTTCCTTTCCAATCGTCGCTCACCAGAAATCATCGATGTCGATCAAACGTCCGAGGAGGTTGTTGATTTAGAGGAAGGCTCGGAAAAGAAAACCGGCATTGAAGAGAAAAAGCCTGAACCAATTTTTGATGAGGAAATTAAAAGGCTTTACCGCGAGCTTCCCTCAACTATTGACGAAAAGCCCTCCAATGAACCAACACAAATTGATACGAAAGATGAAGCGCTACTTGAGAACACCATCAAACAAGATCAAGAACCCGTGCCTGTGCCTGAAGCGAAGTCCCCAGAGATCTCCCCCCATAGTGAACACTCTCTGTCGCCTGAATTCGTGGATGTGGTTCCTCAGCCACCTACGGAAGTCCCTGAGATCACTGTTGTACCTCAAGAGTCCCAGCCCCAGCTTTTTGAAGAGGCCGAGCAATCAGAAACCTTTGCTCAAGACCAAGGTGATTACAGCGACCCAGAAGATGAAGATCTCTTCAAACAGCTTGCAGCCGAAGGTGAAGAACATGCCCGCTTCGCCCAGACTCTCAATAATGCTGCGCCTATTCAGGATGCCCTTGATTACGAGCAAGAACTGAAGCAGCTACGAAATCAACATAAAAAAGATCGTCGTGATGCAGACGAGGTGACCACTATTATGATCAATGAATGTCAGCAGCTATTGACACTATTTGGACTGCCTTACATCACTGCGCCGATGGAAGCTGAAGCGCAGTGTGCTGAATTGGTCTCGCTAGGCCTTGTTGATGGCATTGTCACAGATGACAGTGATATCTTCCTTTTCGGTGGGACACGAGTCTACAAGAACATGTTCAATCAAAGCAAGTTCGTGGAGTGCTATCTGGCATCGGACTTTGAAAAGGAGTATGCCCTTCATCGACGGAAGCTTATCAGCTTTGCCCATCTGCTAGGTAGCGATTACACGGAGGGCATCCCTGGTATTGGTCCCGTCACAGCCTTGGAGATTATCACCGAGTTCTCTAGTCTCGAAGAGTTCCGCGACTGGTGGTCAGAAGTGCAAATGGGCACAAATAACCCCGACGACGTTCATCTAGCTTTCCGAAAGAAATTCCGGAAAAAGGCGTCCAAGATTTTCCTGCCGCCCTCATTCCCTGACACCCGAGTTGACACCGCCTACCTAGAACCCGAGGTTGACGCTGACCCCTCCCAATTCCAATGGGGTATACCCGACTTGAACGGTCTGAGAAACTTTCTCATGGCAACCATCGGTTGGAGCCAAGAGCGCACAGATGAGGTTCTCGTCCCGGTTATTCGCGATATGAATCGCCGAGACCAAGAAGGCACACAGTCCAATATCACACAATTTATGACCGGTCCACAGGGAGCAGGTGCGTTTGCGCCTCGTGTTCGACCGGGTGGGCCTAGCCGAATGGAAAAGGCATTTGGTCGACTGCGACAAGAGGCTCAAGGTGGTCAGGCCTCACCAGGTGACGACGCCCCAGCCACAGAAGGCGATGGGGAAGAAGCCTCTGGTTCGCAAAAGCAAACTAAACGGGGAGCATCAGCCATCCAGGCTAAGGCCGGATTGAGTAAGAAACGCAAGACTCGTCGCGCAGACTCATAAGCTAGGATTCTGGATGCGTAGGCTTACATCAATAAAAACACTCTATGTAACAAAGAGAAATCAAACCGTTTTACCATTAGTTTTCCTACTCTATCCTTTACTGTTCCTCTCTTTGTCCGTTCCTTACTTATTTCCTTTCTCATTTCCTTTCTCATGGAGAAAACATTCACATTTCAGAGTTATTCTTGTGACCAAATCCAGTAGTTGTGTACATTGATATTGACTGGTATGTTCATCGCTTCTAGGCGGCTTCTAGACTGATTCGAAATACGACTGGACCACATGGTTCCCCATGAGGAGGCGTTCCAGGCGATCATAGCGATCAGTGGAACTTGTGGGACTACAGAGGCGTAGGCTAGACGCGTTATCTCAGAGCTAAGGGCTTCCATGAAAGAAGCCCCTTGGTTGGGTAGGGTGAATGAGGCTCTATTGTGACTATAACGGCTCTATAGGCTCTATAGCCCGAGAAAAATAGTATATAGATCTTGCTGCAGACTCAACGAAGGGGTTTGTGGCTGATTAGCGTACCAAGCTTCGAGCTCCAGATCCACCCAAGCTCCTGGACATGACAGGCACCCCATGCCAGGGGAGTATCCTGTATTAAGTATCCTGTAGTAAGTATACTGTAGTAAGTATACTGTAACTAGTATAGTCAATGATGCTATTCATGCAACACAACAGGGTTTGCGCAGGTACAAGTCACGAGGGTGACATCAGCAAATCGATGACGTCGGCGATCGTGAGAATCTGAAAAATGCAACTTGCCTCGATCGACACTATTGGCCCTTGAGCTAACAAACCGTGAATAGTTGGGTCTTTAGTGTGTCTTTAACCTTTGAAAGGCTGTGATCCGCCAATCCCGGACTCAAAACTCCGATTGCAATTGCCTTGCTCCTTCTACACCCCCCGTTGCTGGGCAGAATTGTCGACGTCACCTCCCGAAAGCTGCCCCCTCAGGAAAACTTCTACTCTCCACCAAACTGCAGAAACCCACAGCTGTCAAGCGATTCTTTCCCTGTGTCGATCCGGTTGCAGTCTTATCTTCCGTCGCATCCCGCCTCAAGTACGTGTTGACTCCTGTCCCCCTCTTCTTACCTCACGTCACTACTGCGCAAGGCACTGGAAAACTCTTTTCTCATTAATTTCTGGTCAGGAACCTTGAATTCTATTTCACTTCTCTCTTCTCTCACCCCTATTCATCACCATGCATCGTACCTATTCTATGCGCCAGTCGCGCGCTCCGACCGCGTCCCAGATCGAAAGCCCCCCACCACCATTGTCCACAACCAAGACCGGGAGATGGCTAGGGAAAGGCGGCATCGGTGAGTGGAATGCGATTGTCGACTGGTGATTTCGGCGGCGAGGGTGTGGGAGTTCGAGGCTGCCTAATCGGGCACCGATCCCCATTCCTCGACCCCGACCCGACGTGGCCAGGACCGAATCGAGATCATCAGACGACGCCAATTTCTATGGAAAGGATTAGTTCGCTGACAGGTTGCGATTAGGACATGCCTTCCGAAAGAACGCCGCTGGTGCCTTTGGGCCCGATCTCGCCAAGAAGCTGTCGCAGCTTGTCAAGATGGAGAAGAACGTCATGCGCAGCATGGAGCTCGTCGCCCGGGAGCGCATGGAAGTCGCTGTATGTCCTCGAGAGAAACGTCGTCCATGAACGAATTGGAAGCTAATACGGTATAGCAACAACTCTCCATCTGGGGTGAAGCTTGCGATGAGGATGTGTCGGATGTGACGGACAAACTCGGAGTGCTGATTTACGAGATCGGCGAACTGGAGGACCTGTTCGTCGACCGCTACGACCAGTACCGAGTCACCATCAAGAGTATCCGTAACATCGAGGCATCCGTACAGCCCAGCCGAGACCGTAAGATCCCCACCGACCCACCCAAACCATAACTAATCCTTCTCCTCCAGGCAAACAAAAAATCACCGACGAGATCGCCAAGCTGAAGTACAAGGACCCCAACTCTCCTCGCATCGTCGTTTTGGAGCAGGAGCTCGTCCGCGCCGAAGCCGAGTCTCTTGTCGCCGAGGCCCAGCTGTCCAACATCACCCGCGAGAAGGTCAAGGCCGCCTTCCAATACCAATTCGATGCCCTCCGCGAGCACTGCGAGAAGGTCGCCATCGTCGCCGGCTATGGCAAGCACCTACTGGACCTGATTGACGACGCCCCAGTCACTCCCGGCGAGACCCGCCACGCCTACGATGGCTACGACGCCAGCAAGGCCATCATCCAAGACTGCGAGGACGCCCTCAGCAACTGGGTCAGCTCCAAGGCAGTCGTCAAGTCCAGCCTGTCCACACGCTCGCGCACCCTCTCCCAGCGCCACCGCAACAACCTGGGCAAGAACCGCGAGGGCCATGACCTGTCTTCGCAGGACCAGCCCTTGACTGGAGACCGCGACTCTTGGCTGCCTGCTGACCAGCACCCCAGCTATGAGGATGGCGAAGATGGCGTCAGCACCGTTGACGGCGAGGGCCGAGGCCGCGAGGAAGAGCGCGAACCTATTGCTGCCTAAGCAGGGATTAATTGAGAAACGGAGATGGAAGAGATAATGATCTCTTCTCGCAAATATGACGACTGATTATACAGGAGGGAGACGGTTGTCCACCTCTCTCTCCTTTATTTCCGTCCTCTCCACACTCCTTTTCATCTTCTCTGTCAAAATTTCCTACCTCGTTCTTCGATATACGATTTCGTTCCTTTCTTCGGTGTTAATCCCGGAAGGCGAGAGACCAAAATCACGCAATGGACTTATGTTCTGCATGATATATATCTCTCAACTACGTTCCCTCAAGATCTGAATGTCGTGATCTGCCGCCTAAGGATCGTGCTGGGATTTGTTCCACTTTTCTCTGTGTGTGTGGGTCAGGGCAAGGACCGAGACTTGGTTCTTGTTTTGTTCCCCGAACCAGATGGAATTCTGCTTGGGGTTTTCTGTGTCTGTGTTTTGTGTGCTTTTCCCCCCTTAATCAATGTAATACCATCTTACGTTGGATTGTTGTTAGTTTCTGCTTTTTTGGTTGGGCTCACGTTATGATACTTTGGTTCTGGGTAATTTAAGTAGGTGTTTTAATGGATTTGTTCTCTTAGATTGATACTTTGGCTTTAATTAATTTTAATATATGCATACATGAATGTAGATGTAGATGTAAATGTAGGTACATGTAAGTTAACTGCATCATGTCACGAGGTGGCGATGTGTACATTGTACATCTTCATGTGAACTGAACAGTGCACCGTGGACTGTGGAGAAAAGACCCTTACCCCAGGCCAAGCCAGCCATCCCACACCGATCACAACGTCGACCAGTGACATCCTGCCCAAATGAGACAATTCGTCGAGAAAGAGCACGCCACATGGAGGCGGTCTTACGTCTTTGATATTACGTAGATCTAGTTCGTGCAAAGCTCCTACAGTACGATCACACCCTAGTCGGACCACGTAATTATCCCAATGAAAGGAGGAAAACAATTCTCATGTAGGAACCTTGGAAAAGACAGTGGTAAAAGCAATAGCAGATACAGTTCAGTTTAAAGTGTGTAGTGTAAGAGCAAAGAAGCGAGAGACAAGTAAAATCAAATCCCATGTAGCATATAGCAAAGAGAACATTGTAATAAATGCAGAACCGAAAACACAAGCATAAAAATAATCAAAATGAATATTCAGATTCCCCGAGTCGGGTCCTCAACACCACCCGCCAACAACTCATCCGCCCTTTCCAGTGAGTGGAAAGGGGCAAAAACGCAACGCAAAATAAAGCAAGCCTTCGCAACACACACGATCTGATAGGAGTATAAGAAGGTGGAGGGAGGAGTAGAGTAGGTAGAGAGGATGGGCGATAATAAGTATAAGTATAGTATGAGCCCTGGAGGATGGAAAGGGAGAGGAGAGTATGAATCAAACGAAAGTGGCAGATCTGGAAGTGCGAAGCAAAGACCATCCCTAGGAGTCGAAAAGCCACGGTCGGGATAACCACGCGTTGGCAGAACGAAAGAAGAGAAGGGTCGTGACGTCGTCATTGAGTCTGCTTTCGCTCAGTCCTTTCCATCTTTACCTTTGTAGCCTTTGTAGATAAGGTGGTAGGTGAGATGGGAGGACAGCAGACAACATAGCAAAGCGAGTAGAACGAACAGGAAAACAGTAAATGCTGATTCGAGCGGATGCCGGGAGCGGTCCGCGGCTGAGATGATACACAAGACAAGGCAAAAACAATGGCAAAGGAGGACAAATAACAAGCAAAACTTCAATTTGGTGTGTTACTCCTCAGTGCCGACGCCCTTCTTTTTGGGCTGGATATGTTTTTGCCTGGAGTTGACGGGTGTAGCTTTTAGCTCGAGGGCTGAGCTATCCTTGGGTGGAGGCGGGCGGGAACCGGCATCATGCTTCTCCGTGAGGAGGTTCTTCAACCAACGATTTTCCATCTCGAGCTGGGCGACGCGAGCCTCGAGAGAAGCGTTCTTCTCGGTGGTTTCACGGACGGTGCGTTCGAGGACCTGCTCGCGCTGCTTCTTTTTCATGCGAAAGCGAGCACTGGCGGCGGTGTTGCGGCGCCGGCGGTCCTCTTCGGCTGCACCGCGGACGCCCTCTTCTTGGTCGAGGGCGGCGGCGATGCGGTCCCCAGAGATGGAGGTGCTGTACTTGGTGTTGCCCATCTGGCCGTTGGGCGGGGAGATGGACGACGAGACATCCGATGGAGTGAGAGCCCCCGGTGCATGGCCTAGGTCGTCGGGCGCAAAGGGCACTGGGGGGTAGATGGAGTGAGCTGAGTAGGGCATCATATGCTCAGGGAGGCCGTAGTTGATAGATTTCTCGCCGGAAGCTGTAGAGGGAGTAAGCAGGTGTCCCCAGGGAAGCCCCATTGAGGGTGAAATGCATTGTGCCAACGAATATAAGTTCAGACGGGGAAGGGAGCAGTTAAGACAGGCCAGGGTGATAGTCATATGCTTGCGGGATTGCGTGCTCGCTATTGAGGAACACCGACGGTGATCTCATCCCAGTGGAGTGTATCTTGAAGACATCCATGTAAAAAAAGATGGGAAGAGAGTGTAAGAGAGTGTGAAAAGGGAATAGCGAGTCAACAGACCGACTAAGCGGTTGTTTCAAGCCCGATACAAAGGGGGATTGGACAGGCATGCAGGAATGAGAAAATGAGGGATCCGAAGTTCAAATTTCAGCCATCCCAATGCATATGGCGTAACAAATGCAACGTTTGGCAAGTCAAAGCTTGAACGTACCGTGATAGGGATACCCCCGGAGATCGAGAGAACTGCGGTCATCGTCTATACTATCGTAGGAGCTGACTGAGAGGCCGCCCATGCCCTCGGTCTGATCGTAATCCATGCTCACGTTGCCAAACGGGACCAGCCCGGTATCTGTATCAAATGAATAGTGACGAGTCTTGGCTGCGGGATCGTGGCGCGACATCAAGAAATTGAAGTTGTCAACCTTGTCAAAGCCACTTGGTTCCCCCGGCATGTTGAAGGTTGAGGGAAGGAGAAGTCAGAAAATCAGAAACTGCCTTGGCCTTAGGGTTGAGAGGGGGCTTTTCTTCGGGACCGCAGAGAATGAAGCAATCAGAAGACTCGTAAAAAGAAATAATAATAATAATAATTTCGGGGCCAAAGTCTACAGTACTCCAAGGCCCAGGTAACAGAAAAGAGTTAAGACTTGGAAAAGGCTTCGGAGATGAATGTTCTCGGCCACAATCACTTAATTGGACTTCATCTCATGCGGGACAGCCCTTGACGCCACGAATCACAGGTGACGAAGACGGAGAAAAGGGGAGGTGAGGTGGAAAAGGCACGATGGCCCTAGTCGATGATCTGATAGAATGGAGAAATGTCGTGATCGCGGCCTGTGGTTCGCTGGAGATTCACCGCCTGCCGAGGTATAGAGTACGGAAGACTCTATAGTAGAGGATAGGATAAGTAATATATATCAGTAGAAGTAGAGTGGAAGTAGAGGAGAAGTATGTGCAGATGAAGAGAGAGAAGATGAAGCTATACTGTTCAGAAAATAGGGGGTTTGTCTCCATGCTCTCTCCACTCTCTTCTTTCTGCCTCCGCCGGTTTACTGGATGACGTGGACCCCGTTACCAATCCGAGGTAGCTTGGCATTCTACACTGTACTCCCGACACGATCGTCCCCTCCTATGACATATGTGCTTCCCGTGAAGCAATGATCCGAGCGGCATCGTCAACCGTCACACCGCGCACACGATGCTCAACTCGTTCCTGTCCCAATATTGTATCCTCCGCAATGGTCCGATACACCTCTGCGATGCCTCCATAAATCGATCCCCCAACATCCCACCCACCCACACTCTCCAACATCTCCCCAATCCCACGCATCTCATCCTCCCACCGGTACGCCTTGGGACTCATCCCAATAACCCCATGAGTTGCCAAAGCCGCCGTTCGCGGAGAATGTTCCTCCAACAGCGCCAAGAGCGGCGGAAGCAGCGCCGCCTTCTGCGCAGTGGAGAAGGACAGAATCGACAGGGCAGTTAGTCCTTTGGTTAGCGCGCTAAAGGAGAGCTTGAGCGTTTTCGCCGCTCCAATCTGCGCCGAGACAAGCTTCATATTCAAGACATCTGCCAGTGATTGCAGCGCAGGAGCCAGATCCACCGCGCCCGAAAGCACCACGCTAGGCTTTGTCCACGCCCCATCTTGCGTGCTTTGCGGCGACCCGCCTATGATCCCGCCATCGAGGAAGTGGCACTGGCCGGACTTGTCCGGCTTATCCGACCTGTTTAGATCGTCAGAGTTTACGTTGGCGTCTGCGAACAGGCTTGCCATCTCCTCAGCCATGCGCGCCGGCACGGCGTTGAGCTCGAGGTAGTATAGTTCGGTGCGTCTAGGCCGGTTCACTACCCGATTCGCCTCTCCGGTCTGTGTCGAGACGTATGCATATGCTTTAGCTATGCGTTGCGCGGTCGCCATGGCGTTCTTCGGTGGGACTATGGAGAGGATGTAGTTGGCTTGGATTACTAGGTCTTCGTCGGAGGGGAGGGTCTCGATGCCGGCGGAGTTGATCCGCGCGAGGGTATGTTCGCTGGGACAGCGCTGTTAGTCTTTTTCTCTCTGTGTTTCAGTGCTCTTTACCTTCTTCCTTCTGCGACCGTGACTACACGGTAGTCATGGGCTTTGAGGAGGCGAGCCATGCCCAGACCCATCTCCCCGATGGAGATGATTGCAACTGTAGGGCTCATAGTGAGTGAAATAGGTGCCAGCCCACTTCCCATCTGTAGGATACCGCGTCTGTACTTGTATTCCTGATTATCTGCGGGGATCATTTGTCAGCGGAGTCCTGACTGGTTGCGATATCCAACGGTTTGATAACATCGCTAGATGAGGTATAGAGGTTTGTCTTGGCCTACTACTTATAGGCATCTTGGGGGGATCTAAGCTTATCGCTACCCTTCTAGAAAGATGTTCATCTCGGGCTACGGGTTTATCATCCAACGACGTGCTTATACTAAAGAATTGCGCCTGTGAGGCGATGACAGAACGTGAGAACATGCTAGGTAACTTAACATAAATAATTAACTAATCCAAGCTACATACCATAAACATATTCAATCCCACTCCTAACCCTAATATATCATATACCACATACCAATATACCTTCAGCCCATCACTGTATACAATGAAGTACCCAACCCCGCCCCGATCTCCCCAGAACAACAACGGAATCGGCAACTCCGACATCCGACTGGATTATTCATCCCATTTTCACCTGCCCAGGCATCAGGCACATCACCCAACCACCTAAACAGTCTTGAAGTTCAGAATAAGAAAGAAAAGAAAAAACCATCAGAACTCTAGATCGCCCGGCTAGCCGAGAAACCATCAAACCCAAAAGACGGATTTCGACCAAGTCTTGGCATATGGGCGCACTTCGATGAACGTCAAGTGGCGGCCCATGCACCAGTGCCACTCATCAGGCCATTCATATCAAATGCAATGAACGCGAACTTGTCCATGTCCGGCCAGGAGGTATTGATGGATTCGGGATGGGGACGGCAGTATTCCAGGGTGGGTTTTGCTTGATTCTGGTTCTGCTTTTTGGCATTGGATTTGATATCCCGGAGGATTCCGGGTTTGGCTGTTTATTGTTCTTTTTGTTCTAATTGTGCTTTGTCTTGTCTAGGCTTGTGAGATGTGTCATCTGAAGAAGACGAAATGTGAGACGGAGGGGTCTGCGAGGTCTTGTTTGCAGTGTCAGCGGAGGAGTACGCGCTGTGTCTTTCCTGAGGAGGTGGAGGATTTGCAGAGGTATGGTTGTAATTTTTGGTCTTTTTCTGGGAGTGTATGATGGGTTGCTAATGGATTTGGTTTAGTGATGAGTATGTGCAGTCTCTGAAAGAGCGCATTGTCAGAGTTGAGTCGCTCTTGAAGACTGCCGGTATCTTGCAGGAAGGTGACATGAGTCATGACGAATTCTCTGACGAGGATTCAGATGAACATCCTAGTCAGGATGTTTCGTCTGCTCCGAGCCCAACTCCGAGTTCTCTGTGCCGGAAAGGCGCTGGTCTGGTTACTTCTATCTTCCGAGCAGATGAAAGAGATGATTCTCGATATTTTGGTGAGATATTGACAGTAACCGGATATCGAACTACCCAGGGCTAACCTCGTTCACAGGCAAATCTTGTTCATTGTCGATTCTGTCTCGGGCAGGCATTGAGTGGATCAAAAGCAAAACAGGCGATGTCAGTTTCTTGCGGATAGTCTCGCCGGAATCTGTCCACGACAATCCGTGGAATCAATGGCGACCCGATGTTTTCCAGGATCTGTTTGCCTCGCAGGTTTTCAAACCTCTTCCGTCGAGATCGGAGGTTTTCTCTCTTATGAAGGATTTCTTTCAGACGGCCAATTGTCTGTTTCCTATATATCTCGAGTCCAAGTTTATGAAAATGGTTGAATGGCAATATACCCAGCAGACTTGTGATGACGCTGCCCGTTGGGCTAGCATTAACATGGTTGTCTGCCTGGCTTACGAGTATCGGTTTTCCAATAGCTCGAAGCCAGAAAAGGACAGAGAGAAGGCTCGAGGTTATTTTAAAAATGCCATGTCAGTCTTCACGGAATTGGCATTGAAACGCACTGATTTGCTCAGCGTCCAAGCTTTGCTAAGCATGGTATGTGCACCCCTGGATCAACCCTGATTTGTCCATTTCTAATGCTTCAAAGGCCTTCTTCCTTCGTGGGAATTGCGGTACACAGTCAGCTCTGCCGCTCATCACTGCCGCTATGCGATCTGGTCAAAGAATGGGATTACATCGTGATATCGCCAGACCAGATCTCAGTCCAGCTGAACAGGAAGAAAGACGGCGTGTCTTTTGGGTTACATTTGTGGTCGATCAAAGGTAAGAGAAGGGTACTAAATATGGTCACTTCTTATACTAAGAATGCTCTTCCAGTACCTGCTTAAGAATTGGAAACGCTCCATCGCAACATCCAGATGATTTTGATGTCCCTCTTCCAGAAGAGTTGGAAAGCGATAAAGGAAGCGCAAGCAATATCCTGTTTTTCCGCCAGCTCTGTCGGATGTCAATCATCAAGGGCCGCATCTACAGTCGACTATACTCCGCCAAAGCGTTACTGAGACCTCCTCTTGAGATCTACAAAACGGTCAAAGAGCTACATAAGGAGCTTGAAAACTGGAGAGGCGACTACCCGCTCACCAGTGAGCCGAAGCTGAAACCCGGTGCACCCGACTTTCTTTTAGGATTTGCCTCCGTCGGTCTCCACTTCGTCTACTACAATGCTTTGATCATGATCCACCGAATACCGGTCTTGCTTCATTACTTAATAACATCTAAGGAGACATCCAAGGAGTCAAAGGAGCTCGAGGCCCTCAGCATACGACGTGCTTCTAAATCTGCTTCCATTGGTGCACAAGCTGCTCGTGATACATTAAAGCTCATTAATAATATGCCTTGGGGAGACATTGCGTGGACTTGGTATACTACAGCTCCTTTGATGTTATACCGTTCCATTACTGACTATCCAACTACCAGGTCCCTATTATACTACGTCTTCCTAGGTGCAGCAACAATATTCTCAAATATCCTCCGGGATCTCCGCCACCCAAGAGTCCACGCAGACCTCCAGTCTCTTACCATGGCCTCAGCATTCTTCGCGACTCTCGTCCCAGGGGACGGAGCATCCAATTACGCAGGGTTCATGGCCCGCATGAGCGCCACCCTCGAACGCATCGCCAGGATAGCAGTCGAGAAAGACGAAAAAAGAGAAAAGGAGGAGAATCATTCGTTGACAACTAAGAAACGCACAAACTCGTCATCTCATCATAAACGCCGACGACCTACTACTCTCCGAACAACAATGACCCAGGATACCACGCACCCGAACTTCCCAACCGCATCCGACCCAAGCGAAATGAACATTAATATGGGCGTGAACATCGGTATCCCAGATGCACTAGAAGGCCTACCGCCGATCAACTCCTCCGGCTACGTCGTCCCACTGAGTCCAGATACAAGCACCCAACCCCAACCCCAATTCCAAACAAACCAAAACCAAAACCAAAATCCCTACACCACCGAATACCTAGACCGAACGTTACTCCACGAAGCAGGAGACAGCACATACACAAACCCCCCAATCCCAATCCCAATCCCATCCTGGCAACTCTCCCAAGATTTCTCCACCACCCAAACCCAAACAGGTCCAGGTCCAGCCCTAACAAATCTAGAAACCCAATCCCCCTCCTCCTTCGCCAGCAGCACACCAACAGGAACAACAGGCTCCGGATCTGTAATCCCAGATTTCTTCCAGGTGCCCATTACAGGGGACTGGGATTACAGCGGCAACCTCTTCGCCGGTCTCTTCCCCGCTGAGTATGGGTTCCGGCAAGTTGGTGGGCAAGTGGCTGGTGCGGATCCCTCTATGCCCATTTTATCGGCGGAGACGTATGTGCATGGTGCTCCTCCTGTTGATGAGGGGTTTGATGCTCAGAGTTTTGGGTATGGATTTGTTCCTGAGGGACAGGGGCAGGGATCTGGATCTGGATCTGGATCGGGGCAGGCTGAGGATTTGGTTTGGCCGAATGGGTTTTTGGGGTTGTTTTAGTGGAAGATTGGTTTCGGTTTTGATGCTGTTAGCGAGGTGCTTTCTCTCTTCTCTTTGTATAGCCATATCCATATCCATATTCGTGTGTTCACATAGGATGCCCCTTGGTGTGGTATAATCGAATGGATGTTATCTAGTTCGTATGATGTGTGCTGACACCGGAACTTTACTCACTCCAAGTCTGGATTTGTAACCTCGAGATAGACGTTGAATAACTACAACGGGTTTGATGCCTAGAGAAAAGAAAAATGATCTGGATATGAGTGAGATATAAGATATGAAATAGAAAGAGACTGAACACCCTGTCCAAAGACCCGTAGAATAATCCCATAATCCACTAGTAGCCCAAAAGAAATAACCATTGTCATTGCGCCTTGCCTGTCCTATCCCAGCCTAACACCATTCAATAACCACAAAAAATCATTAAAAAGGGGAATATCAGAAAACAGATCCTGTCAGGCTACGGACAGCTTTGCACCACACGCCATTCCCAAGCTGGACATCGCTGTCCTGCTGCTGACCAAGACCCTTCCCGAGAATACTTTGTATCTCCTGATCAGGAAGACCTGACTTATTACCCGTCCCGAAACCATAGACCTTAGTCGCCAGGACGTCGATGTCAAAGTCCATGGATCCAATACCAGAGTCTGCCACATCATTTCGATCAATACGGGTGCGGACGGTGAAGTCGACATCAATTCTCTTGGTGCTCTTTGTTTTCGGGGTAGCTCCTTTGCGGCCGGGCGTGGAGGCGGTTGCATTACCGAGGAGTGTGCAGCGTGCACGCAAGGAGAGCAAGCCTTCCTCGGCCTTGGAGAGGGTGAGACGGGTTACGCCGCAGAATTCGAGCATGCGTGCTTCGTTCTCTAGGCCGACTGTACGGTCCCATGCGCGTGAGATGAAGTGTAAGAGTTGCTTGGGGGTAATGGATGATTGTTGGATTGTGGATAGATGGCGTTGAAGGGACTGGAGGACCAAGGACGCAATAGGAGAGATTTTGGCGCTCTTTTGAGGGGTCAGTTCCAATGGGAGGTTCTTCTTCTCGTCTTGGGTATGGGTCTTGGAGATGAATGCTCCAGGAGAGAACTCGAGTTGAAGGTGGTTGCGGTAGACCATTTTCAACACTGGACCCGACTGATCATGCGATGGAGTGGTGGCTGAGACGATTGACCAGCCGGTTTGGCGTTCAATCCGTTGTACGGAAGCTATTGAATCAGTTAGCCATGCTGTGGAAAAGGTATTCATTCCAAAAGTGCTCACCTTTTAGTTCATTGATCTCCCGAGCACTCCAGCCACGGCACGCCTCTTTAACGCGCTCTGCCTCCTGGATCTGAGCCAGGAACTCTTCTCGCATTTCAGATCCAGCCTGAATAGTAGCGGTCTTCTCCTGAACTTCAGCTTGCAGCTCCTCAAGTTGGCGCTTCTTAGCTGCAATTTCAATTTCCACCTCGGACAGCTTGCCGCGCGTGCTGCGGAGCTCGTCTTGATCACAATTCTCCATGTCGTCTACCAACTCTTGCAAGTTGGTCGCTTCCTCCTCGAGGGCAGCATGCTTCTCAACCAAAGGGGGCACACTACTGCTGAGCAGCTCTTCTCGTTGGGTTAGCAGGTCATCGTCTGCTTTCATTTCCTCAACGTGTCGGTTGAGGCCCTCTTTCAGACCCTCCAGCAGCTTCATCCGCCATTCGTACCACGTAGCCTTGCTTAGTAGACGAGCATGGGTCTTGACATTTCGGAATTGATTGTCCATAATCACACGGATGTCTGGCGGGGCGGTGACATACTCCCGGAAGAGAGCTGGGTTTTCCGCATATGTCTCAGCCTCAATGGAGCGAATCACTTGTCGACCTTCGGAGATGTAAGATTTCAACTCTCGGCATGACTAGAAAATGGTAAGCATGACGACAAGAGTATTTGAGATGATAACTTACGTGCTGGTACAGTTCAAGCATGGGCACTGTACAGAACCCAGCTGCCACACAATCATCGAACGTTATTGAGCGTGGTCTGAGCGTATTCTCTCCAGTTGCCCGGGTCAGCTTCTTCGTAGCACTGCTAGGTGCAGTCGTGTGCCGTCTCTTTGTCGTAGTAAGCTCCATGAAATGGATGTTGGTCATGTTCAAGAAGTCTTGCAGCTGAATAGGCTCCATTTCAGGCTCCTCCTCAACAGGAGCATCCTCTTCTGGCTGCTGAGCATCAGAATCAATATGAAGGTTATCAATCCCCTGCTTGAGAGGAGTAGTTGATGTCTTGGAGGCACTGCGTGGTTCATGAGAAGGCGTAGTGCTACCCTTCAAAGGGGATGAGCTAACGGCTCTACGAGCAGGAGAAATGATTAATCGCTGGACACTGCCCTCCCTAACTGTCGGCGCTGGCAACTTGACGCCTTTGACTGGACTGACATTGTGCCCGCGCAGTCGCTTGGGTGAGTTCTCATATTCATCTTCATCCAAGTCGAGCTCGACTGGGCGTTTGCCTAGAACTCCGCGGGCAGCCCCCACGTGGAGACTCTTACGGCTGCCAATCTTCGTCTTCTTTGGACTTAGACTCTGGATCATGTCCTTCAAGCTTGACGTCACATCTCGTTCCTCGGAATGAGGCACCGGGAGGTGACCATCTTCTCTAAGCTCCTCTTCTTCGCGATCACGTTCTTCCTCTGCTTGCATTCGTAGTGGATCCTCGAAGCGCACTCCAGACCGGGGCTGCTCCTGTGGAATGAATTGAGGTGTACTGTCTCCCAGGGACTGGCGCTTGTCAAGTATGGCGGCGACGCGCGGCGATCCAAGACCTTCTTTGTCAATTCCTAGTCCGGATGAACGGCGAGCCTCGCGAGGTTGCAATTTGAAGAGTGGGGTTGATTCTCCTGTCGCCGCATTATGTTCAAAGAGGCTTTGGCGTAGAGACTTGCGCTTATCTGCAGATTGCTGAATCTCAGGCCGGAAAAGCTTCTTCGGCGAGGCACTTCTAAATGTCACATTGCCGGATGGAGGGGTCTTGCTTGGGGTAATAGGTTTCGTTCGAGGAGTGGACTGTTTAGGAGGAGTAGAGGGTTTGTTGGCGGGGGATGTTTGACGACTGGCAGACCGTGGTGTACTGGATGCAGCAGAACTGCGCCGTGAAGGTCTAGCTCTAACGCTTGCCAGACTGGGGCTTCCGCTTTCAGATGCAACAGCCGCAACTTGATAGCGGAGGGGCGATTTGGCTGGAGACTTGGCGGGAGATTGGCGCACACTTTCCTGGAAAGGGGAACTGTTCAGCTGTCCCGAGTCGGTCTCAAGCTCCATCATCAGCTTTGCGTGCACCTTGTCATTGGCTTGCTGTCCTGACTGTAGGATACCACCAATGGCGCCAGTCATTTCCATGTCCATGCCATCTTCCGATTCATTGTCTTGATCATCGCTCATACGATCAGACTTGGGGGTCAAAGAAGGCTCGTTCCCCAGGATTTTTCCAACCCCCGAAGTGAATTCCATGGTCATTCCTTCGTCGTCGTCGATCTCAGAGACCCTCGACGGCGAATCTTCCGGCATAATACCCCCGACGACATTGGTCATTTCCATGGTTTGATCCTCATAGGGGGACTCCTCTGCAGAAGACTTGCGACGAGTGCTCTGGCGACGAGTGCTCTGGCGACGCCCAGGGGGCTTGCCAAGTATGCGTCCCAATGCGTTCGTCACGTCCATGCTCATTTCTTCATCTTCATCGAGATGATCCTCGAGATAATCATCTGATTCTGGTGACGTTCTACTAGCGGCGCCCTTGGACGGATCCATATTTTCTTGGTCATGCCGTGCGCTAATATCTTCCCAGTCGAAGCTCTGTCTTTGACCCTTCTTAATCCACGGTTGAAAAGCACCCGTGATTTCTTGATCAACAATTTCCATGGACATCTCTCCGTCCTCGTCGACTGCCTCGGTCCCTGCTTCCTTTGCCGCTTGACGCAATGCTTCGTTGAGTCTGGCACTGGAGCTGGAGCTGGCAGTTACGTCTGACTGGGCGGTCATACCCGAGCGAGCTGTCATATCATCCATGCTCATGGCAGTGCTCTCGCCATCAAATCCATCGTCTGATCCTGACGACTCGCCATCGTCTTCTTCTTCGCCGGCCATACTTTGTGCCCCAGTATCTTCGCTCCCGACTGAGCTTCCACTGAACGGACTAGAAGAGAGATCTTGATGGCCTGTATTAGAAGATTTACCGCTTCTAATTTGGTCTAGGTCCTCTGTGCGGAGAGGGGAGAAGCCGAATTCTGACTCTGGCGAAGATGGAGAGTCTCGGGAAGGGGAGGGTGCAGATTGGTTCGGGGTATTGGTGGCAGCAGAGGCACGTCTTGTGGAGTTCGCGGCAGAGGATGAGGTCGAGTCGTCGGGGATTTCTACCACATTCCAGGTGTGCAAGGTCGCTTCAGGGGCAAACGATACTCGCCGATTTGCTGTGTAGAGCTTTGTTAGCACGCACTTCTGCCAGGGAGTGAAACAAACACGAACCCATAGATTTACGCCGCGCTTCCCGCTTTTCTAGGATATTCTGTCGTTCACGATCTTTGCGCTCTTTCTCATCGCGTTCCTTGGTGGCAGCCATCTCTTCACGGATAGCAGAGGTCGCATTGAAGGTATCAAACGGGTTTGCTGTGTCGTCATTGTCCGCTGCCGGAGCGCCCGGTGTGGCTTCAAAGTCGATCAGTAGTCCTTCTTTTCCTTGGCTGTCGCCGTCCATTGCACCATCCTGACTTTGTTGCTGACTACGGGCTGGGGTGCGCCGGCGTGTTTCCTCGAATGATGGGATATTCCGCACTGGGGAGACGGGTACTGTAGGTTTGAGAATCGATTTGAGTGGGAAAGAAGCCGTGGACTATACAACTCAGTTAGATGCTAAAGGGCTATGCGCATTGATGGGCTTAATAACTACCTGTCGACGATTGCCGTTGGAATTCTTCAGGGCATCAAGTCCACCGGGCCCTAGACTCTTGCTTCGGGACTTCTTATCCTTCGGTACAGGTCGTGTGCTGCTTGCAAAAGGCTGCGCTGCGCCAAACTCGGCTGTCGCATTCTCTTTGTCTAGAGCAGACGTCATCTTGGACCGCGGAACATGAGCGATGGACTGGCGAGATCGCGGTCGCGTTCGCGGGGCTGCGGAGTCGGCTCGAGTGGACATGGTGGGCGATGCAAGACTCGACACCAGAGATCAAGTGCGCATGGTCGGAAATCAGTCGAGATCCGTCAACATTCAGATGCTATCATGATTGCCCCGAGCGCGTTGCTCCGCAGTCACGTGAAGTAAACAAAGGCGCAAAGCCCTAACCCGAAGTGCGCTAGTCCCAATACGGACTAGTGGCGCACACTGCGAATTACCAAAGAATCCGCGGGTCAACGAATCTTCCTCATCTTCGACAGCCGCCAACCCGACCTTTTTTCCCCTCGACACCGCTTCCTCGTCGAGACAACACCGCAACAATGGCCACCGAGTTGACCGTCCAGTCCGAGCGCGCTTTCCAGAAGCAGCCTCACATCTTCCTCAACGCTAAGAGCAAGGCCTCCAGCAAGAAGTCTGCCTCCGGTCGCCGCTGGTACAAGGATGTCGGTCTCGGTTTCCGTACCCCCAAGACCGCCATTGAGGGCTCCTACATCGGTATGCACGACTTCAATTCGAAACTATCAGAATTTATGCATGGAAGGGTCTTTTCAAGATTGGAGAGGGCGAGTTGATGGTCGCATGGAACATGGGGATGCTTGGCTGAGGAAAAGTTCGGGGATCTTTGCAATCTCTGTGTTCGTGCGCGGACTTCTAGTCGACACTCACATTTTGAAAAGACCCAGATATGCCATGGATCTGCAATCTCGAAATATCAAATCGAAAACAAAACCTAACATTTGAAACAGACAAGAAGTGCCCCTTCGTCGGCCAGATCTCCATCCGCGGCCGTATCCTGACCGGAAAGGTGATTTTATAACGCTTATATGCATTTGAATCAGCCCGCTAACCTCTTTACAGGTCGTCTCCACCAAGATGCACCGTACCATCGTCATCCGCCGTGAATACCTTCACTACGTCCCCAAGTACAACCGTTACGAGAAGCGCCACAAGAACCTGTCTGCTCACGTCTCCCCCGCTTTCCGTGTTGAGGAGGGTGACTGGGTTACCGTCGGCCAGTGCCGTCCTCTGTCCAAGACTGTACGTCGAATTTTTTCTCCCGACATCGCTACTTCCAGCGCTGTGTGCAAACTCGTAGTGCGGTTCTACCATCACATCTGGAATTTGGCGATGTACTTTTTTTCCGAATTGATAACTGACTCGATTTTTTACAGGTCCGCTTCAACGTGTTGAAGGTGTTGCCCCGCACTGGCAAGGCTGTCAAGTCTTTCGCCAAGTTCTAAGTGTTGGATAATTGGGTTTTCGAAGACATAACGGCGAAGGAAGCGGTATGAATTGGATACAGGAAATCCTCGGGTGGGGATTGGGATAGTTTACGAGTTTCCATGTCCCAGATACCTCGCTGAAGAATGAGTGTATCCACGCAAAAAGCAAAAATATTTCTTCAATCTTCTTGCGATGGAAACTGTACAACAGCTCTGGTCAAAGAAAAGACTGGCCATATATGTCAATCTTGACAGAGTCTATCTCAATGCGCATTCTGGGTTATTCCCACTCTTCAAAGCTACTTCGGTTGCTCAGTATGTGTCTTCTAGTCACGTAGACTTGGCGGGAGTGTGCTCGTCCTAGGTTTGTTTCCGTCTTCTTCAATGGTTTGGTGGCCTGTCCAGTCATGCCGTTATGTCTTTTCAATGCCCTAGTCGACAGGAATGGCTACTTTCGCAGACTACTGTACGCTATTCAGATAATATCATTTCCATTCATGGCAACAACTACCTAATCGTACAATAACTATCCGCTGTTGCCTTCATTCTCTGGATCTCATCTCTCATGGGGTTCGCAACTAATCCTCATATTTCAGCCAGGCAAGGGCAAGCCTCACCCAAATCGAACTCGACTTAGGGTGTTCATGTCCGGACAATCATCATCGGGGGGCCATTCTCGCTCGAGTGCCGTCTGTGCACTAGGGTCGTCCTCATCGTCGCTGACGCGGCCATCGAGACCCATCTCTGTGTCTCTATTTTGGGGATGCACTAGGGAGCCATGCACAAGGGAGAAATCAACGTTATGATCCTGGGGCGGCATCCCGGTTTGTGTCTTTTCTGAGGTAGATGCGAGTTCCCAGTCCAGGACCATATGGTCTTCCATCAGATTCTCGTCTTCGTACCGATCAGACATACTATCAACGGTCTCAAGGGATACACTTTCCGCAGTTGTGTCGCTCTTTTCTTCCATAGATACAGAATGGTTTTCGGAGGCATCATGACCGTTGTTATCAGAGTCGGAGTGCCCCGAGGGGTCTTCGTCCTGCTCAGGAGGAATCCAATCCAAGTCCGGGATAAAATCTCCTCGATAGAAGAATGGCTTGCGTGGTGATTTCCGGAGACTTTCTGGCTTGCGCTGTAGATCAAAGCATTCTTGATAGCATTGCTCGCTCTCTTCGGACTCCCAGTCCTCCTCATCCGAGTCAGTTGTTAGGTGGCTTGACGGCTTCTTAGGTGTCGTCTGTGGTGGCATCACCCATTCACTCTCCGAGTCTGACAATTCCTCCTGAGAATAAGGTATTCTAGAAAGAACACCCTCGAGAAACGCTCTCTTTTCTGCGGCGTATTTCCAGCCCCAACAACGGGCGAATTTTGGTGCTAGATCTTCCCAGTAGGCTCTAGGGATCTGAAGAAGAACAAGAAGCTTCCTCAAGGTAAGACCGCACTGAAAGGATGACTTCGACTTGTGCCTCATAGCCAGTACGTCGCGCAGCTTTTGGTTGCAACGCGGCATATCTCGGATCACTTGGAGTTGCAGGAGACGATTGATATCATGGTTAAGTTGTGCAATCAACTCTATTGTGTTTATGTCCAGCGTCGAAACAATTGCCTCGGCCGGGATTTCCCCCCAGACCAGATACTCGGCGTAACCTTTCCAGCTGCGTGTAAAGGTCCTGGTTTGGACAGCGAGGGGGCAAGCGTAGAATATCTTCGATGTCACCTTCGAGGTATCAATGATTGACACCATAGCGCCCTTTTGGCTGATCAAGGCACGGTGTATTGGTGCTAGCGGGGAAGAAAACGTCGAAATAAAAGGAGACGCAACCTCCTGTTTTGTCACATGGCCGCGAAAGAAGGCCTTGAATTCGCTTTCCGTTATGTCTTCAGGGTTAAACGTCTCCCTGTTACAGAAGAGGGCGGCACGAAACTGGTATTTCGAGTTGGTTCCCTGTGAATCAATGTTCCACCATCGGTAGAGCAGCGGAGGGACTTTGTCGACGCTTAAACCGTGGCTTCGATCATGCTTTTTAGGGACCTGATCAGTCTGACCGCTAGTTTGGGGATCATTGGTAGAGACTTGACGGGGTTCCTTCGGAGCCGCAACAACAAAGTCGAGCGTCTCAGTGGAGCAATCGCTCTCGGGCTTTCCACGATACTCGTAGACTTTTAGGCCACTGTGTCTGGCTTCACTCTCGTGCCAAGTAGAAGACTTCTCATTGCTGACATGTGCTGCTTGGGTGCTTGCATTGTCGTCAGTAATAGTGCCCTGGTCATCATCTCGCTTCACCGACGTGGTGGTCTTGGGCATATTATGCTAGGAAGAATGTGGTCAGCGAAGTGTTACCATAGGTCTTTATTATCTGCCTACTCACCGAGACCAGAAGCACGGAGGCCTGGAAATCCGTAGCCCATTCGGCGTACGACCCTCGAGACTTCCAAAGGGAAGTATCAGTGTCATCTCTAGTCTTCTCACGTAGATCAAATCGTAGGACCTTGGCCGCGGCCCTGATCTTTTCGATAATTTCAGTCCACTCTGCGTGGGTGCTGAACTCTGTATCCATGTGTACATGGTACCAAACGACATCACCACTGTTTTGCATCCAGCTCCACTGGGTGTGGAGTGTTGCATATGGGACAAATCCCGTAATTCCACGCTGATTGAGGTGGCTTCGAAACATGTAACAGAATATTTCCATTGTCTGTTTCTTGTCACAACAGAAGAAACGATACAGACAGCACAGGACTTGACGCATATGTATATCCCATCGCAAGGTTGGCCGGCGAGGCTCTTTTGGGGCCTCCATTTTTAGGACCATGCGGAAAGGATGAGAAAAAATGGAGGGCAATTTTGGGACCACACGACAATGAAGTAAGAAGAAAACTGTACTCTGCTTCGTGGCAGTCGTTCTCGGAGATGAAAGATTGGGGGGTGTGAAGGAAGGAAGGAAAGAGTGACTAAAGAAACGAACTTGGGTCAGACATGATGTTTGAGTGATGAGCGACATCTCTTCTCTCTGGAGACCAGGACTGAAAACTTGCAGTGGGAATGAAAGAGTGTACTTACAGGCAAGAGATGAAGGTCGTTCCGTCGCTCGGATGTGCGTCTCGAAGAATGAAGACTCGGGATATGGGAAGTGGCTGGATCAAGAAGAGAGAGTAGCAAAAGAAGAGACCCTAGGTCAGAGAAAAGACTTTGAAATATGTGAGGAGCAAGCAGATCTTCTTCGCTGGGATGTCTAGGAATGAATGGGGATGGAGGTTGGGGTGAAAGAAAAGGTAAGTCTTCGAGTGGGATGGGAAAGCAATATATTTTCAGAAAGTCAGGATTTGGCTAGGGAAGTGAGAAAGCCAAACTCCATTGGTGTCTTTTGTAGGTGATCGAAAACAGCCTTAGTGGTGGAAAACTTGTTGTGACCTGGTAGGGTTTTTTGAGATCACCGGCTGAGTACCAAAGCCAGTCATTATAGCCGTCCGTATATCCCTACAATTAAATTACAAGAATCAGAGAGTAGTTTTACTCTTCAGCTCTCCCGTGGAAGTCGGGAAGGATGGGTGAGAGCCTGAAGAAATCAAGCCTCTGTTATAGGAGGTTAAGCAGCGCGTTTCAGGCATTCGTCTCGACGTCAGTGTCAGACTTTATCGTAGCGATCCTGTTGGCTGGGTTCTTGTCGTCCAGAGAACAACATGTCTCTAGCAAGTGTCAGGTATATAGCGGCTTGGATCCGAGTATGGAGATGTTAACACCGGTTGTATAGATATATAATTGAGGATTAGTGAACTCCAGACCCCAAGACTGGCAGTAATTGAGCTCCCCGATGGCCCAATACTGTAGAAAAGCAATATACTGCACACTTTTGTGGGCTGTGTTTATCTCCAGTCGTATGTCTCCGATATCAAGTCGTCCAAACTACCGACGTTGATCCTCGTGCTGGATGACACTAGTCCCAATTGGGCGACAGGAACATGGACACTCCGCCCCCCAGGAACTCCCTCCTCACCCTGGAACTGTCGCCTATCTTTAATCCTTTGTTTCTCGACTCATCATCTCCCTGAGATTCTTCATACTCGCCATTCCCCGAACCGGCCGTTCCGACTCCCCCCTCCTCCTTTCCTCTCCCAGAATCCCAACTACCCCCGGGCTTTCAGAATGGCTCAATGAGCCACGTCATGAGCGAGGCAGGTAATGAAATAGGAATTACCTGGATACTACAAGGACATTGATACCTGAAGCGGGCTCTTCAGACTTTTCCCTATCTTTTGACAAACTTGCACTCCCCTTCATCCCCGGGTTGGGCACCGATTCGCTACTTTCCAAGGCAGCATGGCCGGAGGCTTTGAGAAGTCGGTAAAAGGGGCCACGAAGCTCAAGGTGAGTCGGATTATTTACCATTTTTCTATTCGCGCGCGACAGCCACTAATTTTCTCGTGCGAATAGCTCGCAGCTCCCAAATCCAAGTACATTGAACATATCCTCGTGGCAACTCACACCGGTGAGGCAGGTGTCGCAGAAGTATTCCGAACACTCCAACTGCGACTTCGAGACTCGGCATGGACCATTGTGTTCAAAGCGCTCATTGTTCTTCATCTTATGATCCGAGAGGGTCAACTAGATGCTGCGTTGGGATACCTGTCTGATAACCCGAAGAAGATCGCGCCCAGCAATTTCTCGGAAGGTAAGCTGAGTGGTTTTTGATCTACAAGAATAAAGGTATTGACAATTTCGGCAGCTCAATCGCAGGGGCATAATATCCGACGGTATGCTGAATATCTAATTACGCGCGCCAAGGCGTTTGAAGCCTCGAAAACCGACCATGTACGAAGCGGACCGGGTCGGTTGAAGAGGATTGGCGTGGAGAAAGGCCTACTGAGAGAGACGGAGATTGTACAGAAGCAGATTCGCGTGCTATTGCGGTGTGATGTGGGTGATATCGAGTCTGGTTATTGCGCAGTGACTGACAGACCGCACAGCTGTTGACAGATGAGCCCGAGAATGAGATCAGTCTGACGGCTTTCCGCCTCCTCACACTAGATCTACTGACCCTGTACTCGGTCATGAACGAGGGGACGATCAATGTTTTGGGTAAGTCCTCTACCTTCCACGAGTGGCTATTGATTCTAACCGAACGCAGAGCATTACTTTGAGATGTCACGGCCCGATAGTATACGCGCCTTGGCAATCTATAAGACGTTCACAAAACAAACGGAGGAAGTTGTGCAGTTCCTGGGAGTCGCAAGGCATTTCCAATCTGCCACCCGCCTGGAAATTCCCAAACTCAAGCATGCCTCTACTGACCTGGCTCGACTTCTCGAGGATGATCTCAACGACCCCGATTTTGATCTTCGCCGACGGGAGTACCTGGCCAAGAAGGGCGTTCGTGTTCCGTCATCCATGGAAACCAGTGCGAATAACGATGCCCCGAAGCCCGCACCAAGCGCGCCGATGCCTACCCCAGCCAGGCAACCTGAAAAAGCCAAGCCAGCGCCGGTGGATTTGATCGACTTCTTTGATTCAATTGAACAGAATCAACAGCCGATGGGCCAGCCCACATCGGTGCAGTACCAGCAAACAGGGTTCCAACAGCAGCAACCCTTCTATCCGCAGCAGACTGGCTTCCAACAGCAGCAGTCTCAGGCGACTGGATACGGCCAGCAACAGCCTCAACAGCCCCAGGCGACCGGGTTTGGTCAGCCAGCCCAATACAGTGCCCCTTACCAAGCGCAAGGGCCCAATAACCCCTTCGGACAACAGCAGCAACACCCACAACAGCAGCCGCTTCAAGCTATGCCAACTGGTGCTGGATTCGGTGGGTACACAGCGCAGCCACAGTCATATGGATACCAGTCGCAATTGGCTCCCATTCCTCAGGAGGGCATTGCCTCGTTCCAACAGCAACAGCAACCCCCTCAGCCCTTGCAGCCTCAGACTACAGGTACCAATCCGTTCCGTCAGTCAGTGATGCTGAATGCTTCCACGGGCGCTCAACCACCTGCCCGTCCTCTAAGCCGGCAGAACACAAATCCCTTTGCTAGGCGGTTATCAACCGCCAACCAGCAATATAACCCCTCCACCGAGCCATTCCAGAATGCCCAATCCCAGCAAGCGCCACCGCTCCCACAAGCGCAGCCCATTAAACCTCAGCGAACCGGAACCAATCCGTTTGCTCGCAATTCTCCAGCCCCACAAGGCATGCCTCCGGCCGCACCTCTGCAGCCGAATCCCACCGGAAGCACAAATCCCTTCCGACAGAGCCAGTTTATCAACCAGCAGACCGGACAAGGCTGGCAAGCCAGTGGACAAAATGGTACGATGGGCGGACTAGAACAGTTGGAGACGATGCCGATCTTTCCGCGGCCCGGTATGACCTAAATCTCGGGGCTCAACCTATTTGCATGCCGGAATACACCCATTAGATTATTTTCCCTTCACTATCTTATTCGCTGTATCTCATCTGCTTCCCCCCGGTTTCTCCGTCTTCTCCACTGGTAGCTCGGAGTGTGCACAATGTAGTTAGTCCTACGAGTGGAGCTACCTCTTGCATCCGGAGTCCAGCCGGATAATCCGACTCTTGATTGTGTCAACCCCAGCTTTGTATATACCTATACTCTTGAAACATGCCATTGTCATCTCACATTATACTGCAGCATTTCGGCAGTCCCACAGCCACCGGCAGTGTGTATGCCCGCGCCAATCGCGCGCCCAAGTCGACAGTAGTGCTTACGGGAGCGTAAAACCCTTGAGCTGCAAGTTTCTGACCGTTGGAGACATTTCGTCAGTGATCTTGGGGCCAGAAGGAAGATCACTCCACGTTTATAATTAGATGTTTCATGAACCGATGTTTGCACCGTACAAGATGTCGGATTTTCTACTAGTGTACTATATACCCAGATAGCAAAAAGACCGTACCAAGACACCAATTCCGCACTGTACATATGAGTACATGAGTATACGCGTATGTAACTTTGTAGAAGAGCGCCACATGACTCCACCAAAAAGTACTTGGGAGACTCAACGTCCCTGGTGGATAAAGCCAAGAAATACAGTGGATCACCAGCTCACCAGTTTCCCCTCATAGCTTGTTTGGAACTAAGTTGTGAAGCCCTCAAAGCCCCTCAAAGCCCCCTAAGCGCCCCCAAAGCCTCCAAAGGTACCTCAAGGGCTCCCACTTTAGAGGATGTGACTCCCTCGGGCGCAACCTCGCATCCCACTAACAATTTAGCGGGAAAGGTGATTCGCCCAGGGATTAATCACTGAAGAATCCAATTTCCTCAATTCTTCCATATCTACCCTGATCCCCCGGGGCTCTTGGGACTCTTTCTTTCTCCCTCAGAAATGGAGGAAAAGTTCAGCTACGAGCAGACCTTGCCGGTGCTGTCTCGGCCATGGCCGAGTGATGCCGCTCACCCGGACTATGTCCCCGACGATCATCATGACGATACTGAGCCTATCCAGCCCTACCAACAGCCTCAAGCGCAGGTCCCTCCAGCTCCTACTCCAGCTCCAGCACCAGCACCAACGCCAGCCCCTAAACCCAATCGCAATGCCCCCGCCAAGGTCCGCAAACCCCGCAAAGCTAACACCAACGCCTCAGGGAAATCAACCCTATTCTGGGTCAACAGTGACCCCCAGACCGCAGCAGAAGGCACAAAAGAAGAAACACTGAAGCGCATTCGGTCCCATGTGATGTCCGAGCATAACCGCAAGAAACGCATGGAAAGCACGAAGCAGTACAACAAAGACAAATGGAAGCCGACGCCTTACCAGACACCCGCCGGAGCCCTGGTACCGACCGGGACTCCCCGCGCATCGATCAGTTCGTCGGCCAGCTTGTCTGGAAGTCACATCTCAGACGAGCAGGAGCTGGAGCAAGTTGAAATGAGCAATGCGCTTGTTGCAACCTCTGCTGGGTACCCGGTTGTTTCGGCTGCGTCGTGGGATGGGGAGAGCTATGGCGAGGTGACGACTTACCCGTCTATATGGTCGCGCGTGGGACAGGGAGCTAATGATCCGTTTAATACTGGCCATACACAACTGACGGATAGGATGATGCGGCATTTGAGAGTTTGTAAGTCTTCTGTCAGATGGGATTGAATTAGATGGTTGTATACTGACAGTGGTATAGTCCTGTGGGATCTCACGCAAGAAGCACATCCATTGCAGACGCGGTATAAACCCAAACTGCAAGCGCATTGGGCATCTCTGATCCAGCAGGATCCGGCCATTCTGCATGCGACGATCTGTATGGCGACATCTAATGATGCCATGCGTGCTGGCGAGCTGCCTATTCGAGACCCGAATCAGAAGAGGAGTCAGTTGGTGATTGATACATTCCACCATCGGGGTGAGACCATTCGACTGGTTAATGAGGGCTTGTCGGACCCGGTCAAGGCATCCAGTGATGTTTTGATTGCTGCTGTTTCAACCCTGTTGACGATTGAAGTGAGTGTCTCGTAGAGAAGCTGTGGATATCGAACTTATCATGACTGCAGATCGCATCGGGGAACCCTGATTATCTCAAAATCCATCTAGCAGGCCTGCGTCAGATGATCGCACTGCGAAAGGACTTCGACGAGGTCCCTTCGGACGTCCGGTTCCAAATCTCATGGTTCGTCCACCCCCAGCACCAAACAACGCGGCGCAGCTAACAGCAACAGGACCGATATCCGCGTTGCCTGCATGGCACACGCCAAACCAATCTTCCCCTTCGTTCGCTACACTCGCCCAGCTCATTTCTCCCTAATCCCTCCAAATGACGACATAGCCCTCCTAGCAACACGCCTCTTCCCCCTCCTCAAAATCCCAGGCATATTCGGCGAAGCCATGCCTCAGATCATATACGACCTCCTAGAACTATCCTGGTACGCAGAATGGATCAAAGGCAATACAGGCTACAAAGAATTCAACGAAGAAACCGAAGACTACTTCAACACAGAAGTCCTGTACGTGGAGTACATGCTCCACACAGACCGCTACACGCCAACCGGCCAAGTAAAAGGCGACAACTCAATCGAGGGTTGCACCCGTCTCGCCTGCCTCCTCTTCCACAACAGCGCCATCTGGAGCTTCTATCCCATGGTCGCGCAACTCCTCCCAAAACCAATTCTCGCTCTGCGCGCTGCTCTTGCCACTACCATTCCCATGGGTTTGTTCGCGCTGTGTCGGGATCTGCTTATCTGGCAGCTTTTCATGGGCGCTGTCTGTAGTGCTAACTTACCTGCCGAGCGGGCCTTTTTCGTTTCTGAGTTGGCTGCTGCGGCCCGTTTGCAGGGGACTACTTCTTGGCAGGAGGCGCGGGCTCTCTTGTTGGGCTTTTTCTATGTCGATCGTGTTCATCTGCCTATGCTTCGTCAGGTTTGGGATGAGGTTATGCTGCAGGTGGATCTTCCGGCTTGAGTTGCTCAACCCGGATCGGAGTATTGATACTTGTGCCAACGCTTGGAAGTTTGGTGCTTGTAATTCCTATTCCTCCCGTGGTATGTATAATTGCATATAGCGCATGGCGTAGGTTAAATGAATAACGAATACTTCAAAGCATATCAAATCATTGTACCCAGTACAGAGTGCTTATTGTACATGCATGCCAACCTGCTGAGCACTGTACAACCCCTATAGCCAAGAACCCAAGACCCCAAATATACCTCACCTTCCCGATTCAACCCGGCAGACGCAAACATAACAGGTCCTATCAGTCCACAATGACACAATCGGCATCCCGATCACCGAACAATCACCGTCTCTGATCAGCCCTTCCAACTACTAAACAGTATCCCGAGGCATAACCGAGTTTCAACCGGGTGGAGCATCGGCCTTTGCTCGGTAATTGTCTGATGTGAGAACTAAAAGAGTCCTACAGTGAAGTCCTAACCTTTCTACGTCCGTACAGTATGATCAATAAACCAATTCCTCAACGTAGGTGTTGCATGTCTACTCTAAACCAAGGGAACAAAGAATAGACCACTCCAAAAGGCAGGAATAAAGTCGAAGTATTGGGAGTGGAACTATTGAAACGACTCCATGATTGATCCTTCAAACAAAGGCAAGTCCCAGCCGAGAAAAGACCGACATGGATGACTCGGCTTCTCCACCTCCCCTTGGCCACGGAAAGCCGATTATATTAAACGGCCTGGCTCACGCCTGATGTGAGAGTTGGAAAATTATTGTGTTTCGGGGTATATACATACTTCTGTGTTGCCCCCTTTTCCATACATACTGATTTTTGGCTTGGATGCTGACTACTTACTATACTATGGCTTTGCTGATGTTTTGATTCTGGTTATGGCTGATATCACGGCTTACAATTTACAGTCTACAGTCTACAGATCATGGCTTATACAAGGATATCCATGTCTTGTGGGGTGTTCTTATGGTTGTTGGCTTACTATACAGATGTTTGATTCTTTGAACTATCGCTGACAGTATAGCTCTGCGATCAACGAAGCGTATCCATGGCGGATCATTGCATTGATATGCTCTGTTGTCCATTGGAGTTACAGCTTGCAACAGATACCAGCTGCCAGCTTCTAGGTACCCTTCGATGCCAACACACTGCAAGTCCAGTCAAACATCGGCAGTGCACACAACTGCTGATGATCTTGGAACCAGGTAAGACCTGACCCCAATTCACACTTGAGCAACTACCCGAACAAGAACATTGAGATACGTTGTCATAGAACATGGGATTAATTACAGAGTCAAAACTCGCAGGTAAAGAGATTAAATACAACAAGGAAAAAGCCGGGGCCCAATACAAGCATATATGCTCGCATGAAACCACCGGCCAACTATTAACCAGCCACGCAGCTCAAGAGCAAACGAGACCAGACATTTTTGCAACTGTCACCTGGGAAGAGATGTTCCGTATTGATCACTCTACCAAAAGGCAACAGTCACAAAGCCACAGGACGAAAACACAGCCCCCTCGACCCCCCGCGAACACGCGACCGAACCAATCATCAACAACGAGCAAACGCGTCGACGATCGATGACCACAGATATTCCAAAGGAGTCAAGAAACCCAGTATTTTCGCGCGCGACACGTACATACAGCGCTGGGTATCAGAAACATTACAAGTGTCAATTACCTACAGGGCATCGACACCTCTCCATCCACCACCGAGACTCAAGATTTTCCGATCGCGGGACAATCTAAGCGAGCTCGCGCTCAGACTTGGTGCGACGGGTACGGCCAGTAGCCGACCAGGGGAAGTGAGCAACGGGGATGATGAAGAAGCTGTTGCTGTCATCGGCGATACCGGCCAGGGCGTTGTACCAGGCGGCGAAGGCAGCCAGGAGACCGAAGAGACCGCCTGCTTTCTGGACGGGGACGTTGACACCTCCGGCAGAATCGGTCTGCAGGTAGGAGATACCGAGGAGGAGGAAGGTCAGGTCCAGGAAGAAGAAGAGCAGGAAGAAAGCGACGGTTGATTTGAGGGTGCAGAAGAGCATGATGGTTGTGAAGATGAACCAGCCCTGTTTGGGTTAGGTTAGAATTTGGTCTTGGGATACACATCATCATGATGTATGGACTCGAACATACCATCAGGAACAGACCCATTGAGTTATAAAACATGGAGGGATCAGTGGAGGTTGCGCCGAGGAGCTCCTCAATCTCGAACCCGCCGGGGGTCAAGACGATAGCAAAGGCCAACCAGAAACCACCGTAAGAGGAGAGAGCAGTAGCACCGAAAGTGTTGCCAACGGCCATTTCCCTGGGGAGTCACATCAGTCTTCAATTCGGGTATTCCATTGATGGATGGATCGGATACATACCACATGCCGGCAAGCAACTGAACAAGACCACCATATCCAAAAGCAAGACCGACAACAATGTTCGGCGAGCTAATATCCCTCGCACCGATGTTGATACAACTCAGCACGAAAGTAGTCAAGGCGAAAGCGCAGAGGCCCAGAGGCGCAGGGTTACCGAACTTGCGACCCTCAACGGACTTGTACAGACCGGGCTGGAACTCTCCACCAAAGGCTGGGAGAGAAGACTCGTCGACATTAACGTGAGCCAGAGGCCCGTATCCGAAGCGGGCGGCGGCGCGAGCCACCTGGTGCTCCTCGGCGGACAGTTGCGGGTGAATGGGAGCGCCGCCGCCGTTCTGGGCAGGAGCAGCGCCGACGTCCTTATCCAGCCCGGCGTTGTTGGATGCTTCAGTCGCAGACATGATGCAGGATATAATTGATATCTGATTATGGGGTTTCGTTAAAAGGGAATCGTAGAAATGGAAGACCAGCTAGCTGGAATATAAACAACACCACCAAATGATAACACAGTTATTAATGGGGTAAAAGGGGAAAGGATTCAACTCTGAACAGCACTGCTGGTATGGAGATGAAGAACAAAGTTGGAGAAGTGAAAGTTGGATGACAGGGAAGCTAATATAGCCAGAGAAGGGACGAACGGAACAAGGTGGAACCAGCGAACTTACTGCTTTTCCTTTTTTCTTTTTTATTCAAACTGCAATGATGTGCATCCGTTTCCAGCTAACAGAGGTTAATGGAAAAGTGGGAACTGGACGGAGCTAGGGGACAAGTGCCACTTTATGTATACGAGTACAAGTGAACGGGAGTACCAGGGTGCTAGTTTCACGAGACTTTAGAACATACACGTCGGTATGCCAGCAGCCCATGCAGATGCAGGGACGGCACGGAAAAATGGATGAATGAAAATACCAAGGCAGACCGGGGAAAAAGGGCGGGGGATCCGGGGGAGGCAATGGATTATTTGCATTATTCTATACTCCTTCACCTCGTCTTTCCCCTTTCATCTTTCGCCTTTCACACTTTCATCTTTCTTCTGGGGTTTCCTCTGGGGCAGTGTTCTCATGTTCTTTTCCAGTTTTAATTTCCCGGCTACTTTCTCTTTGCCTCCGGTCGGCCGCGTCTGATCAGTGGGTCAAGGGTCTCAAGCCCGGCTATGCACACTACATGTATATAGCCTGTACGGAAATTACTCCACGGTAACAAGGCTTGAATGAAAATCACGATCGTCTTTCCCACCTCGAACTTTCCCTAGCCCGATGGAGAAAAGAAAGCACCTGCTTTTGCAGCGATTTGCATCAAATATGCGGCTTTGTGGAGAGAAGAATTGACGATCCATGCTCAACCTCCCAAGCTTCGGGGGCAAATCCCGGGACAACCGGGTCAACTCAACTGCGTCACGACCTCGGTCCAGCACTTCCATTTCTCCAGAGACCCAAGCTAAGTCCGCAGTTGATTCGCGTACAGCACACATTTGTAAGCTGTCTAGCTGTCTCCGGGCGGGATTATGCACCAATGAATCCATTACGCCATAAGTCCGACCTGTCCCAACTATACCATACACAGTAGACAAGGATCTCTATGATTCGTCATCTATCTATGCAAGTTTCTCCATTTTCTCCCTCCATTAGCGTGGGTACATCGTGGGTCTAGTCTCCGTTTTCCCTCCTTTTGCCCCTTTTTTGAGTCGGGCACGGATTACTGTACCCATAGACTTAATGTTGACACGGACAATCCTCATCAAACTCCGATTTTAGTATTTTGCTGGACGTTTCGGAAAGACGGGATATGTCAGACTGAGTTTGAGGTTCTATCAATTGCTATTCTCGTCTATGCTTTACAGTATACTTACTGCACAGAAATTGTACAACTGACCGTTGAGAACCAAAATCGAGACCCCCGGGTCGGCAACGCCGTGCGTGATTTTTTTTTATTTGATTTGATTTGATATTACTTTTTCCAAGCTAGACATGCAAGGTCAAGCTTCATCTCCACCTAGTGGTTCGAGGAGTGACAAACGTGAAGAGTGGAACCTGTCGACGTCTCACTATGCTCCATTGAGCTCTTGTTGACTTCGGATTCGGCCCGCGTCAGAGATTTCCCCCGTTACAGCTTCGGACGGTTTCTGTCTCGGGTTGGGACCTCCTTGATCTAATTTCGTGGCCTACGGAGTTCTCTACTGTCTAGATTTAGATCATGTACTAGCATGTATCCAGGGGTTGGGGGCCAGGAAAAACACGGCAGGATCATTCCGACACTAATACAATCTCGGTCATTATGCAAGATCCCCCTACAGGTGCAGACTATCTGCTCTGCATGCTGGTATGGCTAGATCCACTTGCTCGTACAGTACAACCTCTCTATTCCACCAAGTTTGTGGACTATGGAATCCAGGTGAAATCTCTGGCATGCCACTAGTCGCTAGTGGTGGTTGGTCCCCTTATACATTGATTTGTGGCGTGCCAAGAACAATAAACAACCACCACAATGCTTGAGATTGGCTTTAGCCTTGAAGGCGTGAAACTTGTGTGGACATTTGACTTTAGGCTGATATTATCCGGTGAGACATGCATTGTAAGGTTGCAGGGGAGTTCTAGCCACTACAGAGAACAGTTGGACCAACGTGACTGTAGAAAACTGTAACTGTAAACAGTGCAAATCTCCCAGAGCGCTCGAGAAGTACAAACTCTGCTTTGTCAGAAGTGGCGCTATTGGCAGTTCAATAACCCAACAAAGTAAGTGTTGACCGCTATGCCAGAGCACGGATCAATGGTTGTCCCAGCAGCCACATGGCAAAGTAACTATATCGAACCAACGAACTATCCAAACTTGAGTTTCCCAGACTCTACGCTGACTCGAAGCAGCAATGCGGGGAGAGCTCTCTCAGCCCTGGAGTAGCGTCATGCATCGTCATGCGACAGTCGATCCTGCCTGCACACTTAACTTCCAGAACCAAAATGTTAAACATTTGGCGAATAACAAAGATCTCAGTTTCCCCACAGTTGCTCATCTGATCCCAGTTCACTCCATACCCCAGTCCAACCACAATGCAGTACTTGAAGATCCCGTTCCAGTGACGCTCATTACCCCAATATCAGTCTTGGAAAGCAAAATAATTGGATTGTATTCCATGGTTCACACTGGATCCATCAGGTCAACTCCAATAGCCGAGAAAAATGGTCAATTCGGCTCGGCGGAGCGGAACGCTTCTCGGATCGAAGTTCATGATGCCCAGAGGTGTGTGTTCTGTACAGCGCCTCTTTGCCAAGTCGGACAAACCCCAAGCCACGTGAGGATCTTACCATGGGAGATGAGATTGTGGGGATACACATGGGTACTTCGTACCGTACTATTGTACTTGCAGATATCAGAGAAGGATGTTCGGATAAAAGTCTGATTTAGATCCATGCACCTCGCCCGTTCGAGTGATGTTTGATTTTGGGATGTGTCGGAGCTACTTGCGGATCGGGCGGGTTGGATGTCCCAAAAAGAGGTTCAGTTGATGATGTTTTATCGAAGAGCGGTCAGCTATCTTGGCGCCCTGGGCAACTTCCTCTCTGAGAGATCTCTTGTTCTCTTCAATTTTCATCCATGGGCTTATCTGGTCGACGACAGTATCTAGTCGTGCTGCTCACTGCCGACCGGTCAACCCCCAAGGCTTCCTCTGGACAACCCCAACACCTTATCAGTATATCCCAACACTCTCCCCAAGACGTCCAAAGACCTCTAAATAACCCAGCTCACTGGCCAGCTCACCGGCCAGCTCATCAGCTAATCACCAAAACACAGCCAGGATTGATCAACCCCAACTGCCGTCTGTTCCGCGTGCGGGGTCAACTACATGCCCAAATCAACACTTATCTCAGCGATCACCTTCTTAGTAAAGCTACTGTGCAAAAGCGCTGTCTAACGAGCCTGTCAGAATTCTCATCGCATTTATCTAAGCTGCGCGCTGCACAATCCGCTAGGGTAGCGATGTGACAGTTGCGCTGGACTTTCCCGTCATCCCTCTTGCTAGTCAACCAGTCAGCCAACCACCGAGTCAGTCTCGAGTCGAGATTTGGTACTTGTTATCAATCGGCGGCTTAGACCGCGTATTCTCCGCGCGATGGACTGCTATATCCCTACAGATGCGCTTCTTCAGGAAGGTAGGAGCGATGCTATCTTGTTTGGAGATGTTGTTTCTTGCTTTGGTCCGAGGGCTAGAGGGGGTGAGGTGCTGCTCTGTGCGCTTAGATTGACTTGTTAGGTAGAGGCGATAAGGTGTTGAGTATATTTATTCCAATTCATTTCTGTCTCAAGGTGCAGGTTCTATCTACAGTACTGTATATCCCTTCTTCAATCCCGGTATCCCACTTTGATTTGGGCCTCCAGCAACCAAGAGAAGCAAACTCATTCCACCCCAACTCAATCCAATACTACTACCCCGGCCAAATCTATGAGAACAATGAGCCCAGACCAACCAGAAAAACAACCAATGTTCAGCACAAACATGGACCTAGAAACAAAAGACAACCTAATATCAACCGGCAAGGCCGACGCAGCCCTCGACTTCCTCCGATCAGAAAATCTAGCAGAGATATCAGAAGTTAACGAGAAAGCACTCGTGCGCAAGATCGACTGGATGATCATGCCGTTGATGTGGGCGGCGTATAATCTACAGTATTTGGATAAGGTGCTTAGTAGGTGGTCCTAGTTCCCATGCCCAAGTCTAATTCATAAAATGCATGGATATCGTTTCTTACTTCTCTTCCTTCTTTTTTCTTGCAGTTAACTATGCTTCGGTCATGGGCTTGCTGAGTGATACCAATATGCATACGGATCAATTCTCGAATCTAACGCTTGCGTTCTATGTGACGTATTTGTTTTTTGAGTTGCCTACTGGGTTTTTGATGCAGAGATTGCCGACTGCTAAATATCTGGGGTTTAATGGTGAGTCTGGTTTGGAGTGGAGGTTTGATATATGATATAATATGTGTTTACTCACTCGTGGATAGTTACATTATGGGGCCTCATGACGACTTTGAATTGCACAGCGAAGAATTTCCCAGGACTGATGGTTCTCCGCGTCTTACTTGGTTGTTTCGAGAGTGCAATCGCACCAGCGTGAGTCCTAGCAGTATCTAGCGCTAATCCAGTCATCGTCTCACAATACTTCAGATTGATCCTTATCACTTCAATGTGGTACAAACGAGACGGTACTACCACCTACACCACCCCATACACACATGCATACATACACACAAAAACTGACCAACCAACCCAGAACAACCCAAAAGAATGGGAATCTGGTACCTAGGCACAGGAACCGCCTCAATAATGGGCGCCCTAGTAGCCTACGGCCTCCTCTTCTACACCTCGAACACCTTCAAACCCTGGCAAATAATGTTCCTAATCTTCGGCCTAATAACCATAGCCGTGGGAATAAGCATAACAATCTTCCTGCCGGACAACCCAATGACATCGCGCCTAACGCACAGCGAAAAGCTCCTCGCAATCGAACGCCTCCGCGAAAACCAAACTGGAATCGAAAACAAGCACTTCAAACGCGGTCAGTTTATTGAGATCTTCACGGATCCGCAGACTTACCTTATTGCTGTTATCGTCACCGCTATGGATGTCCCTAATGCGGCCATGAGTAGCTTTACTTCGCTTATTATTAAGAATTTTGGGTATACGACTAAACAGACGGAATTGCTGAATATTCCTAATGGAGCCGTTAGTATCGTCAGTATCCTTGCTGTATCATATGCTGCAGGACGCTACAATCAACGCTGTTTATGTGTTGTTGCTTCTCTTTCAGCTGGATTGCTGGGCGGATGTTTACTCGCGTTCGCGCCGAGGTCGAACAAATCTGCTCAGCTTGCTGGGAATTATTTGACACAGTGTACTGGATCGGCATTGCCGATTATGTATTCGCTGGCTGGAGCTAATGTGGCTGGACATACGAAGAAGGTCTCTATGAATGCTGTTTTGTTGATGGCGTTTTGTTTGGGGAATATTTTGGGGCCTCTTACTTTCCGGACTGAGGACGAGCCTGATTATGTGCCGGCTAAGATTGCCATTGTTGCTACGCTTGCTGTGGCTATTGTCTTTACGTTTGGGCTTAGGGGGTATTATGTGTGGGAGAACTCGAGGAGGGAGAAGGCTGGTGAGGGGAGGGGGGATGTTGAGTTTTTGGATTTGACTGATCGTCAGAATAGGGGGTTTAGGGTGAGCGTGATATTGGGTTGTGTTGGTGTTGGGATTGTGCTAACTGTTGTCTAGTATAAACTCTAGATCGAAAGACTCGAAGCCGTGGTCAATTTACACAAACATCTCACATCGCAGTCAATATATGACAGTCTTCTATTCTAGTCTTATTCCAAGATTATATACACTATATCGCTAAGCAAACAAACATCAAATCCAATCAAGCCTGAGCCTCGACAGTCTTCTTGAACTCCTCACTGAACTCATAGTCAATGTATCCCTTAGGATCCTTGGGAACATAGAAGTTCGTCCGGTCATGAGGCACAAAGGAAATACCCTCCTTAATGCGGAAAGCCAGATCAGGGTTAGTAATAAAAGGCCTTCCAAACCCAATAACAACATCATAATCCTTATACTTGCCATCAACGGCCCGAACCGCCGAATCAGCCTTATACCCACCAGCAACAATAACCGGCGAAGCATCAGCATAAGCCTTGAGGAAGAAATCCAACTGATCAGTCGACTCCACATCCGCATTGCCCGAAATCCGCGACTCAACAACATGAACATAAGCAAGCTTCAACGCAGCCATCTGCGTCGCAAGATACGCAAATTGCGGCTTAGGATCAGCCATCCGCATGCCCTGGAAAGTACTCCAAGGACTAAACCGGATACCCGTGCGATCCGCACCAACAGCATCAACAACAGCCCGCGTAACCTCAACAGCAAACCGTCCCCGCGCCTCAACACTACCGCCATACCCATCCTCACGCACATTGCAGGTATCCTGAATAAACTGATCAATCAGATACCCATTCGCAGCATGGATCTCAACACCGTCAAAGCCAGCCTTGACAGCATTCCGAGCAGCCTGCGCATAGTCTTCAACCCAGCCAGCGATCTCAGCCTCCTCAAGCGCACGCGGCGTAGCGGCGTCCTCGGAAGCAGGCGTGGCACTGCTAGAGATAAGTTCGAAATCGCCTTCTGCTTTCAGCACATCCGGGACGGCGACGCGGCCGAGTGCCCACAGCTGCACGTAGATGTGGCTGCCCTTGGCGTGCACTGCGTCGGTGATTTCCTTCCACGCGGCGATTTGCGCGTCGTTGTAGATTCCCGGCACGTTGGGGTAGCCGCCGGCGCGCGGGGAGATGAAGGTTGCTTCGGTTATCAGGAGGGTTCCTGGGACTGAGGCGCGCTGTGCGTAGTAGTCTTTCATGAAGGGGAGTGGGATGTGGTTGTCGTCGGCGCGGAAGCGGGTCATTGGGGCCATGGCGATGCGGTTTGAGAGCTCGACGCGGCCGACGTGGAGGGGGTGAAGAGTTTCGTCATTTTGGGGGAGTTAGGGTTGTGGATTATAGAGATAACAGAGGATTTTGACTGTTATTTGCTATGGACTGGGGAAAGGGAGCATAGTGGCTTTATATACATTTGACTATAACCCCACTGTAGATTATCAATCACCAGATTTACAATCATAGTATGTTGCAATTCAAGCCGCGGAAAAACTAAAAATAAGTCCCCGAAAAACAGCAGCAATTGGCACTTCTGATTTGCTACTGGGGGACATCGGCGCAATTAATAATTAATAATCATCTAGTGGGTCGGACTCGGGATACCAGCATATTCTCTCATGTTCGATAAAGGGCTTGTACACTAAACGCCATCCACTGGCCCGGCCAGGACTATACCTATTGTACAAACTGGTATCATAACGATAGAAAAGGAAAACATAAATCAAATATCATCGCTCCAGGCGGCTGGCAGTAGCTTCAAGCTGTGCATTAAACGCCCGTATTTGGTTCAGGAGTCCACCTTGGGCTCCCGGGGCTCGAGAACTCACATCGGCGACGGTGCGGAGCATGAATTCGAGATCTGCAGAGGTGGATTCAACAGCTACGGTGCGGTTCTGATTGCGCTCGAGGGCGAGTTCGAGGCTGTGAAGGGAGTTGTTGATGGTGGTTCGTGACTGGGATTGTTAGTAGGGCACTTTCGGTCGAAATAGAAACGAGACATGATACTTACCGATTTGGCCTTCTCCTCTTCAATGTGTTTGCCGCGCACTGCGTCCATCTGTAAAGCCACCATTTCTCGTTCCTTTTTGACCCGGTATAGATGGCTGCGTAGTTCCATCATTTCCTTCTTGGCTTTCTTCAACTGCACACCGAGGACAAAGTTACTGTCCAGCATCTCGCTTAGATCCATAAGACGACTCTCAAGTTCAGAGCCAAAGGCCTCGACGGCTTTTCTTTTGCGTGTCCACTCTGCTCGCCGTGTAGCATTCTCCTCATTGGCAATCCCATCATTGAGTGTTGTGAGGGTCTTCTCTAGAGTTTCGCGGCAGATCTGGCCCAATACGTCTGCAGGATTGACACCGCCGCGGTTGGGCACCTTGGTCCGCTGGCGTGATGATAGCTCGTCGGCGGAGTCTTGTTCGTCTCCAGGATCGGCAGCAGAGACCCTGCCACCCAGAGCAACGGCGTTGGCGAGACGATGAACAGTGACAGGGAAGCTCTCCCCTCGAGGCTCACGAGCCTTTCGGCGAGTTTGCTCTGTAGGCTCAGCTGCTGGTTGCTCTTGCTCTTCTGCATCAGCTTCTGCATCGGGTTCTGTCTCACGCTCACCGGGACGCTTCGCCTTCTTTGTAGGCCTTCCGCGTGGTTTGGATGCAGTCGATACAGCCTCAGGGCTTGGTTGGCCTTCTGTAGTGGGTTGGGGTTCAGACCCAGGCTCCGCTGGGCGTTTCCCTTTCTTGCTAGGTCTGCCACGTTGTGGCTTAGAAACTGCAGCTTCCACCTCCGCAGCGTCTGGTACGGGCTCAGGCGAAGCCCTGACAGCCCCAGCGGCTCTGTTCTTCCCATTGAGAGATGGTCTGCCACGAGGCCGCTTGGGCTGTGAAGATGTCTCAGCTTGTGCTGCCGGAGGCTCATTTGAAACTCTCCCAGATTCAGCAGCCTTTGTCTTGCCATTGAGAGACGGTCTTCCGCGAGGCCGTTTGGTTGGTGCAGATGTCTCAACTTGTTCTGCCGTGGGTTCAGGCCGTGTTTCAGGTACAGGGTCTTGTGCCGCATTTGCCGCACTTTCTGGGGATTGAGACACAGTTGACTTGCGCGGGCGACCTCGCGCTTTCCTTGTCTTCTGGGTAGGATCTGTAGATGCTTGGTTGTCTTGTTCTGGTGCAATTTCCGTGGTTTCTGGGGCGCTTACAGCCGCCTCAGCACTATCATCAACCGAAACATCATTAGGTCTAGCAATCTCTGTTGATACGTTGCTTTGTAGAGCTGTTGTAGGTCTCTCTGCCAGATGGGCCGCCGGCGAAGCAGGTACTATGGCACCTCGTTTCCTGCTGTTGTCTCTTTGAGCCTGTTTTGCAGGCATTATGGGTGACTGGATCTTGTGTCGTTCTTCACGTAGTGGCTTCATCTTTTCTGGCTGCTTGGCCCCAGATTGAGCCTCAGATGAGGGTGCTTTGGGTACTGCAGTTGGCTCTTGCGTGCTTTCAGCCAGTGTAGGCTCTGCGACGCCATTTGCTGGTGTGCCATTTTGAGCAACCCGCTCTTTGTCGGCTGGGGTCACTCGATCCACGCCATTAGCGCTCGAGGTCTCAGTTCCTGGACGCTGACCTTCGATAGTGGCGTCGGGTATCGGGGGTGCATGGCTGGGTTGCCCCTCTGTGCTACCTGCGCTGTGATCAGCATGTTGGGAGTCGTCATTCGCGGGTCGCGCCGTGTTTCGCCGAGTTGGAGTATCCTGAGTTCCTTCGATTGGATCTTGAGAAGCATTAGCACACGCTTGAGCGTAGATTGAGTCTGGCGCCAAACATACTGATCTTCCTCCGTTTGCTGCTTCGCGTTTGTTCAGGCCTATCGTCTGAGGGTATGTCATATGTCGAAGGCCTCTCGGGGAATTTGTTACGCGCGCTTCCTGGAGTACGCGCAGTCTCCTCCTCGCCTTGGGTTGACGCCTTGGTCGGTCGTGGTGTGGTCGCAGGTTGTGTTTGTGGTTGAGGTTCAGGGACAATAGCAAGCGGCGCTGGCGCTGATGGTTCTGGCGCAAGGCCACCGAATGAAAATCCGAAATTGACTTCTTTTGCTTTGCGCGTCCTATCCTAAGTTAGCTATGTTGTTTCGCGGGGTAGAAGTAAGGCGCGTACCCAGCTCCACGCTGCCGCATTTGCTGCCGCTCCTCTCGCGCTGTCAACGGTTAGCGATCAGCCCAATACATATATATAGACACCACATACTGGGTTCCATGGTGGAGGAACGGCGTCGAAAAAGACGCGTCGTGTTGTTGGTTGAGGAGTAGAACGCCAATTGCGGTCGGAGCCAAGGCGATCGGGGGCCGATCCATTTTTGTGCCGATTTCTCCGCAACTCTCAACGGTCACCTTTTGCAAGTTCAAATGGGTTGGTTCTGGGGCGACAGCAAATCTGACCCGGTTAACAAGCTCGAACCGGGTCTTCGTGACTATCTCGAGCAGGAGCAGCCCGATAAATATGTGCCTGCCGGTGTGAACCCGACGACTCCGACGCCTACGCAAACATCCCAACCTTCTGATCCTTCGAAACGTCAAGTCCCTGCGGCTTCTCTTTACCAAGATGGCCGTTACGCCCACCTCTGGAAGACCTATAAGCCCCCGGCAGATATCGATGAGAATAACGGAGTCCGCGGGGCAGAGCGAGTGATCGAAAAGCACAAGGAGCGCGGCGACACAGTGCAGCGGGCAGCAATGGAGAACTGCGCCTTGGAGCATGAAGCCTTGACCTACTGCTTCAAGACGGGCAACTGGCGCAAGCAGATTGAGGCCCGACTGACTCTGTGTTCTGCGGAGAATGGCACTTTCTCCCGATGCTTTACAACCCAGACCGTGAGTTGGTACCTATGCTGCCTACATGCATATTGATACTAACATGACTACCGCGACTAGAAATTCCTCCAGGCTCTTGGCTACGCATCCTCCTTCAACCACGACGCCGAAAAAGAAGAGCGCATCCAGATGCACGCCGACAAGCTCTACCACCAGATGTTAGACTATGAAAAGCGAGTCGAGGAAGCCAAGGCAGCCGGTGTTGAACCACCTCCCATGGCGTCCCTGTTCCACCCAGAGAAGCAATCACCAGCAGAGAAGAAGCCCGGTCTGGAGATCCCCGGAGGCGAGCCCATCCCAGCAGGATTCAAGCCTTCAAAGCCGCTACAGAAACTCACTCCCCATGAGAGAGAGCTGGAGATTAGGGCGCACTATGCGCAATTGGAACAGCAGAAGATGTACGTGGAGGAGGCCGGACCCTTCATGAAGACTCAGGATAATGCACGGGAGAAGCGACGGGAGAAGGCTGTCAGTTGGTTTGGAGAGACGATTGGTAACTGGGTGTCGTAAACACTATTGTATTCTATGTAACAATTTGAAGGCGTTGGGGATACTTCACAATATAAATGTCAAAGAACCGAAGAACTGAAGAATAAAGCGGGCAGTCAGAGGCTCGGCATATCTAATCGGCGGTCGCGTTCCCGCGCAAACAACTCGAAGCATCATCGCGGAATCAGCGACTTCCCTACTCTTATTTTCTCCTCTCCTCTTTGGTTTCTCTTCTCTTCTCTCTCTCTGCTATCACTCTACCTCCTTTCTCTCCTTCTTCCTTCCATCTAACTGAAGGTCCCCTCTGGTCAACCCTGCTCTCACACCAGCTACCACCCGGAAGAGAGATCACTAGCTGGACGCGAGGTCTCTCCCTTGAAAAAAGACCGTTCAGTCGCATCGGTGGTGGTCAATACAGCTTGTTGAGCTGCGTTGCCCTCCATGAAGGCCACTCCGTTGCTTGTTTCATGGCATAATGACAATGCCCCTATCTATTCGGTGCATTATGACCCCAATGGAAAGGGCCGTCTAGCTACTGCTGGCAAGTATGTTTTCTCTGCGACCTCTACTATGACTCCCTTGACTGACTATCGCATCTTCTAGTGACAACAACGTCCGAGTATGATTCCGTCTTCCTCGTCCTTCTCCGACTACCATGATCTGACATATCTACAGCTTTGGAAGGTCGAATCTGCCGGAGAGGACCGAAAAGTTACTTATCTAAGTACTTTGTTAAAACATACACAGGCCGTCAATGTGGTTCGGTTCAGCCCGAAAGGTATGTCCTTCCACAGGGAGCATGGGACTGTAGATCTGACTGTTGACAGGTGAGATGCTGGCATCTGCCGGAGACGATGGAAATGTCCTGCTGTGGGTACCGTCGGAGCTGCAGACGCAAGCTGGGCTGGGCGAAGACCGTTCGGATGACAAGGAAACATGGCGTGTGAAGTACATGTGTCGCTCGTCCGGTGCCGAGATCTACGACCTGGCCTGGTCTCCCGATGGTGTTTTCATCATTACAGGCAGCATGGATAACATCGCCCGGATCTACAATGCCCAAACTGGTTGGTTCATCTCTATCCAACTCGTATCCGGTTGGATTTGCTGACAGGTCAATTCCACAGGGCAAATGGTCCGACAGATCGCAGAGCATTCACACTACGTTCAAGGTGTAGCCTGGGATCCGCTGAATGAATTTGTCGCGACTCAGTCGTCCGACAGATCGGTCCATATCTATTCCTTGAAGACTAAGGATGGCCAGTTCACATTGACACCACACGGGAAGATCCACAAGATGGATCTGCCCGCCAAGCGTATCTCCTCCAGCAGTCCTGCGCCTCCAGATATGACTAGCCGGCCCCAGCAGCCCACCGCAAATTCCCTTGCGATTGCCTCGCCTGCTCCCTCGACCCCAGGAACCCCAATGGCATCAAATCTTCCCATGGATCCTCCTCCAGTATCACATAGCCGACGGTCTTCGTTCGGCTCGTCTCCTTCGATCCGGCGCTCTGCCTCTCCTGCCCCGTCTCTACCATTGCCCGCCGTGAAACCAATGGAGACATCCTCCCCGAGCCTTGTTGGTGGCCTTGGTGGTCTAAGTGGACTGGGGGTAAAGAACACCAGCATCTATGCCAACGAGACGTTCACGTCCTTCTTCAGGCGGCTAACGTTTGCCCCCGACGGAAGCCTGTTGTTTACACCAGCTGGGCAATTTAAGACTTCTCACATCTCAGCCACGGATTCTGCGAAGACGACAGATGAGATCATCAACACCGTCTACGTCTACACACGGGCAGGTTTCAACAAGCCCCCGATCTCTCACCTTCCAGGACACAAGAAGCCATCAGTTGCAGTCAGATGCTCCCCGATCTTCTATACCTTGAAGGACGGTATCCAACCTGCCAGAACCCTCACCCTTGATACGTCTTCTGGCGAGGACATGTTCCCATCTCTTCCAGATCCCGTGGTAACGACAGGGCAGTCCTTTATTAACCAACCCCAGATGGATCCCCCGTCTTCAACGCCGGCCGAACCATCGAAACCTCAACCATCTGCAAAGACCCCTGAAGATGGCGTTGACACAAACCAGAACTCGGCTCCAGTATTCGCACTTCCTTATCGCATTGTGTATGCCGTTGCCACCCAAGATGCCATTTTGGTATATGACACGCAGCAACAAACCCCATTGATCGTTGTCAGCAATCTGCATTTCGCTACATTCACCGATCTCTCTTGGTAAGTTGCTCCATCCTTTCACCGTTCGAATTCTCTTAACACACCATAGGTCCACTGATGGCTTGACATTGCTCATGAGTTCTTCTGATGGCTTCTGCTCAACGCTTTCGTTCGCCCCTGGGGAGCTCGGACAGCAATACACTGGACCAACAGGGCCAAACTCTACAAGTCAAAACAGCGCAACATCAGGCACCTCTTCAACAAACATCACACCTCTGCCGACACCAACGCATGCGCCATCCCCGGCCAAGGCCCATGTACCAGCGAACACGGCAGCTGCAGCACCCCCAGCTAGCCCCGCACGGTCAAACTCAGCGAACTCAATCGCAACTCAGTCTTCACAACCACCCCCTACTGGTGTGGTTAATAACCCTACTCCAATTCTAGGCTCTGTCCCGCTTGTAACAGCAACAAACTCTGCGCAGCCACCAACACTTCCACTGACAACACCGCCACAAACTCCATTAAGCACCCAAGGTGGCGCCACCACCGGTGGCACCGTGTTGGGCAAGCGCGATGCAAGAACTACCAGCGAATCGGAGAGAGAAGATACCAAGGATGCGTCAAATACGCCGCCACAGCCGCAGAAGAAGCGCCGCATCGCTCCAACCCTGATCTCGTCCGGTACCGATTCGAACGATGGGAAGTCATGAATGAAACCTGGGAAATTCTGACGATGCCGATTCCGGTCTCATTTCTACTGTGCTATCCTACGATCCCCTTTTCGAGTTCGGCAGGTTCCATGCAAGGGATAATCAATTTCTGTCGCTTGTGCCTGTAGCTCATGATTCATGTTCTTCTCATAATCTCTCATGTTATATCCTCCTCGTCTTCCAACTGTACTCGCACGTGAACGATCGCAACATTTTGCTTTCTACCCGCATCTGATTCCTCAACCCTTGTTATTCTATGCAGACTTGTTTCTTCGGCGCAAAAAGCATTTCTTCATTTGCTCTCATGCTCATCCTCATCGATGGCAAAATCATTATTTATTTTCAACATTTTCGCTATCCCACGTCCTTTATTTTATCCTAGATGGACGTCTCATGTGCTAGTTTCTGTCGTTATGTGGTTTATGTATTTTCTCTTTGCTTCTTTATCAGGTCGCTGTCTGCTCACTTTTTGCGGTGGTGCCTTTGCTGAATTGAATTACATGATGCTATTTGATGGTAATTGGCCGCAGCAAATGGCTATGCTGGTTCAAGCTTCCCTTTTGCTAAAATCTTAGTTTGTATGCATCACGTGCTTAGAATATAACTCAGGGTTGCTCTGACCTCTGGCGTGAGTGGTTATCCTTCGGTCGCCGCTCAGGATAAAGCACAATACCTATATAGAACCCCCAAGGTCTGTTTCTTATATTCACTATCTCCCTACTTACCCCCTAATCTTGAAGGTCAATCCGTCTACAGTGGCAACCTCTATATTATCCATTTACAGAGCACTGTACGAACCGATTGCCTCACTTTTATAAAATAGCCAAAAATTCGTGTATCAGCCCTTCACTACCCGTACAGGCGCTATCCTGTCAGGCATAGACTGAATCAGGCAATTTGTAGCACCCAAGTCTAATAGTAATATATCTTCGACCATGCATTACATTTTCTCTCTATTAAGCTAAAAATGTTTTCAAATTGCTTAAAACAAAGATTCGATGAAAAGCCGCCTTTGAATAAAGACTGTATATCGGTTTAAAAGAGATTTTGAATTAGGTGTGTAAGCAGTCTAATTACCTAAAGACGTGAAGTCGAACCGCTCTTGCTCAAGCCTCGAAGCGTTGATCTTTACTGTGTCGTTCTAAGTATAGTTATAGTTTTTCGTGCTCAATGACCGCCTTTAAGTGCTCTCGTGTACAATCGCGAGCAAAAAGTGGCTTTGTATGGGGTATGTGAATGGGTGGACCCGATTTACCGTAAACACACTAGTAGATCCACAAATACATGAATTGTGGGGTATCGTATATGCAAGATGGACGATCAATGGGGATGACATCAAGAAATATCCCATTCAACCCGTGAAGGCAGCTTGTAGGCCTCGTGCTGCACCCAGAGACCGGAGTCCAGGGGTACTATACTTATAAAACTGAAGTCTTTGGTACTTGATGTTTTTTGTTTTTCCATTCTTCTCTCTGCATCTAAATGGTCTCTGCTCCGGTCCTGATCGCTTCTCCAACCGATGGAGGACATCGCGCTACTGCAAATTAGCCATGGAGATAATAAGGTTTTATACACATACCTCTTCAGCCCATCTCTTGAATAAAACGTCGTCAGAGCCATCTGCCGCCGGATAGTCACCGGAATTGGGGTTGTAAGTGTTACAATTCAGATCAATTTCGGAGCCTCCAATGATATTTAATACTACATGAAGGGGCGCATTCGAGTCACAGCTGGATGGTTACAAAACACGAAATCATTTCCTAGTCATACAAAGGTGTAGAAAGGGAAGTGCGTATCCAAAAACACCGACGATCAACATAACAATAACACTAAGAATAACCCAACCAAAACAAACTCAAAATCCCAAAACTTATTGTGGAGGTCTCCAAAGGGGCGTTGGAAGGCGAGACAAAAAGCTCAAGATATTCAATAGTGATCTGTCCATCGGCAACTTGTATCTCGCATCATCAACATACAAGCCCATACCCACAGTATAAATAAAAGAAAAAGAACCAGAATGACGCTGGGAATCATCTATTCGACGCTGGGGTGGTAATTGCAGTTCCCGCTGTTTCATATCTGCCCAGTGAAACAACGCATTCGTGCCGCAGACACCGCCGACGACAAACACAAACTCTGGATTAAGATTTTCTGGGAGTTGATCCATGACGTGCTCTGCAGCGAAATCCATCGAGATGTTCATATCTGGCTCGGCGTGTACAGCAGAGTCTTTGTGGATGATCTTGTAGGACTCGCGGCCGCGGAAAGCCCTGGCTTGGTAGGCGAGGTCATTGGCGAATCGAATTGCAGCTGGATAATCCAGTGCCGTATCGTAGCGAAAGACCATGGAGTTGTCTCTTTGTTCAAGGAAACTGCCTTCCACTCGCTGTCGATAGTGTTTCATCATGTTCCAAATTCCATCCAGCCATGCTTGTGATTGTTCAGTTTTCCAGAAATGAAACTTGGTTGAGGAAACTTCTCTGATTAGGGATCCGCATTCGAGATCTCCCTTCCTCCATTCTTTGATGATCACATCGGCAAATGCCTCATTGACCTTAACATATTGGTCCCAGGAGAACCCTTCGTATTCAGCATGCCGAGGCCCCTCTTGCATCTGGTAATGAAGGACTGGCCAAAGCACCGAGCGACAGAATTGAGTGTAGTGGCCCTCGAACGTATTGTCATCCACGAAGACCGTCAAGCAATCGTGTACCATTTGCATGTTCATGGCAATGGCTGATCGAGTTGGCTCTGTCAGTGAATCGCTAGGCATGCCGAGAGTGCCTACCCACATCGGATTGCCAATTACCCCTTCTCGAATGCCAACGCGAATAGCATTGTGAAGACCCCCGTTGCCTTGTTCGGAGTCCCTGGTCGTCCATTCAGCAGTGGAGAGCAATCCCCATGCGTTTTCTTGTTCCTCAAGGGCCGAGGCGTCCAATGATCCATCTTGGGGTTCAAAGCATGGCGCCTGGGGGCGAAGTGTGCTCGCCGTTGACGAACCTGGAGCTCGAGTCGCTGTGGGTCGAGGCTGGTTGAATCTCTGACTACGGCCCGAGCGGACTTGATGACGCTGACTCGGGTCAATCCATCCATCGTCCGATGATCCTGATGCCCACGTGTTTTCTTGATCTCCAAGATGTGAAGCATCGTGTAATCCATTCAGAGTGAGAGAAATCGGTTCCTCGACCTGGGGACTTGAAATTTTCACGATTGGCGATCCTACGTTGCTGTGGATCGAGGTTGGTTGTATCTCTGACTTCGGCCCCAGCGGATCTCATGACGCTCACTGTAGCCGAAACTTTGGAGATGCGGGTCTTTCAAACCATCGTCCGAATGCCCTGATGCATATCCTTTGAAGACCAAGTCATCCCTCACGGCTTCGGATGTCAATGGGGGTTGTCTGGTGTGTCGATCGGATCGAGATTCATACATGACAAGCGCCCGACAATGGGCGCTGGGCCATCAAAAGCTGCATGGCTAACTGAACCATCTCGCTGATCTGCACCGGGTGTGGCTTTGAAGTCGATGGTCCAGGGGAGGAACCTGAGAATCATGAAAATGGAACGTCAGTCTTGTTAGGTATGAATCAGGAATCAGCTCACATCGATGCAAGAAAAGCTGTCATTGGAGCGCTTTGTACAATGTACAGGGTGGTGAGATGTCGAATCCTTGGGTTGTGCAACCATGAAGTAGAAAGTCCATTGGGAGCTCAATGGGAAGGCACAACCCTATACCAAAGATAAGCCTTCCGTGGAATTTAAGGCTGATTCTATGGAAGAAATGCATTGAGTTGTAAATAGCATGTGGTTGGTATGGAAATATCTAGAGAGTTATTTTGTGGGTTGCTGGGTCACTTATGTCAACATATATCAATCCAGAGGCATTGCAATCGAAGTATACATTTGACGAGTGACAGCTTGATTCTGCAGCAATATTTGGTCAGCCAATTCTATCCCTCAAAAAGATTATTATGAAGAGATAGCTATTAGGTGCTTCTGACAAAATTCTGCCATCTTTCAAACAATGAAGCATCATGCAGGGCCTACATGTAGTCCCTTGTATCGTTTGCATTGTCGTGATGTCACCAACTAGAAAGTCTCAAGATTGCATGTGACTACAGGAAAATGGACTGTTTACAAATCATTATCCAGAAGCACAAAAGACCAGTAGGGAGATTGCTTCTACCACCAGGTCATCACATCATGAAAGACGAGTAAGTAGATAAGCTACCAGCAAGAGACAATTGACACTTGATACCCTATTGGAACTGCCTGATGAAACTGCCTGATGACAGTTTCAATATACTTAGCAAGTAGAAGCCATGACCAGGCCCCTAAGCCAATGACCTAACTTCGGGAAATGATTGGCTAGCGTACGACTCATCCCTTTCCGAGGAATACGTCAGACGAACGAAATCAGACGAATATCGATAGAGTTTAGTTCAAAACATCACCAGAGCCGCGCACACTCGGACCAACGATGACTAGAGTACGTCGCCCCGACAATAGATTCGGCCCAAACCGCCAGATAGCGCCAACAAAACGACCAAAACAGCCAAAAGAGATGGCGTGCGGAAGAATTTGCAAGCCTTATGAAGGAGCTTGCGACAGTGCAGGAGCAGGAGTGGATCAATCACGACGCACCGATCCACCCAGTCCAACGATATTATCTCATACAGTCGGTGTCAAGAAAAAAGAATGCATAGGTTCCAACGTCAACGTCGATCCACGTCAACGCAAGGCCAAGCTCCAGAAGATGTCAGCAGCACAGCATGATCTCCGGTGCGTGCGTGTCCTCCTTGGCCCGGGACGGCACGAGCGCGTCGATACGACGCCGCTCAGTACCAGTGTTTGGTAAAGATAGACAGTGGACGCGCAGAGAGATGTATCGCGACATTGACGGCCGAAGCCAAGTGATGAAGTCGTATACACTGTCTTGGCAAGAGTCAAGCTTAGATACGTTAAGGATAAGCAGTGTCTTAGTTTAACTTCCAATATCGGATGACGCGGGTCTTGGCGCTTGGCGGGATTTCACGACGCGAATTGGTTCGTTGCTCGGCTGGGTTCTTCTTTTTTGTTCTGTTTTCTTTCCCCCCTCGCGGGATGGGATACCGTGGACGGTGCCACGGGTTCCTTGCATCACGCATATGAGTCGTCGGTGCGGTCAACGATGAGGTGGGAATTGGGTTGTAATTGGCCGATACCGAGGACCCGGTCAATTGCGACAGGTGGTTGCGCCATCCGAGCTAAGCATGTAAATTATGTATCAGGGTGCATGTTAAAAGGGGTAACGTTAATAGATACTTTGACATGTATGAACATGTGGAATCTCAGATTGATACGTGACAGCCCTTCTCTTATATTCTACCTGGTATGTTGCCTATTGTCCGGTCGCACAGCCACCCAACATAGCCTATTTTCAAACGCGGCTCAGGGATGAAACACCGGCGGCTGATCGGTTTCCCCGGATAGAAGTGAACAAGGGAATTTTCCGAGGAAATTTCAGGGCTGAGTTGTTTTGTTACATGCCGCGTTGTAACCCTACTGGGTCAGATACCAGCCCACGGCCCGTACCTGATTATTAATATCGTAGCCCAACTGAGTGCTAAGTATAGAATCAGAGCGTCTCGAAATCTCTACACGTCTGATCATGGATCAATACGCGTCTTGAAGATGTTCCAAAGACAATGTCTGGAGACGGAATGTAGATCGGGAGTGAGCCATGGAACGAGCAGAAGTGTATTATTTCTGCCTGACTCGATAGGAGACGACCCTGAGAGCCAACAGGACTCCACTAGTTTTCAGGGTCTTCGGGAGAAGCCAAACGGGAGGTTGTGATTGGGAACGAGTGCAAGTATGCGTGGCAGGTCCATATTTATATAGCCCTAATGGCCCATGAGTGGCATATGTATAAGGTAGTAACCAGAACATAACTCGAAAGTTACAATATCGACATACCCAGAGCTTATACTATAGCTTAGATCTCCATGTTACAGTGCCAAGCCCCCTTCATAGTGCCGAACACAGTCAGCACCGCCTCATCAGGCTTAGGGCGGTGGAGGCTCTAGCCCGATCTTGCGAAATGCCAAGACGGACGCTTGCGCGTCTCCAGCATTTGGGCGGGCAAAGACTCTGCGAAGGTGCGATTTTCGTCCCATGGCCGCGCGTAGTTATTACTCTGTACCGTATACGTCTATTTCAATAAATCAGAGAATAGAAATAAGGAATGAAAATATACAGCGTCTGAGAAATAATTAAGATATCACAATGCAAATAATAGACACCTAAGTACTCTATAATAATAAACGCCAAGTGAAATATATACGTAAGAGAGAGGAAAAATACAAGAAAAAGGGTCTTTTCTTGGCTTTCCGTTTCGCACACGCGGCTTGGCCGCGGGGCCCGTGATTGGGGCGAGACGCTGACGACGCTCGTAATACTGCGTATGCTCTCTCTCTTCCTCCTGACACTGGTTTTCATACGTCAACCTCGGTGGCAGTCCCTTCTTTACTCTTCCTCTCCCTTTCTTCATCTACACATCTTGGGTCAAATTGACCCTTTCGCCCATCGCCGAGTCACCCTGGATTTCAATACTTACTGAAGTCTGCCGGGACTTCCCTTTCGACCATGGCGGACGGCAGACACAGGTCGGCACAGCCGACCGTGAAGGACTACGATGCCACTACTCTCACCCACGAATTTGAACAGTTGATGCGTACCAAGCGTTTCAACCGCCTTCAAGAACAGTCACAGCCTCGATCGCGCACCCAATCTCCAGCGCCTTCTACTATGTCCAGTCCATCGATTCCGCCTCCTCCCTCACGGGCGCCACCTCCACCTCCATCAGCTGGTGCTCCCGCTGCTTCACCAAAGCCATCGAACTCCGCCCTGCGTGGCCTCCCCGTATTCCCATCGCCACCTCAGGATCCAGCTTCGCTCAAGTTCTTCAACCTACTCAAGGGGCTATCCGTTACACCAACCAAATACGAAAACCCAGGCCTTCTCGACGAGGCCTTGTGCGTCATTCCACTCGATCGCTTATATTCCGAAGCCGAGGAGGAATCCCAGATCATGCAAGCCCAGGCCGCCAGCGTGGGCGGGAAACCGGAATGGGGCTATCAAGATTGTGTGATTCGAGCATTGTTGAGGTATGTTGGAATTCCGCACCGGTCTAGACTCAGTGCGCCCTTACTAACATAGCTATCCAGGTGGTTCAAGGGATCCTTCTTCCAATTCGTGAACAACCCCCCGTGCTCGAAGTGCCACATGCCGACCATCGCTCAAGGCATGACACCACCCACACCCGATGAGACGGCTCGGGGTGCATCCCGAGTCGAGCTGTACCGATGCTCCGATAACAGCTGTGGCGCCCACGAACGATTCCCCCGATACTCCGATGTTTGGCAATTGCTACAGTCCCGACGGGGTCGTGTAGGCGAATGGGCCAACTGCTTCAGCATGTTCTGTCGTGCGGTCGGCGCCCGTGTCCGCTGGGTTTGGAACTCGGAGGATTACGTCTGGACTGAAGTGTATTCAGAACACCAGCGACGCTGGGTCCACGTTGATGCCTGTGAAGGCGCCTGGGACCAGCCTCGCCTGTACACCGAAGGTTCGTTATCTTTACATTTATCCAGACTACTTGATACTAATTGTTCATCAGGATGGCAACGTAAGATCTCCTACTGTGTCGCTTTCTCTATCGATGGTGCAACCGATGTCACCCGCCGCTACGTCCGCAGCTTCTCTCGCCACGGAAGCCCTCGCACTCGCGCACCCGAAGAGGTTGTTCTCTGGTCAATTCACGAAATCCGACGAAAGCGCCGCGAAGGCCTGAAGGCGACTGACCAGCGCCGCCTACAGAAGGAGGATGAACGCGAAGAGAAGGAGCTCCGATGCTACATGGCCTCTGCTCTGGCAGCAGAGATCAACAACATGCTCCCTCGCCACCTCGTCGGTCGCCCAGAGGATCAGAAACACCCCGGTGCTCGCCAGGGCGCATCGACCGAATGGCTCGCCGCCAGAGGCCACGGCAACACAGGCCCCGATCGGTCCCCCGAAGGACGGTAAACTCCAACCCGTATCTGGCAATTTACCCTTTGGTTTGAAGGGACTCCTTCAACCTCACCTCGAACGATCGAGCGACCCGGATATACAGCCTCCTGTCGTATGGAGGACTGGCAGGCGCATCGACGTTCATCCAATCCCTAGGCATAGCGGACTCATTGACCAAGGCCACTGCGGTCGCATTGGGCGACCAGCCCGCGCCGCTGGACTCGCCAGCACCACATCCCGCTATGCACACATAGATTGAAGCATCTGCGACCGCGGACTTGGCTGGAGCAGGTCTACCTGCCCATCCATGGCTGGCAATGTTTACCACTATCCCTGATCACCGACCACACAATCTCTCTACTACTCGACACGAGACATTATTTCCTTACCTTTGAGATACCACATCTGGAGCCAGAGTTTCACATCTTGCACTTTAACATGGGCTTTCGGGATATTTCGCATCATTTTGGCTTAGGCATGGTTTTGCACGGCGCCCTTGGTGACGATCATTGTTCAAATGTTTCTTTCCTATCTACCTTTCTAATATTTCTTGGGAACTGCCTGCACATGTTGTATGAGTCACGCACCCAATTCTCTCATGATATTTTCTTTACTTTTGCATGTCTGCATATCCTGGCTGGATTGCTAGCTCGATCTTTCTCTTTTCCTTACTCGTTTCTTCTTATACCTGACCACTTTTTTGGGTCTTTCTGTTTTCATTTCACTTCTACTTCTACTTCTATATCTACAGGGCATGACCCTATTCAATACCACTATTTTCACTACACTCAATCCTCGTATTCCAATACCAATACAACAAAAATACCAGCAGCACCGGTTTGATTATGATGTGCGATCTCCCCCGCGCTCTTAGCGCCCCTGGCCGGTGGAGCTGGGGGGACAGGTTTTTTGCCCCTGGCGACATCACACATACACCCTTGATCCAGACAGATGAAAAGAATCAGATAAGCTCCGTACATGTACATTGACAGGATAGTGATATCATACAATTATATCAAGTTTTCAATCATTCCTCAAGCCCAAGGCACGGTCCGTAAGTTCAAATTACTTGTAATTTCCATTTATAGCCCGTGGGTCCAGGGTCTCACTTTAGGGTCTTTAGTTAGGGCTAAGGGGCACGCGGAATGGAATGTCAATTGTAACATTGGTTGTTGTATCCGTTTATATGTTGCTATTTATTGACTTATAAAATCCTCACAAGTATGTATGTTTACTGTACATGTGCATCTACAGATACCAGCATCCGAGTATGCACTCCCTACGGTAATCCATGCAGTACAAGTAATCCAAACGCGCACGGCAGGGACTCTCCGTAGAGTGATCAACACGCCGATCTGCAACGGTGTCTTACATATACTGTTCACCACCCAGCCCAACAATGCAAATTAATCCCAAAAACCAGTTCTGCTCTGACACATAGCGTTATATCGTGTACACGTACCATCTGTTCTAGAACGTGGTGATCGGCAAGAGTTAGGAGAATAATCGGTAAATCAAGATCAATTACGGAGTAATCAATACATAAGGTAAAGAATAAGAAATAAAACAAAGAATAAAATACTATCAAAATATGTAAATCACGCCATTGATGTGCATACTCGAGCTCACTTTTCACACCGCTGTAATCCTGCAGTTTATCCCTCTCGCTTGTAGATCTTTTTCGATCTTGCATAGTTCGTTTGCGTAGTAGTTTTGGTTTTCCAGCCGGAGTTCCCACTTACCCATGTCCCCAGTGCATGTGTTAAGGGTTATATCGGGGGTGTTTCTCTTGGCTACAGAGCCAGCCAAAGACGAGGAGAAAGAACATGAAGAAGGGGGGAGGGAAAAGGAGAAGGATCAGTCACCTCACCCTCCGAAACCGAAGAAATAGAACCACGAGAAGATGGAGACCGCAAACTCCAACCCCAGTCCTCCCCATCGGAACTACAAGAACTAGCAGATCCGTCAGAAAATATATCCTCCTCCTCCACCAAGACTCTCCTCCCCGTTCTATCCCTAACCCCCAGTCCAAAAAGCGGCTCCAAGAAAACACCCAAAACCCCCAACTCCTCAGCAAACCAAGTCCTCCCAAGAACAAGCACGAACCTCCTCAACCCACTTAACGCCCGTAAAGCAGCACACGTCTCAATCCACTGCGCCCGTCCAGCTGAAACATAGATCGCCCTTACGGGATCTTTACTCGGGAGCCAATGGCCCGGGAACGACCAGCGCAGTTCGACGGATCGGATGGAGGACCATGATTCTGGGGGGATTGTTGGGCGCATGTAGGATGCTGTCCAGGGATTGCTGAATTCTAGGGTTGGGTGGGTGTATAGTTTCTGGATTGATTCTTTGTAGCTGTGTTCAAAGAATAGGTTAGGGTTGGGCAGGTATGGGTCGGGGTAGGGAGATAGTAGAGTAGGGTTGGATATGGGTAAACATACATCAATCGACAACTCAACGCCAAGCCAAGAAGCATACTCTTCTTCCGGCGCGCGAGATCAGCTTCTTTTGCTGGTTGGGGTATACCACCGCCATGACAGACCTCGCAGTATAGCTCGGTATTCCGACTGGTATGATGGGTTGATGGTGACGGTGACGCTGATGCTGAAGCTGATGGTGACGATGTTGATGCCTCCACATCAAGCGGAACTGGACATACCACGTGCCCCAGTCTTTGCCGGCTTCGTTGGATGATATGTATGCGTTGACCTCCCAGCACGTATTCCCAGATCATGAGTCGTAGCTCCGGTGATAGCCGTGCTAATAGCCGGCTTTGGGGTTGGGGTTGGGGGCATTGGATTTGGGGGTGCGTGCGGGGGAGGGGAGAGGGTTTGTTGCCTTGAAAGAGGTTGTTAGATTTGTAAATGTATAGATTGTGGACTTGCAAGGGTGGGCGAGATGTGAAGTTGAGGTAGACAATGAATGGTAATAGTTGGAGATAGAGCTTATCTTACTCTGATACCGTTGAGCCAGGACATCTTCCCATGAAAAGACCCCTTTCGTACGGGTCATTGTTAAAGCTGAAGCTGGAGCTAGCTCTGGAAATCAACGGGAGTATAGGACCTAAATATAATACCATTGCAAGTGGCCTGCTGATCAGACTGGGCAGAACTACAAAACGACTACATAAGCTCCCGACCATCCGAAACGGTCAAGGGGTAACAAAGCAAGAGTCGGTGAAAAGATAACATTAGAGCTCCCCTAGCCAAGCTCCAGATAAGGAAAAAAAAAAAAAAGGTCAAGAAAATAAATCGGTTCCACTTGGCTAAAATCTAGAATCGATCTATACAATTTTGCTCTTGTTCACCTGGTCTGCATCCAGCACAAACCTTGCACCATGCCTCTCAACAGGTACAACACCCGCTCGGACTGGGACTGGGAGAAGCACTACGAGAAGGAACAGGAGAACCACCACCATTCCCCAGCGTATTAGTCGGACAAGAAACCCTCAACCCCTGCTTCAAAAGCGCCATACCATCCGGCGCTAGCCGATCAACCTCCGCATCAGCAGGCAATGTCCCGACATAAGCATTGAAATTGTAAATGCCACAGACACACTCGTCGACAATATCCCGCAGACTAGTCCCAGACAGTTCCTCGACTGTCTGCCCGTCCCTCTCGACACGGAAGGACTGCGCGCCCACGCCCATCGGCACCGTCCACGCCCGTACCCCTGCCGGTGCTTGAAAGGTCTGCGTGTTCGTGCCCGACGTCACCTCCACCGAGGCAGGCTCCTTCAGCTGCGTGACCACGAAGACGGCGTCTTGCATTGTGTCTGCGCCGTCTGGGCGGCCGCGGAAGAAGTTCCCGCTGGCGTTGTTGGCGCTTTGCATGGTTGTGTCTGTTGCATCGCAGTTTGTTGATTTGGGCGTTGGCCGGTACCAGTAGATTAGTTTTTCTTCCTCCAGGTAGTCTATTGGGAGCTCTGAGCCTGCTTTGTAGGCTGCTATAAAGGGTTTGGCCATGTCGAGCCAGCCGTTGTGTGGCCTATTCCTCGTTAATGGGTTATTTGAAATGACCTTGTTAAGGTTAGTTACTTACATGTCCATCACCCATTTTGATGAGCCGTCGTCGGTGTGAGGTGATGAGAGTGGTCCGATGTAGTGCGACTCGCCGTAGTCGTTCCATGTGATTATCTCCACGAAACGGGGCTTGGTCGCCAGGACTTCTCTCCATCGGTTGTACCAGAGGAGGTCGGAGGGGAAGACCCAGTTCTTGCTGTAGGAGACCTCGTCGCCGAAGTGCGTCGAGAACCAGGGAGAGACGGCTGTTCAGTCAGTCAGTCAATATGTCCAAGGTGAGATCCTATAGTTTCTTACGAGCAATGTAAGGCTTCCCAGCAAGCGCCACTTGGTATGCGGTATCGCCATCAATAACAGAAACCTTCCGCTCAGCAGTTGGGGCCTTGTTGTACCCGTCACTTCCCCATGCCATCCAGTTCAACGCACCGTCAACAGCATTGAAGTCACCCTGACCTGGGTGATAGTTTGGCGCAAAAAAGACGTCGCAGCCAGCTGCAGATCTCATCGCACCGCAATCGACACCGTCGCCAGAGAAAGATGACACGAACACCTTTCCATCAACCCTGAGCTGTGCAGGGTGGCTTGAAAATTGTCTGATCTTGTTGCCAACCTCGCTGCCCTGGTTGACATTGTACCAGTTGAAGTCAAAGGAAATAAACACCTTCATGTCATTGTCGGCGGCAGATTGATAGGCAAAGTTCAGCTGTGTATCGGTGTATGGATCAGTGCCGATATTCAAGGCAAAGGCATCAATGCCAGCTTCTTTGGCGCGTTTCATGTCGGCATCATAATCGCTGGCATTTTGGCGGTTGCTCACAACGCCAATCTAGATCCTGTTAGTGACAGAGAAGAAAAACAAAGACAGATGACATGTCTCACCATGAAGTGACAGAAAACCAGTCTGCCTCCCATATTGGCATCATCATCACGAGTAGACATCGTTTTCATAAAATCCACAGGAGTAGGCGAAGCAGTAATGAAAGGAAGTAGCCCTATCAGGACCAGAAAGATAAAGCGAAACATCGGAGAATAAAAATCCTAGGGACCAGCCAAGGATTGGTTACGTAAGATAAAGGAGTGAACGAGAAAAGGATCTCAAGGGCTAAAACCAGAGCTCATGCGAAGAAGAAAATACAGGGGGGAATGGGAATCTTGATATATAGGCTTCCAGTCGTGTGTTTGACAATGTGCCCCCATTCACGCCACATTGTCCCTGAACATCTACCCTTTATATGCGCCTGCAAACCATAATCCGCAATGCACAATCCACAAACGACAATGCTCCGATGCCTCATGCAAAGTGTTGATACCCTTCTGTCAGGGTGCCGGATTGGGCCCGACTGCTACAGTGTCACCCTGTCAGACGGGGAACCTCGGCGCTTAGAATCCGGGAATGTGAGTATGAAGAGACTGGACTGTACATTTCCCCCTGCGGATCTGAATATGCACGGGGACATTGAAATGCAAGGGCTTTTGGACAAAGACAAGTACCTGGTGGGATCTTGGCGTGGGATTGGTTGGTCGACGCCTCCTTTGGTCGGCGGCAAATTTCAGGGACTGGCGTGTTTTATGTTGGATAGATAGGGTTGATCGGAACTTTGTATTTACAGAATAGACCTGCTCAGCTTGATCTAGTTCTGTCCAGTCTAGTCTGCGATTTAGTTTTGGGTCTACTGTAAATTGTATAACGCTGCAGACGGTTGAGATCTTGAGATCTTGTCTAGACTTAATCGGTCGAAGGTGTCTCAGAAGGCTAAGCTCCGACCCTGCAGGTAGATTATGACTTCCACGTGGAAATGATTTAAACAAAGGAGGAATCAAAATTCTGATAGAGCACAAATATACATGTCTAATTGGTTGTGGCGTTTCAAGAACCAAGAAAATCAAGTTTCACCCGACCCTTTTTGTGAATAACCTCTTCAAAATTAAAGTATAACCAATTGACACAGATCAAAAACTTTATGCTTCTAGTTCTACGTGTACTTCCCACGAGAACAACAATGCAACCTCATTCTGACAGCCCTGTGATGATCTCGTGCCTTATGCCTTGTTCCGTTGAATATTAGATTCGCATGACTTGCCAGATTCAAGAGCGTACCGATGCTCTGTGTTGCATTCTGAGAGCTCTTGAAGCTGTGGATATCTACCGAGTCATCAGCTGATTACAATTCGGGGAACCTGGGGAAAGATCTCCTGCTGGACCTGTGCTAGCATGTGCCAAGCGTCTATGCTGGTGATTACGGCGATTCAAGGGCGAGTGCTACATTGCATCACACAGCAGAAATGTCCTCATCCTCGAGGTAGGCAGGAGATGATCACAGTTGTACCCGGAGGGCTAATATTCCACTGGGAGTACAGCGGTAAGCTCGTTTGTAAGAGATTTGCGTTATTTCATGACCATTCGTTAAAACATGATACCATTGTTATTAGAAGAAAAGCAAGTTGGACAAATTCTTCGGTTCTGAAAGACGTGACGTGATATAGTTCTAAAGCACCGCAAAGGCAGAAACGTAGCTGACCGAGCTATCGTCCACATCTTTAACATCGGAGCTTCGCTCATAACGCAAGAAGTAGAAACGCCCTTGCTTGTCCGCTGGTTGATTGACTGTCACATTTTCCAGAGCTGCCATGATCACCCCAATCGGATGACGCCCACATACTGTATTACCCGTGCGATCAATGACGTCCAGGAAATTCTTTGCAGACCCGGTGGTGATAGCAGCCATAGTCGCCATATCAAACGCTGAGATACTCTCATGAATGGCAGGCTCACGACTCGAGATACGATCTCGGTGGCGCAAAGAGTGCCCAGCCGAAACCATCTCGATGCTATCGCTGACGCTGTTGGCATCCGCTCCTGGCTGCGGAAGCTGGTCACTAGACAAAGGGAGTGACGGCCCAGGCTTGGGAGCCTGTGGGACGTAGTATGTGTAGCGGAATCGATGACCCCAGTGGCAGAAATCCGAGCTTATGACAAACGCATTGGATGGGTCGGCCAGGTAGGGAGCGAGGAGTTTACCAAATGCTTGTTCTGTTGCAGCTGAGGTATTGCCCACCATGATTGGGACCAGAGGGGGGTATTCTGAGGTCGAGGCATCTGGGTATTGAAGCTGGAGCAAGCGGTGGATGTATGGTAGATGCATCTCAATACTGTGCTCGGCCTCGTCGACGGACTTTGTCATGGTTGTGAAGCTAACCTTGGACCCGTTGGGTCTGGTTGCCTGTGTTGCGAACAGCTGTGTGATCAGCTCGGTATCTAGTGGGAGGGGTTCATCGGATAGAGGGGTACGGTAGGAAGTCAAGGTTGGAAGAGCCAGCGTTGAGAGTGCAACATGGTGCGATGGTCCCAGGATAAAGATCCGCTTCCTAGTGTCATTAGCATTGGAGGTCGGTGGAATGGGTCTGGGGATATAAGCATACGCCTTCGAGAGATCCAGGGCCTTGTATGCGTAGGCAGCACAGGGCCCAGAGTATGAATAACCGGCATGCCTGTTTGATTAGTATTGCTTTGAAGCCCACCCTGCTAGATGATGAGGGTCTCATACGGTGCGATGATCACTCTAGCCCCCGCGGTTGGCAGCGAACCGACATCCATCGTATCCGGCACCAGTCCCAGCCAGCCGTCCAGCTGCCGGGCCAGGGCACGGCCATTGTCTGTATACCATGACCCAGAGTGAGATGCGTGTCGGGAAGGCATGTTTTGTCGCGAATACAACGTAACATTAATTCTAGATGAGTTGAAGATGTGAAGCTCGGGGAGATAAAGAAGCGGGGAGCCATCGTCATGGTGGGGATCCTGGGATCCCCCAACGGCAAGCTCCAATATGAAGATAAAGGGCGGCACGCTTGTTCCTGAACCGAAGTCAGTTAGTTGTATTGGCCGAGCTTCTTTATCTTATTTAAAACACGTAGTGACTCCAAGTCGTATAATGTAGAGCATATGGCTCGGACCCATATGTTACATATTTTACTCTAACGAGTTGGCCATTGAAATTTGCTTGAATCTTGAATCTTCCCAAGGGCATGTTGTTTCTGATATTGAAATGTAGTCCTGAATACCAGTGGAATGAGTAGGTGTGAGGGATGTCGCGTGGTGGCATAGACAGGGTTTCATATTTACGCTCAGCTACCTATGATTATTTATGGCGAATACAATCAATTTCTACCATTAAACCCAGTAATTCTTGTAGAAATGAGCACCAACTGAACTTGGAGATGCAACACTAGCTATATTGCCTGTTTCGGACTAGCGTGACCAGAATGCAACGCGAAGCCCGTAAATGACGCGCTTAGCCAATCGCATTCTCAAAGTCCAGCCTTTCTCTTCCTCTCAATCTCACTCACTCAGACTCTGGACACTCAATTCCTCCAGCTTATCCTCTCATCAGCTACCATGTCCCTCAAGCGCAAAGCTGAAATCGCAGCTGTCCCATCCAGCCCATCAGTTCCGGCCCCCAGCGAATGGGCTATGATGATCGATGGAAACAATTACCTGCACAGCCGGACACGCAAACGCTTCAGAGACGACCGTCCCAGCGACCAAGTGATTTACCGTGCGTGCTTCATTCTGGCCACAATTGACCATCCCTTGATCGCATTGTCGTTCAACCTTGCTGACAGACCACAGAGAACACATTACGCTGGATCTTTTCTGCCCAGAAGCAGCAAGTGCCTGCACGTACGATCGAAATGGATACAATGGATTCAGAACCCACCCTCGAAACACCCGAGGAGGTTGACCCGCGGCAGCAAACATTACACCGGTTCTTCCAACCAACACCCCAGCAATCATCATCCTTCCGACCATCCCGTCAAGCGCTTGCGCCTCGCGCAAATGAGACAGCTCTGGCCCAGGAGGACAGTCTTCGGCGTCGGGCGTTTGATCAGATGAACCCGGTGAACAGCTCCAGCACGAGTGACAGCAATAGCCCCGGGTTCAATCAGATGGGCGCTGACATGGATATGGACATGGATATGGACAGTGGCAGTGGAAGTGATGGATCCGGCCAGTTGTCCAAGAACTGCTTTGGGGGTATGGCGTGGGTGTGATTTGGTTGCACGCGACTTCGTGACCATCATAGCTGCTGGTGTTTATATGCGGAGAGGGTTACTTTCGCCTCTCCTTCTTTCGTGATACCTATTGGGTTATTAAGGCAAGGTGTTTTAGGCTACAACCAGCATTGAGATTCTTCTTTTCCGACGCGAAACAGGTATTTCGTGTCTTTGGCGTTGATGGCGATTCGGGAATAATTGAAAGATCATGGGCTATAGCTTTCAGTGAACATAATTAGCTAGATACCTAGTTTAATTCGGGTTATTTAAGCGTTACATTTTCAAAAGAACAGCGCTGAAGTAGATAGGCAATGAAGTAGTATACGTTGACTAGTGCTGTAAGAATCGAACAAAAATAAGCCGAGAAACTTACAGAACTATTTTACTTGCAAAATATATCAGTATGGTCCCAACTCAAATTTATACATGTGCTTGGTCAGAGCTTGTGGCCTCAGGCTCCACAAACGGTCGTTTGCCCACCTGCGCACGTCGTCCTTCCAATTGAACCATCACCTGGAGAAACGCCATACCTGCCATGAGAACCATTTAATCCGTCCATAAAACCTATACCCATCTTCTTCTCCCCGAGTCTAGCAACTCCTCAGCTTGACACTCGGACTTCACCTGGTGCAGTAGAACTCAGCAGCTGACACGAGCACCCCGCCAACCATGGACAACAGCCAAGGTACTCAGTACTTGGAGAGGCTACTGGGACGCTCACTGCGGATTCACACGACAGACACTCGGATGTTTGTCGGGCTGTTCAAGTGTACCGATGCAGTAAGTGGTCACTTGCGGGGTCCTACAGGACGGACACTCTGAGCTGGACTGATCAATATCAACAGGACCGGAACATCATCCTCGCCAATTCCTTCGAATATCGCATGCCGACCACATCCGCCGTACAAGCCGCCGTAAACGAGAAGGAACAGGCCGAAGGATCAGAAGCAAAGAGCGCAACTGTCAGGGTGAACATGACGAGCCGGCTCATAGGCCTCATTGTGATCCCAGGGCGTCATATCACGAAAATCGAGCTGGAGTAAACCTCTAGGCTCCAACACAGACTCGTATCCACAAGGCCTTCATATTCCTGTTTCGGGGAGTGGTCTCTACTCCATCCTCGAATGACAAACCTGGCTCTATCACCCAAGACCAGCACGGTGGTCGCGACCTATCACATCCAAGCGCCCACTACGCCGCACTCGGAGTCTTGTCCCTTGTCCCTTATCCCTCCCCTATGCCCTTGTCATCCTGGTCCTTGCTCCGCTAGCACGTGGTTAGGCGTGCGGCTGCCAAGGAGGTCTGCCTTACGGGCCCTGGCGCTCGCTGCTCTATCAACGTGGCACAGGGAACACTGCAGCTGCATCACACTTGGCTTGGCCAGTAGACCCGCTGTTCGATATCACTGAGCGATTGGCAGGTGCTCTGGATTAGCAGGGATGGAGGGGAAAAAGGCGGTGTCCCCGCCACAGAGATACCTTGGCACGCAGTAGGTGTTCCTTTCGTGCAGAACCAAGACTTATCTGTGGCTCCTGTCCGCTTCCGCTGCGAGCAGGCCAGGGGTGGGATGTATCTTGTCCTTGAACGAACTTTCGCCGATACAATATGTGCGGAAACCGCCAACAGGGGTGCAGCAACACGTTCCCTCAGGATGTGATCTATCTTGCTCCAGACCCCGGATTCGAGTCGTTGAGTCAGCGGTGCTGCACCTTAATCTCTGTCCCTTCCGATAGGAGGCATTGCGGGGTCCAAGCTCCAGGTGGATGTCCTTGCCAATGGCCGGGTAGGTTCGGTAAAAGCTTCGAGTGTCTGACTGGCTCTTCAAGTTCATTTGCACTGGTCTTTTCAGGTGGTCCAAATTCAAATCTAAATGCATGTACGTAGTAGAAACTGAGTTAAGTCGCTTATCGCGCCCTAACGGAGAATGTGTTTGTCTCTAAATGTGAAAGAGCAAAAAGATTAATATCATAAGATCCACGGCAAGGGCGCACAAATAAGTTATAATCAAAAGTACGATATTTTCGGCTATTCTTGAGTGTGAAGCTGGAGAAAAAGTTAGAGACTCCCCACTGTAGGTCCTCACAACTGGTTCTCTCTATATCTATGCGTAATACACTAACATCTCAAAGTTATAAATATCCAAGTCCAGACTCCTTTGTTGTATAGACCGGACCGAGAGATCCTCCGAGATCACCGAATCGAGACCGCTGTGGCCAAAAACATAGCAGATCGACTTTCTCTCGCGGTGGCGGAGTCTTCCCCTCTCTCGTGCTCTCTCTGCTCCTCACTTCTTCCCTTTCTATATCTTTTTTGGGAGATCCTTTGTGTGTGCTCCCCTTTCAGTAAGTACAACTTCGTGGCGTTAAACGTTACCGCCTGCGGTGATGTGGATAAATACTCCCGTCCAAACCCCGTACATAATGACGCATTCCTCTACCCGCAAATCCACCACCTCCTCCCCTTGCTTTTTCTATCTCTCCAAACCTCCACATGCCATCTGAGTCTTGGTGGAGTTCAGCCCTGCATCCCGCGCTTGCATTGCCTGTGAAAGAGGCTAACCCACTGTACAGGAGAGCTTCTCAGCCTGCCGCTTCGGAGCTCCAGCCCTCCACTTACCTTTTGACCTTTTCCATCTTCTGACACCTCCTCTGTCTGCAGCCGCCATAAGTCGGATCGCTTGTTAGATATTCGACTCCATCTGATCATTTCATCGTTCCACTTGCAACGGTGATCGCTTCTACACTTTCCTACATCCGCATCTCTCCGACTTGGCTTGGGGTGTCAAAATCACTGTTCGCAGATCCCACATCGGACCGTTTTGCAGGACATCCCCGTGCTTAATATACGAGTGAAGGAGCTTGGGCCAAGACATTCCAACACAAAAGGGGCTTTTCTCGGCGTAGCACTTTGAACATCTCCGTTTGTGCAATTTTTCCAACCCAAGCTTGGCAGTCATCCAAGCCTTGCAATCATGGGTCAGTCACATTCCAAGGGCAACGCTTCAGGCGACCCTTTGCAGTCCTACCCATCCTTCTCCAAATCCGATACGAAGGAATCTCTTCGCTCCTTCCGCGGCTCAATCCGATCGAAAATCCCTGGCGCTCGGAGCTCTGACAGCCCTCGTGGTTCTACCACTGCCCTTTCTCGAACCGAAAGCCAGACCGACAAATCTGATGTTGGCTCAATCAAGTCGGCCAAGTCAGGGGGCAGCCGCCCTGGCTCCAATGCAGGCCTTCCCCAGACGCCTGGCTCTGAAGACGCCTCCCGACCCGGTTCTCCTCAACTCCCGCCGTCTCCTTCGCTTTCTACCAGTTTGCAGAAAGGACATAAGGATGTGAATGCGATGCAGCAGAGCGGTGAGGTGGACCACGTGTCTGAAGGTCCTCCTTCTGGTGGCCCCCCGACCGGAGCCGCGCCAGCTGTTGGTGAATCGATTCTGATGAAGCGCGAGAACCAGCTGAACCCTATCCTGGACTTTATATTGAATGCGCCTTTGGAGACGTCTGGCTCCCCCGGAATGGGCATGGGTGCCTTGAAGTCAATTGACTTGGACGACATGATCACGCGACTTCTGGATGCTGGATATTCTGCCAAGGTTACCAAGACCGTGTGCTTGAAGAACGCAGAGATTACTGCCATTTGCACAGCCGCCCGTGAGCTTTTCCTCTCCCAGCCTGCTTTGCTGGAGCTTTCTGCTCCTGTGAAGATTGTCGGTGATGTCCACGGCCAATATACCGATCTCATTCGGCTCTTTGAGATGTGTGGTTTCCCACCTGCCTCAAACTACCTCTTCCTGGGCGACTATGTCGACCGAGGCAAACAGAGTCTGGAGACTATTCTCTTGCTACTGTGCTATAAGCTCAAGTACCCCGAGAACTTCTTCCTGCTTCGAGGAAACCACGAGTGCGCCAACGTCACGCGCGTATATGGATTTTATGACGAGTGCAAGCGCCGTTGCAACATCAAGGTTTGGAAGACCTTCATCGATACCTTCAACTGCCTTCCCATCGCTGCGATTGTGGCCGGCAAGATTTTCTGTGTTCACGGTGGCCTCTCACCCAGTCTTTCCCACATGGACGACATCCGAGGTATCGCTCGTCCCACCGATGTACCCGACTATGGCCTGTTGAATGATCTCCTGTGGAGTGATCCAGCAGACATGGAAGAAGATTGGGAGCCTAATGAACGAGGTGTCAGCTATTGCTTCGGAAAGAAGGTGATCATGAACTTTTTGCAACGCCATGACTTCGACCTTGTTTGTCGTGCACACATGGTGGTCGAAGATGGTTATGAGTTCTACCAGGATCGCATTCTAGTAACCGTTTTCTCAGCACCTAATGTAAGCTTCCTCATTTGTTTTTCAGGAACACAACTGACTTCTTTTAGTATTGCGGTGAATTCGATAATTGGGGCGCGATCATGTCTGTCTCTGGTGAACTGCTTTGCAGTTTCGAACTTCTCAAACCGCTGGACTCAACCGCCCTGAAGAACCATATTAAGAAGGGTCGCAACAAGCGCAACAGCATGCTGAACAGCCCTGTAAGCAAACCCCTGACCTTTTGCATCTCATGCCAAGGGATCACCACTGCCTCGTGCAACCAGCCGAAGCCTCCCTATGGTTCCCCAGATGCACCCCAATGTTGTCCAGCTGCTAACGTATCACAGCCCGCCGCGGTATCAGCTCAAAGCTATTAAGCGTGACCATTATTATCTCTTCGAAATTGATCTCAACTCTTGCGATGTCAACATCACTGTCATGGTCTCGACCAGGTCGCTGACCGGAAATGCACACGACAACTATTTTCAGCCCAGCAGCAGCGTGACAACCTACACAACTTTTGAATTGGTTAGGCACACAAAGCTCTGCAACGACCGAAACAAATCATGCACCATCTCCCGGACCCGATGGCTCCGGTATGGATGCCCAGCTGAGCTCGGCGCAGTCTAGAACCGGAACGGTTTGACCGCCCCACATATGGGAACATCTGGCAACAGGAAACGCGCCGGGCCAACCCCAATTTGCAGATTCGATGGACGCGCTGGGACAAATAGGAGGAACGGCCGATCTAGGCCACTTCATTGTCGCCTAATCAGGCCCAAGTCACGGGGGCCACCAGATACACATGGTTTTTCGGGGCTTTGCAATGGGTTCTAGTCAAGCTGGAACTCTAGCCCTTGGAAGTATCTGTGATACAATACCGTCTCCTTATCTACTATCGTCTTCTTCTGCATGTATCTCTGTACTCTCTTCTCTATCATCCCAACCAAATGGAGTTACTTGGGGATTCCGAAGCGTTCTTTACTCAAATGTTTTCGGTCCTACACGTAACCAGTACAATAATGCTAACGTTGGAATCTCTCTCATTATTTTTGTGTGTAAACAAGGATTCTTGGATTCTTCTAGATAGGTCATAACCACCCGTTAAAGTGGACTACATGGCCAAGATATCTCTCATACGCCAAGCCAATCCAAGTGTACACCGCTATTAGGTCACCTGGTCTCTTGAGTTATCAAAAGGCAAGTGTCATTAGCGAGAAAGAAACCTTCGACCCCAGCATAGCTTATCGACTACACAGCCAATGTTGTACGGTTTTGGACATCCCGGGACCCTTCCCGTGCCGCGGCAGCCTACCCGCCAGTCTTCACGAGGCACCCGACACGTTCACAGAACCTATAGGGTTCGTTATCCCAAAGTAGAATTTGAACCCGGTAACAAGAAGTCCGATAATGAAGGATCTAGCGGCAAATCTATGCAGGCGAATGCCCTATGTTGGATAACTTTCTACCCTAATAGCAAAGCCAATAACAAAGCATTCTAACTCTAACCAAGTCTAACCGAAGAGCAAACAACGTCAAATCAACATAATAGCCAACACATCACACCTCCTTCCGACCAGCTCCAGCCCTCAATTCCCTCAGCTCCCCGAACCCTTCAACCCCCTCTCAACCCCCCTAACAGAAACCGGAACCCTAAACTTCGCCGAGAAAGGATTCGGATCAAAATCCTGATCCAAGTTACCCAGCGTATGATTAACATCCCGATGCTTCGCCTCATCCGCACGCACATACAACAAAAGCGACTGCATACACCGCTGCCCCTCAGGCATCGACCAATACTTCACAGCCATGGCTGGAGCCTGCAATTCCTTCCAAGCGGGTAGATGGCCGTTCTCAAAGTCCTGGATTGCCTTGGTGTATGTGATCACTGCTTCTTCTTCTAGATATCCCACGAATCGGTGGCAGATTTGTGGGGAGATTAGGTATGCTAGGGAGAAACCGCTGAAGAAGACGCATTGCGCGCCTAGGACCATTAGGCGCATTAGGGGGCCTGGGGAGGCTAGTTTTAGGAAGGTTAGGAGGTGCATTCTTTCGTTGTAGGCTTCTTCGAGGAGGGTTTCGATCCTGGGATTCGTTAGGTTTTGTTGGATTGTAGGTGGGTGTAGTGTAGATGATAGGTTTATTGGATAGGATAGGACAGAGTAGGGAAGGAAGTCTTACCATCCATTATCTCTTCTCATTCTTCGAATGCTTTTCAAATGACGTAGCATTCCTGCTACCATACCCGGGACACCAGCGACACTTTCCAGGAAGATGAATCTTGTGATCCACTTCTCTTCTGTCATCACGTTGCTTTTGGAGAGGGTGTTGCTTGTTGCTGGTTGGGAGCGGTAGCCTGAAACTAGGTCCATACCCCAGCGTAAGAAACGTACGCTTATGAGCGCTGTTTTATCTTGCCAGGTGTGGGCTTGGCGGTGGGCGGTACGGACGGCGAGGATTTGTTCTTTTGAATAGCTGTTGAGAAGGGTATGTTAGATATTGATATGTTTAGTAGGTCACTTGATTGGACTTACACGGGGTGAGTCCATGATGACTTTTGACTGACTTGTGTGTCTGTTGTATGATGTCGCTTGATAGATGTCAGAGCAGATATACCCGTGCCCCTGTATTGGCTTTGCCTAGCAGGTCGGACAAGACTTGGATTTTGTATTGAGAGGCATTGAGAACGAGTGGGCGCAAAGGAAAGGCGCACCATGCCAGTTGAGAGGCTCATGGTCATGGCTATGAAGCAATTTGAGAAAGAATGTTATTTAAAGAGATCGAAGTATAAGAGAGAACTATACAATGTTTTGATTTGGAATTGGACCAGAGAACGCGACCTTTTATCCCACAAGAGTTCTGCTTCCTACGATGCACAATGTAGACCGTGACTCAACACGCACCTTGTTGACTCCTGTTGAGAACGAGGTGTTCTAGGATATACAGTGTAAGCTTGATATTAGCGCCAACTGTAGTAGTGAAGCTGTGGCTCTAAGGAGAAGTTCACGTCCTGAAACCCTAATCGCCCCGATTTCATCCGACATGCAGATCATCCCTCCGCCAGAGTAGTTCTGGGCATTTAGTGACTCATAGGGAATTGAACATTACAGCTTGTTTATATAAGTTGAATTTTAGCAAGCAAGTCAAAGATGATTATGGTCTATACTTCCGTCTGGATTGATGTGACTCTTGTGACTGTGGTGGTATCATGACCTTATGTTCCAGTTGCCTTTCATGAGACTGTTCGCAGCAGGGGAAAGGTCAACAATATTTCCCGAGATTTTCTGTGTGTGTGGTTTATTTGCTATTGAGTAATTGTCTGGAGTTAGATAGGTGAATACCGACCTAGTGCTATGTCAAGTGTTCTAGGGCATCAGCTCCATAGGTCTTGGACACACGTACTCACCTGCTTTTCCACGCATCTTAAGAACATCGATAACATAACGTGACAACCACTTGTAAATCCACATGATTATGCCAAACATTATTCATCTTAACGATCTAAACGTTATCGGTAAGCAAACCGTTGATAGCACAAGAAACCCCGCCACCGGCAACTCTCCCGTGCAAGCAGCCCACGATCGAATTCTCTGGGACACCAATTAAAAACAAGATTTCAAGCGGGCATCTGGGCTCAATTGCCATCTCTGTGGAGCGCATGTGCAGCACAAATGACTATTAACCCCGCATGTTGGAGTATGTTCGTTATCAAAGATATCGGACGCCTACCCGAGATGCTACTTGATACGGTGCGAGGGGTATAGATCAAAAGGATAAAGAAGCTGGCTCAATCTCTAGGTCTGTCACGAGCAATAGCTCCGTTTCAAGGATTCATCTCAAGAAATGGGTGCCTTGTTTCCTGGAAAGCCTCTCACGGCTCTTACGAGATGCACCCTTCCAACGAACAATGTGTCGATGCAACTGCGTTTGACTTCAACCCTGCAAGCACAAGCACACGCGGCACACACACAGTCCAAAGCAGTCTCTAATGCTTCGTCGTCACCTCTTTCCGCTTTACCAGCACGTGTCTTGCTCAGATCGTTGCTGGTTTCCACAGTATCATCGAAGAGATACTTACTCATCCCCGCCCTTTCTGTTATGTCCTTCCTCTCTAAGCCTAACCGAATCTGGCTCTTTGATGTGGATCGGAATCCTCTCTTGCATAAAATATTGAAGAAGACGTTCTACGATCAATTCTGTGCTGGAGAGAATGGCGCCGAGGTCAAATCCACAATGCAAGAACTGAAAGATATGGGCTTCCGCGGCGTGATCATGACATACGCCAAAGAAACTGTGTTTGATCATAAGACAAATTCTCAGAATGGGCTGGGGATTGCGGCTTTGAAAAATGAGCATGGAGATGTCTCCATCAATGCTCCGGTCCTGCAGTGTCCCAGCATCGAATCTTGGCGGGAAGGAACAGTCAAGACAGTTGATATGTTGGACGGAGAAGATTATCTAGCAGTTAAGTATGTTGTTATCTCACTTCCGGATGATATAATGACTGACTCTTTAAAGATTGACCGGGGCCGGAACTAAGGTCACTGAAGCCTTCGCCGCCGGAGAATTGCCACCACAACAGATGATAGACGCACTGGACGAAATCTGCACCAAGTGCAAAGCCAAGAACGTTCGTGTCCTCGTCGACGCCGAGTCCCAGCATTTCCAAAAGGGCATCCATCGTATTACTTTGGATCTCATGCGCAAATATAACCGCGACGGATATGCTTCCATTTACAACACTTACCAAGCCTACCTGAAGAGCACACCAGCAAAGCTCGTCAAAGACCTTGCTTCGGCCAAAGAAGAGGGATTCACACTCGGTCTCAAGGTTGTGAGAGGTGCATACATGGCCTCTGATGAACGGTCCTTAATCCACGATACAAAAGCAGAAACGGATAATGCATATAACACAATTGCCCATGGGGCATTGGTAAAGAATATAGGAGAATTCGGGGATAAGGGAAGCCAACCTTTCCCATCAGTGAATCTTTTCCTCGCAAGTCATAACAAGGAGAGTGTGGTGACTGCCCACGAGCTCCACAAGCAGCGTGTCACTGCGGGTCTGCCCACTATCCCTGTGCGCTTTGCCCAACTTCATGGCATGTCCGATGAGGTTAGCTTCTCTTTGCTTCATATGAAGGATGGCGATGGAACACCTGAGGTTTATAAGTGCTCGACTTGGGGTGGCCTTGGTGAATGTATGGCATATCTTCTTCGCCGGGCAATTGAGAACCGTGATGCTGTTTTGCGGACGGATACTGAGTACCAGGCGTTGAAGTCCGAGACTTTCCGGAGATTCAAGTCTGTGTTTTCTCTTTCCTCTAGGTAAATTGATGATTGGTTTATTGAATAAAGAATTTACAATCACTCAAATATCATTGAGGTCCCAGAGCGAGAGAGAGTGCGTGTGTGTGAGAGAGGAAGAGAAAGAGAGAGAGAAGACATATGGTAAATTAGACACTGCATATAAAGCAAAACTCAAAGTGGTAATTACACCGAGGCTCGCTCGTTTGTCAATAAAACTCCCTGAATCCTTCAACCATTTAGGCAAGCTTGATATGAGGTATATAAAGCCACCCTTCTCTTCCACTCGTCCTTTCTAACAGACGACCATCTAAATATTCTTCGAACAATCCAATACTCCGATCCTCATACTTTCCCAAACATTATCCAATATCCGCCATCAACAACAATACGATGGAGACCCGCATGATTGAATTGAGAAGAACCAGCTTCTGGATGTATGGCCTCCTTTCGATGTTCATGTTATAAACAAGGCAAGCTACTAACGGTCTCTTTATAGCAATATACCATCTCCTACTGGAACAGCATTGGCAGTGCTAAACAAGCTTCTTTCGGCAAGAGAACGGAAGCACTCGAGTTCCTCCCCAAATTGAAGAGATTCACGAAAGAAGAGTTCATATCTGTGGAGGCTCTCAGCCCTTTATATGACTGCTTTGATAAGGAGCCTCCGGTTAATACGCCCTTGACTCAGGTCGCCTGTACTTTCAAGGTCGGCAATCTCGTGAATGAGACATCGACATTTGAGGATCGAGTCTTTGCGGCGAATCACTTCGTTGCGATGATAGATAAATATAAGAAGTGATAGTATTGACCTTTTTTCTGATTGTGGCAGCATTTCAGATGGTGCAGGGGTTTCTTCAAGGCTAGCTATCGTTGTTTTCCTCTCACAGGATAGGAGCTATAGATGGATAAATAGTGAATGTGATGCATTACAAATGAATAGATGACAATAGTATATGTATGAATCATAGATGTGTTTTTTAAATGTATTAGATCGCGAGTGACTATTCTTCATCAGATTCTAGATCCTCGTCATGAATAGGGAATGTCAAAAGAGCAGCAATACCACCCAAACCCTCAAGACGCTTTCCACTTTCATGATCGGAGCTGAGAATCCGCACGTCGCCGCCCTCCACATCCCGCACACGGTCCACAAGTGTAACCCAGCGCTTACGCTCAGCGATATCTTGTGACCGGAATAAGCGATTTGAAACAATGAGCACACCACCACCGCGGCCGACTGCACCCTGATCGACTGCATTTTCGACCTCGCGGGGGCCATATGTGGCTTTGCTGGTCTCCTTGCGTAGTTGCTCTAGGAAATCGTCCATCAACTTGGTTTCGCGGGCGTACTTGGTGTCGGCGAGAAGTGATTTGACTGCAGGTGATTGTAAAACCTCCGATAGCGAGTTCGTATATCCCGAGGCAGAGTGCACAACCACGAGGCTAGGTAGGAGTCTTTTTAGACCGGGTGTTGTCGTCGTCGCCTCGGACTGGATGTACTTTTGGAAGCCTGATGCGACAAATCCGGGTGATGCTAGTAGAACAGGACGCACCGCCTCGTTGTTGGAGCCCGAAGTGATGCTAGTATTGAACTCCATTTGGCGAAGGAGCGTTTCGAGTGTAACTTTGAAGAACTTGTTCATCCCCTGTTTTAAATTTCACAATATCAGTATTCCATTCGATCCCAAATACCACGATAGCCCACTCACCTTATCATGGTCACCTCCACCCTGTCGTTTTCGCGGCACAGACATCTCAACCTTTTGCTTCATTATCGTTTGAAATTGGCCAATAAAGCAAATATGTGCCAGTCCCTCCTGCATGACCACTGCAATAGCCTCTGCGCGTCGTTTCCCTCCTTCGTCCACGGCATCCTTCAGCGACTCAATGGCAATACTATCCCAGCCAGCACCCCCTCCATCTGATCCAGCCTCCTTCTCTAATGTGAAATTGCGGTTCAATTCTAGATCGAGGGTATGGTACTGGCCAATTTTCGTGTGTGGCGTTTCGTTCATAATTTGCCCCGAAACATGTAGTTGGGAGCTCTGCGGATCAAAGTCGAGGTTCTTCACGCGAATCACAAGGTTGAGATGGACACGCGCCGAGCGTGTCGATCCGGTGGCATCTTGTTCCGTTGTAACTTTTCGGATGGTGCTAGCGCGGAGAATATCCCCTGGCCGAATCAAGTTGTATGCATGCCACTATCAAGAAGGTATCTTAGCCGACTGCGGGGTTCATGTGGGAAATGTAGTCCAATATACCATGTCTTCGGGCTCGTCTGGACACAGCGTGACTTCGCCTGAGCCCTTGTGCTCAATTCTGTTCTTGATACAGCGCATTATGGCGGTCTGAGGATGTGTTTGTCGGTGGAGAATTGGTAGGTAAGATGCGAGAGAAGATGTATTGACGATCTTATTACTGAGATGCCGTCATATAATGGTGCAAAATGCTGCTACTTGGAGAGATGCTGCGGATTGCCAATCATGCAAGGAAACTCTAGAAGCTGTTCAATGACGAAAAGAACGTGGATCTCTGGAAGTTCATGCAAAATGGAATCGTTGACTGTTGAACTTGATTATTCGACCCCACCACTTGATACTGCCTCTGCCGACCGCCCTGCAAGCTAGCGGCCATCCTACAAACATGTTATGCCTTTGCTGAGGCTATTTAAGACATTTCTTTGTTGCATTTCATTCAATGCTGTATAAGATAATGCAGCAGAAACCCCGACATCGGCGAATAAAGGGTCGGACAAATCTATGCTATGATGTCATTGTTGTAAAGCCCTAATCAGATCAATTGGAGCAAGCTTGACGACAAACTATGTCTATAAAATTGCTGTCTTATTGTCTTGTTAATGATTGGATGTCAGATAATATAGATCAATATGCAATCCCAGAACTGAACACTTCCTTTCCCGGCGATGCGCAATCTGTATCTCCAAATCGCTCAATGCCCCACGTCGCTTTGATCGGCCATTTGATCAGCCTATTTGGGTCCCCTCGCAAGCCCCCACTTGCCTTGTCAACCGCTGGAAGCTTCGGCGAAGACTGAAGAGCGGAAATTAGGGGACCGAGGTGGTCCGTGGATGTGAGTTCATCGTTTAAAGTTGTCCTATCGCTCTTGCTTTGGCCTGTTTTTACTCCTCGACTTTCGAACATTCGCAACATGGCGCTTTCACTTCAGTCTACCTACAAGTTGGTCTCAGGCTACGAGATCCCCGTCGTGGGATTCGGAGTGAGTACAGCCGCCCTTGAGAAGTCCAATTTGGATTATTAACACAGTTTCTGCAGGTTTACCAAACGTATGATTGCCATTGCATAGCATATGCGCCACAGTAATTAATTCCTATTCGAACAGGCCACCCGATGTTACCGAGAAGGTCACCATCAAGGCAATTGAGCTGGGATACCGCCATGTAAGGAACTATCGAGCTTCACATACCAAGATATCCCCAATTGACCATCAGCATATAGGTCGACAGCGCCAAGTACTACGAAAACGAGACAGAGAGTGCCAATGCCATCCGCAACTCTGGACTCGAGCGCTCGAAGATCTTCTATACCAGCAAGGTGCCTGCGAACTGCATGGGATACGAGAAATCAAAGAAGGCCATTGAAGAAAGCATTGCTGATGCAAACCTCGGCTACATTGACCTGTATGAATTCCTTGGCCCCTCCATACAACCCAGGGCAACAAACTAATATCACCTTGAATAGGATGTTGATCCACGCTCCCTACGGTGGCAAGGAGGACCGCCTCGGCACATGGCGCGCACTCGTTGAGGCCCAGAAGGCAGGTCACATCCGGTCCCTCGGTGTGTCCAACTTCGGTATCCCGCAACTCGAGGAATTGGAGGAGTACATCAAGAACGGAGGAGGTGGTCAAATCACCGTCGGTCAATACGAGATTCACCCGTGGTGCCCGCGTGATGATATCGCCGAGTGGCTGAAAAAGCGTAACATCATTGTCGAGGCATACTCTCCCCTGGTGCAGGCAACCCGCATGAAGGAGCCTGTTCTGCAGAACCTGGCAAAGAAGCACGGTAAGAGCGCGGCTCAGATTCTCGTTCGCTGGAGTGTGCAAAAGGTATGTGGTGTCTCTTGTTATCTTGTGAGTAAGTCATTAATCTGTGTATTAGGGATACGTGCCCCTTCCCAAGTCGGTGACCGAATCTCGCATCCTGGAGAACTCGCAAGTTTTCGATTTCACCCTGTCCGATGAGGATATGGCCAGTCTGAAGCTCGACTCGTATGCGCCTGTGTGCTGGGATCCTGTCCGGGACTGCAAGATCTAGATGACGTCATATAGCCAAATCCACACCTTGTTTGAACTGCATGGGATCAAGTTGCATCAGAGAACTGTAGACAATCATATAGACAGACAATAGATGAAAGGCTTAGGATCGTGCCCTATTAGGCAGTTTGTTGACTCCCGGTCGGCATAACGTAACACCGCCAACCGCAACCGCGAACACAGACCGTCGACAACATCTTCAACCTCAACCTCCAACCCCCATGACCGAACAGGCAGCAGGCAGTCGCTGCGACGGTTGCCCCCATTATGCCGGATGAGCCGCGCCGCGTCATTTTGGAGAAATCCAAGACAGTGCGACGCCGGTACCAGCGCAGCAACCAACGCTTCAAATTTACCGCCTCCCAGGTCGAACGAATAGATCGCGAAGAGGAACGGGAGAAGAAAGCGAAGCAGCTGCGCGAAAGGGAAAAGAAACGCATCGCCAATAAGAAACGAAAAGCCGAGCAAGAGGCGCGCGCCCGCGAGGAGCGGAAGCGTCGCGGTATTCCCGATCCAAATGCCCGCGTTCCGTCCAGCCAGCCCCTACTGTCGATGTTCCTTGGAGCTAAGCAACCGTCGCCTGCACCACCCAAACCTGAAACTACAACTACGGAGACGGAGACGGAATTGGGTAGTGACGGAGGGGATACGGAACCTGACAGCGCCGATGGAGATACGGAAGCTGATTCAGATGCATTTGATGACCTGGATGAGGAGTTGGAAAATGACTTGTCTGAACTCCAAGGTCCTGATAACTCCGAGATCCGGGATGCAGGCATCTCGGGGGACTCTGAAGGTCGTGGAACCGGAGAGGATATCCATCCCGTCAAGGATGACGATGAATTCTCCGACTGCTCGGCATTTGATGACGAAGATGTTCTGAAAGAAGTTGAAGTCATTACTGCAACGCCACCTGTTAACGATGAAACGAAAGCCCCATCCATACCAAAGCAACATTCCTTTTTACAGGCTCCACCGGTGCCCGCACTAGATTCCTCTTTTGGTGATTCTTTCCAATTCGATGCCTCGGATTTTCTCGAAGCCGAAGCAGCTGTCATTACACAAACGAATAATGACGGAACGAACGATCATTCTCCGCCCAAGCAATCCGCATCCCTAGAGCCTCCAGAAGAGCCGCGCAAAATGCCCTCATTGGTGGCTTCGGAATCCTTCCGGGATGATGATGCCGATTTCCTTGACACACACGGACACCTTCTTGGAGAATACAATTAGACACAATACACACACGTTGGACATGGAAGCTTTGGAATATTCCGCGGAAAAGCTTGGCATGGGGCAGCACAGATCGGTTGCGGTCCGACGGTCGGGAGCTATCCGCCCCAGTTCGGATGCTCGAATTCGGGAGTTACAAGGATGAAGTAGCCTGCACTAGTTTCGCAGAGCTGCTGTGTTCCGACGGGCCGTTTCTGGAAGATATTAGCTGTATAGCCATACCATAGTCTGATCGGGAATGACGTTACGCTTATCAGTTTTATAGATCTGCCCTTCCACTTCTTCCTCTCCATCCTCAAACATCCTATTACCCCTTCGTACACCCTCTTCTTTCCTTTCCTTTACCCAGTAACCCATCCAATTTATCCAAAATGCCATTCGTTCAAGCCAACAGCCACCGCCTCAACTACGCAGACTCCCACCCCGCAGGCCCGCCAACCCCAACCGGACTAACCTTCATCTTCATCCACGGCCTAGGTTCCTCGCAAAACTACTACTACCCCGTAATCCCACACCTGACAGACTCCCACCGCTGCATCACAATCGACACATACGGCGCGGCCCGCTCCCCCTACACAAATGGCGCCGTCTCAATCCCGGACATCGCAGAAGATGTCATCGGCGTGCTGGATGCACTAAGAGTCCGCAAGGCCGTTGCCGTCGGCCATTCTATGGGCGGGATTGTGGTCACAGAGCTGGGCGCGCGGTATCCGGATCGTATGCAGGGCATTGTGGCTATTGGCCCCACGCATCCGTCGGATATGTTGGTTACGATTATGAGTAAGAGATCGGAGACTGTCCTTGAATGTGAGTTCTTCTTCTTCTTCTCCTTTTCCCTTTTTATGTTTGATATCTCATGTTACAAATGCTAACATATCTCGTTCATGTCCAGCCGGAATGGAATCAATGGCCAATACAATCCCCTTCGGAGCAGTTGGCTCGCGCAGCACCCCGCTCCAGAAGGCTTTCATTCGGGAATTGATCTCCGGCCAGGATCCTAAGGGGTATGCGGCGCTTTGTCGGGCTATTGCTAGTGCGAAGCCTGCTGATTATGCGGCTATTAAGGCGCCTTTCTTGCTTATTGCGGGCGAGGAGGATAAATCTGCTTCTATGGAGGGATGTCGCCATATCTTTGACCGGGTTTCTAGTGAGAAAAAGTCCTTCGAGGTTTTGAAGGGGGTTGGTCATTGGCATTGTATTGAGGCTGCTGATGAGGTTGGGGCTTTGATTGCTAAGTTTGCGGCGGTTGCGAGGACTTGATGGTTGATTGTTAGTACAGTATCTAGAATTGAATGACGTGTATGCCAATATACAAATACAAGATTATGCAGACTTCGGTCTTTTAGAAAGAGCTTGGTTGAGTCCAGGATCTAAAGTTCAAAGGAAGTCCGATGTCAAGAGGATGTACTTGGTTCAGTGAAGTGCAATATCCAGAGGAAGGATTCAGCGTAAATGATCTTAAAATTTGATTGGATCCAATATGTACAGAGAAAGCTATCGTTATTAACATGAAATCAGAAAATGCCACTATGATGTTTTGCCTCGCTCATACGCCGTTAGTGCTAGCTTCATCCTTCACCAGCTTAACATCGTAGTTAAGCTCAAGAGAAGCCTCGGGATCATTCTCACGCGGTACGAAGTCCACAATCAGCGAATCCTTAACAGCAAAGACGGAGTCATTGTCCAGGTACTTGTCCTTGCGGTCGAAGATCTGGGTGGTGAGGGGACGGTAGCCTTCACAAGTAGCCTGTTGTATATATTAGCATCTTTCCAAACATCACATCAAAACAGAATTATAGTCCAAACTTACAAGAATATGAATATGAGCAGGACGGAAGGGGTGACGATCCATTAACTCAAGGAGCTTGCCAGCAGGACCATCATCGGGTACAGGGTAGGGAGTCGGGCGCAGGCAGTAGAACCAGTACCGACCCTCCTCATCCGTCTTAAACTTGCCGCGCAGATTGAACTCAACCTGCTCGGAATCCTGCTGCTCGTAAAGTCCGTTCGTGGAAGCTTGCCACACCTCAACTGAGGCACCGACAAGCGGCTTCTTAGTCTGGAAGTCCATCACGCGACCCTGCATGAACGCCATCTCAGCATCAGCAGGCTTAGACTTGACAATATCCTCGCCATTCTGGCGCCAGGGTGTATCGGCACGGAAGAACGGGCCCAGGATAGCTGTGGCTGTGGGCGCATCCTTAGCTTCTTCGGCGAGTTTAAAGGTGATTTCATCGACGAGACTGTTGCGCAAAGGAGATATGTTAGGAATCCCGCTTTCTTCTTTCTTGGCGCATGCTTTCGCAGGAGAGATCTTGAGCTTACGATTCAAGTCCGAACACGTCGCACACCAATTGTCCCTCATTGCGCTTATCGTCGCTCATCTGCCCGGCCCAATTGAGCATCTTTACACCGGCCATCCACTCGTCAACGGTGAGCTCCTCCTCGCGCGCATAGTCGTGCATGTGGCGGATCAGGCCGGTCATGAGCTGTCGCATTCGCGGCGAGGTCTTGGGGCCCATCGCGTCGATGACCCTGTCAGTGAAGGTGGGGTCGAAGCGGTGCGTCGCCATGTTTGCGCGTAGGTCACAAGAGTGGTGGTAAGTGGTGAAGGTGAGAGTGAAGTAGAGTTAGAAAGGGGATTTGAAAGGAAAGGAGGGCGTCAATAAGGAAACAGCATTCGGCTTTAGCTGATATGCAACCCCATATTATATATGCACCTTGATCCGACGGGAGTTTGGCCTCCGTGAACAAATTGCCTCACACGTCCCTCACGGAAAAGGTGGGTGGCTCGGTGTTCCGGACGTGCCCCCAAGATCTGACCAAAACCATGGCGCTTATTCGAGGATGACCCCGCAAATCCACGGTGCTGGTGGCATGATTGGGCTTGGGGAGGCGTCGGATGTGGAGGCTGAACGAGTGAGGGTCGGTTGCGCTTCGGATCGGCTGGCAGATACACTTCCGATCTCCCCGCAGTCGGATACGGATATATACTAAACAATATGTATAGAAGCAACGAGATATACCTCGTGATAAGGGAGATAATCCGGGGTGATGTATTTACCTACAGATCTGTAACGGGCTAGACTATTGTCCACGAACGTAGACTATCGTTGAATATCTTCATATGCAGTTCATCGCCGACCCTTGGGGTTCCCCTTCTTGGTAAGATGCTCCGGAAGCTCTTGCAGGACCTGCCCGCGTTCCCAAAGCTTACCCAGACCGACCTTACGCTCCGCAACAACATCAAAGAAGTCAAGGGACACGAACTTGGCCGGCTCGCCCTTCTCACCCTCCGTCGGAACGGGAATGCCCTCACTAAGAATGACACCATTCTCACTGCGCCAGAAGGGAACACCCGCAGCTAGCGCCTTCCGAATATCGATATAGATCAAGACCTGCGCGTCGCGTCGCATGCCCGAGATGACATGTGCCTCGCCACTAGCCCGCTTGGCCTGCACCGCGTCCTTATCCTGGGCCAGGACGGCTTCCAGTGATGGCCCAGTCGCAAAGTGGACGTGGTTCCGGCCCATGCAGCGTAGACCACCGGATTGTAGAATTACTGGCCAGGTCGAGTGAAATGTGCCGTGAACAACCGTATCGGGTAGCTTTGTTTCATCGGCCAAGGAGAGCGGTTCGAGGAAGGATGCAGCGTCGACAGTCTTGATACTGTGGCCTTGTGTCGCGCGGATTAAGAAGTGCGATGGGTCGGTGTCATTCACGGCCAGAGCTTGGTCGGTAGCGGTTTGCTGAGCGTCGCTCGTGGCGGGCGCAGACTCCAAGACGGTTGTCGAGGGCTGGTCTTCACTTGCGACCTTCGCGGCTTCATGCTCTGCATTTGGCCCTGTTACTGGAACTGTTGTTGCCTGGGTTGTAGATTCGGTGGTTTGGGCGGATGGAATGTGGAGGAGGGCGAAACGCTTTTTGTCGGACGAGTCGACGGCATGTAGGATCTCGGGGAAGGTGACTTTGAGAGACTTAAGTTTCCTCCATTCCAGCTTTATGACGGTGAGTATATCGTAGTGTTATAATCCGTGGGGTTTTAAAGCATACCACGTCTGTTACGCTGGCATAGCCCTGCTCGTTCATCTTCAGCCCTTCCTTCTCGGCGGCATGACGGAGGAGTAAGCTCAAAGCTTTGGAAACCTGCACATCACGGCTTTGTCCTTGGCCCTGACCACGAGGTCTTCTGTCCTTGCCTGGCATGATGTCTTGAAGGTGAGGGGTGTGCGGGGAGAAGCAAAAAAGTCGGGAATAATTTGAGGTGGGGCGATATGGGATGCGGCTCTGGCAATCTACACCCAAATACTTAATTGCATAGTAGGCACCACTCATAACTAGGAAATGACTTACAGGTCATGAGAATTCAATGATACATTACCCTATGGACAGGGTACATCTTATATCGGGGTCCTCTTTTGGAATAGCATCGGAGATAAAAGTGGGGGACGTTCAGATTGACCTCAACAGACGTATACAGTAACATATTTGTTCTTATGCAGTTATAGTAATATCAAAAGAAGTAAAGGGTATATATATACAATCGCAGAAAAGAGCAAGCCACATCTAGTCCATGGACTGAGGTGCACAAAGATCATCACCGATCACAGATGCAACTACATTCTGCAACGGGACAGACCTTATGCCGCTTGAACCATTCGCTGGCATGATGTGCATGGAATCCATGATTACAATGGATACAAAAAACCACAAACCGCTTCATCACTTCAGCACCTGTGGGCTTTCGGGAGGCCGCTTCTGCATCAGCAGCGATGCTGGCGCGAGACATCGGATCTGGCGAGCCTAGCCATAAGGTACAGACTCCACATCGTGGCATATGCCGACCACAGCGCGGGCATACAGTTCCAGCCATGGCCGTGGGAGCCAGTGGATTGCCGACAGTAGGGTGGACGGTCTCGCCTTTCGTAGTTGGGGAGACCTGGGAGGAAGCATCAAGTTGGGTGAGAGGGCTGGTACAGTAATTGCAGGTCAGGCTGACCTGTTGCGGCGGCGTAGGCATAAGCTTTTGCCCGTCCACGGTCACAGCAAAGCGACGGGATCCCACATCGAATCGGGCTCGCTCGAGTTGCATTTTCCACGAGTTGATCTGGCGTCGGTAGGTTTCACGCCAGGCTTCAAACTGGACAATTTGTTTCTCGTTGCTGATAAGCCGCGGCACAGTGTGGCTCATTGCTAGCACCGGGGTTTGAACATCGTTGAATTTCCCAATATATGACTGGAACAGGCCCATGGCGAGATGGCCCAATCCTGTGAGAACAACACCTTCGATGTCACCTTGCCACATGGCCTCATTTGTGGCATTTTTCAAATATTCAGTTAGCTCGTCATCTGGAAGCCAGCGTAGCGCGACCTCCACACGATATCTCAAAGGTAGCGTGCTCTCCTTGATGACGGCATTCCAGTCGCCTTTGCTCACAAGAGCAAGAATGGCTCGAGCATAAGGATCAGTAAGCTCCGTAGCAATTTCCGCGCAGGTCTCTTCCCAGTCTGTGCCATTGTCTCCTTTGGCAGCACCGGCAATTGCCATCGCCAGCAATTTATGAGCTTGAGTAGGCTGGTTGCTTCGAAGCCCAAGATAAGCCAACTTGGGCTCGTCTTGGAAGACAGCCAGCGCAGCGGCCTTGGTATGTTGCCCTTCGCCAGATAGTTTCTTCACCGACTCTTCCAATTTGCGGTAATTCTGGGCTGCGCCACAGAGACGAAGACATAGTCGGCGATGAGCAGGGAAGTCAGTGTCGCAGCCCTTGGTCTCGGGAAGATCCAGTTTCTCAGCTAAAGATGTTATTGCTGCCGAAACGCTTTTCGGGTCATCGGGATTAGTGCTGATGCAGCGTCTCTCCAAGCCTTGACCTATTTTCAGTCAGCTGCAAAGAACTATTAACAAATAGTTTCGTAAACGAACCTATATCGTTGGTCCAAACATTGCTCACGCCTAGGTAATTCAAATCCAAGCCATTGACAACCATTGACGTTCCCGAGGAGTCGGCGCGAGCACCTAAATATCCATTAGACATGTATTTGACTTCCAGATGAACCAAGTAACTCACGTTCAATCCAACTCCACAGGTCTTGCAGAGCTGGATCCTCAGAAACTACCTTTCGGTTCCGAGCCTCATCAAAAAGGTAGCCCTCTCCACACCGAGACTGATTGACAGCGCTCAGAGTGAGTGCTTCCTTTGCAGTAAGCGGAACGCCCATAGTTCCCAAAGCCATAGCACGTTCTCGGCTTTCCCGGCTCGGAACAGGGTCGGGTTCAATAACCTTTGGCGCGAAAAGTTGACCATTCGGCTTTGCCTCATGCCCCTGTGAGCTTGAGCAGACGCGTGATCGGATGTTTTCAACCAGCTCTGAGATCGGGGAAATATGCTCAGAGAGAGGATGGATTGATCTCACTTCCAAGTCGTTCGATGATATACCACAAGCCAGTACACTTTGCGGCGACATATCAACCGGTGCACAGGGTAATTGTGGGGTGATAATCTGAGGCTGCCCACGGCCATCGAGTGCGATAGCGCTTGGTTGGACAGATAGACTAATATTCATGAAATCAAACGACACAACTCGGTCTTTCTCGTTGCAACCGCGAGTGGGATGATCAAAGGGGACGCATACGTCTCGCACGCGTTTGGTGTACATTGATTCCGGGTAGTTCCTGGAATAGCCCTGACCGAGAGTGTCATCTATAGAAGAGCGGTATTCCTCCAACAAATAGTCTTTGGCAATTTCATAGTGCTTGAAGTGTCCGGTGCTGGAGAGTGCAGCCAGACTGCCTCGGTTGGTTTTAGAGAAACGCAAGCTCCAAATGGAAGCTTTCGGATGGAACACATTCTTGAAATGAAGCGCAGCTGTTGCTGGGCCTGAGTCTGGCGCACTAGCAGAAGAGCCCAAAGATGGTGAGGCCAGCCGGGAGCCAACGCGACGATCCCATACGCAAATGGTGCTTTCGTTGGAAGGCACGCAAGACGCTATATAGTTCTCATCCAGCCAGTCAATGGCCAAATTATGAACACACCGAGTGGGAAATTGTATTGATGGAGCTCCAAGTCCCTCTATCAAACGCATTAGCAAATTTGGAACATGTGAATGAAAGCCAAGGAGAACAAACCTCTAAGATCGTAAATCCTAAGAAACTGTCCTTTGACACCAGTCACAAGGGTATCAGGCTGATCTCTGAAGAACTTGATACTTGTGATGGGCTCGGAGCTAGCAAGCTTTCTTAATGGTTCGGTGAACCCTTTACTCCCACCAGCTAGACTGAGCCGTTGGTTGACATCCCAGATGTTCAAGCAAAAGTCGTTCCGGACGCGGTCGAGACCCGATGCCACAAGTCCATGCGCACTAAATGCAACTGCATTACAGTATCGCTGGTTGCGGACTGGGAAGGAAAGCGACTCCTTGCCGTCACCATCGAGGCGTAGGATAGTGGCTTCTCCGGACGACTGGCCCACGGCGATCAGGTTCTCATTGGAGGTAGACCAGTCAAACGCGCGAAAACCAGGGACATTAGTTAGGGTAGAGAGCAGTTCATGTCGAAGGTTCTTGCCATCAAACCCGGTCACTCTGCATAGACGAAACGACTTTCCCGTGACGTCGACGGACAGGAAGCGTTGATCGGTAGCCGACGAGGTCGGGGACCAGCGAATGGCAGACTCCATGCTGGTCCTAGTAGTCAAGCTTCAGGCAGCGTTGCATAAATAAATAATCCCCAGAGTCAAATAAGCAAGCGAGCAATAAGAGCAGATGTAAATCAAAGAGAGGGATGGTATGGAGCTCATTGGCTGGCGATCGTGGGGACGGGCCGACAATATGCCGATATCTTTTTTCTTATCAACTCAGCGTCCTCTTTTTTCTTCGCAACACAACACGCAATGCCTAACGCCTGTGATCCTCCTAAGAGGAAGACCCGTGATGGGTCTGAAGATGCTGCTCCTCGGAAGAAGCAGCAAAAGACTGATGAGGTCCAGTTCGAGGACTACGGTGATGGCGCGAAGCCCAAAGTAACCCGGAAATTCAAGGACAAGTTCGCGCCGAAGCCGGAGAAGGAGTATCCTTCGATCAATGACCTCAAGAAGCGAATTCGGGATGTGAAGCGACTACTCAACAAAGTGGATTTGCCTGCCGATGCTCGCATCCTGCAAGAGCGCGCGCTCTCCGGATACGAACAAGATCTCGCAGATGAAACCGCACGCAGAGAACGATCGCAGATGATCAAGAAATATCACTTTGTCCGCTTCCTTGGTATGTGGAAAACAGCTTCAACCAGCGTCAATACCCTGCTAACGTGTCTGGCTTTTTGAATAGACCGCAAAACCGCCACCAAAGAACTCAACCGTTACCTGCGCCGCGAAAAGGAACAAGATTTGGATACGAAACAAAAGTCTCGCCTTGCCGAAAAAATCCACAATGCCCGTGTGAACCTCAACTACACGATCTACTACCCTCTTACCGAAAAGTACCTATCAATCTACCCCAAGTCGGATGCGAAATCGGATGCGAAATCGGACGCGCCAGAGTCGGAGACAGAATCTAAAAGGCCGGAGACCAATACCAAGTCTACCAAGCCACCACTATGGTCTGTTGTTGCCAAGTGTATGGAAGAAAACACACTGGACCTTCTGCGCGAAGGAAAATTGAACATCAACTTCAACGGAGAGAAGATCGCGGCCGCGTCTGCTCCAGTGCCAGCTCTAGATGCCAGCCAGGAGAAGAGCAAGAAGAAGGATCAGCGGAAAGAATCCAAGGGCGTCTCACAGAAGGAGAAGCATCTGCCCAAGGATGACAAGAAGAGCAAGAAGGAGAAACCGATGCGCAATGAACGGTCTTCTAAGCGTGATGCACCTCAAGAAGTTCACACGGAGGAGCAAGATGAAAGTGACGGTGGTTTCTTCGAGTAATCAGCGAAACCGTGATGCAGAAATAGTTCATGTCTCCCCATTCATCATGATATCCACCTTAGCATTTTCACTGCAATTCAGCGCAATTGAAACCAAAACAGTCCAAGCTTCACATCAAACCTCCAGCTTTTAGTTACCTTCTGCACCATGACCCTTTAAGCTGCTTTATGAAAATTCTTTTCTACCCTAGCCACGTTGGATTACCCGAGGATATGCAGAGCATAAGGACTAGAGCCAGAATGACCAGAAAATCGGCAAGACAGAGGACAAAAGAGACCGTCTACAACAGAGGTCATAAGTGTATATAAAGTGCCACTGATGGACGGTCTCTACGCGGAAACCAGCCACGAAGCGAGTATACGGTTTCATACATTGTTTTCGCCCTACTTTGGCCTCTCTTTTTTTCACCTCTTTTTCGCCCGTTTTGAGTGCCTCAGGTTGTAGTTGTTTGGTGGGTTAATCATGTAGATTGTGTAAAGGTGGAATGTGAAAGGACTTAATGGCCTACTGTATGACCGTATATCTGCCCGTCTGTCCTGTTCAATCACCAATTAACTTTGTTGGCCAAGGCATAGAATCATCATCAGATAAGGCCATACTACTCCACACTGAAGAGTAAGTTACGCGAAAACAGACCGTTCTCATTGTTCCGCAAGCTAGTTAAGATAGCAAATTGTGAAAGCACTTAAGCAAAGGAATGAATAACAACGCAGCAAAAGCAATGAAGGCACAAAAACACCCCCTCCTCCCAATAAAACGCTCCTTCTACATATTCCACTCATAGCAATATCATGAACCCCCTTTCCATTAGCAAAGCCCAATATTCTCATGTCAAAACCGCATCATCTGTAAGAAATGACTGAAATCATATCTCAGCAGGCAAGGCAAACGCCAGGTCACTGCCCTGTTCCTTGGCCTCAAGATCCTGTGATTTCACGTTATCACTGGAGTCATCAGGGTTTCCAGAGTCAATAGTATCCTTCGAGGCAGACTCAGCCGATTCTCCTGGCCGATCAGAAAAGATATTGGCATAGGGCCGAACTAGAGACAGGTACTTATCTCCCAATCCCTTGCTCACGAAGAATCCCCTTTTGACAGTCGTTGTTTCTGCATGGGCATTCATAGGGCCACAACGGACGTTGTACCCAGGAAACATCCACAGCGGGCAGACCTGGATGAAACGGTTGAGGTGAGGGACTACCGCGCAGTGGTGATGATCAGCCGAGACAACGTCACGAGCGACAGGCTTTCCCCGGTAGCGAATATTGAAATCCGTTCCATACGGCTGATGCAGCCGCATCTGGCGGTCGATTGTGTGAGGAGCCCGCGCTGCAGATTCAGGTGCAATCACCGCGCCAACGGACCAGACAGGATGGTTCTTTGTGACGTTTCGATGGTACTCGTTGATCAGCCAACCAATACAGATCGCGTGCTCACGACCGCATAGGATATAGTATCCTTTGTAGACTGGGAAGAAGGGTAAGCCATGAGCCCAAATGATAGGTGCTGCTCCTGAAGGCACACGGTTTGGGTTGATGTCGCCGTTTTTGTTGAAGTCGTATGGATACCAAAGAGCTCGCTCCCCAAACTTCAGTGATTTGGTTGCCAGATAGACCAATTCATCGCAGAGCCGGGTATTTGGTGGTGGGAATTGGGTCTTGCCGGTTTCGCTGAATGAGAGTCTGTTGACTAGCTTGAGCTGGGCCTTTTCGCTCCAGCGAGTTGCGGTGGTGCCGGGTCCATCCTTGTCTTCCCATTCGATCTCGGGGTAGATGTTGTGGTATCTCAGCAATTCGAAGCAGTCGGTTTGAAAGTCCACTTGTTTCTCCAGGTACTGTTGTACTTGTGCCTTTGATGGCTCGCATGCCATCTTGGCACCCCGTGCCATCCTGCTTGGTCTCTCCGAGGGGGACACTGAGCCCTTTGGAATGGACTTTTTGGTGTCCTTTGGCATGATTGAATGGAGAAGCGAGAATTGATAAAATGAATAGTTGTGCCAGTAGAAGGACAGAAAAACAAATAGTGAAGAACGAACTTGGTCACTTTGATAAGTCAAGCGGCTAGGTCAAGATTATCAATAACGAAGGAAGTGTATGAAAGGTTGGAGGCGTGAGCAATAGAGGGAAGTATATGCCTAAGCACTTGGATGGAACGGGTAATCGAGTAGGTAAAGCAAGAACGATGATGCAATTGAAATAGGAGGTGCGAGAAATGCAATGCCGGTGACACAATTGGCGAAGATGTCGCTAGTTGCTTGGGTAAATCAATCGGCTAGGGCGAGATTAGCAGCGAGTAACGAAGACGACGTATGGAAGGTAGGAGGTGTAAGCAATAGAGGAGCGTAGGAAATGAGAAAAGAAAGGTGACGGTGATACAAGCAGCAAAGGTGAACCTAAGCACTTGAGTGAAACGAGTAGGTTAATGAAGAAGGAATAATTGAAAACGGAGGTGCGAGAAATGCAATACCGGTAAGGCAATTGACGAACATAAGGGTATTGACTAGGATGAAGGGAGTAAGAGTAGGTAAAGCAATGAAGATAATGCAATGGAAAAGTAGAGGCGAGGAATACAACTCTGGTAACGCGATTGACAAACATGAAGCTATTCACTTGGATGAAGCAAATGAGAGGGCAAGTAACGAAACGAGGACAATGTAATTGAGAGAAAGAAGAGATCAGATGAGGAGTGTAATTTGAGATAACCCAACTCATGAATATGAAGCCGGTAGTGTGGATGAAGCGTAGCAGGGGTAGAGTATGGAAGGAAATATGGATAGTCCCCTTTTAATCCTTTTTTTTATTCTCCTTGTTGCCGGTTTTACAAACTCTAGTCCACGTGCTATATATTCTCGAGTAATTACGAAAAATAGAAGAAATGTACCGAAGAAGAAGTAATCTCATAAAGCAGCCTAGAAGGCCAGAAGTAAACCTAATGTAAAATCACCCAAAGAGGCCCGATGAACCAGGCAGGTTCAAAACGCCAGTGACCCCTCTAGATGCGCTAGAGCTGAAAAAAGAACTTGATTCGAAGATCATCAGAAAATACCAAAAGCTTTAAGACACGCACTGGAAATGCCAATCTTGAACTGGCGCCAAAAGAAAGAAATAAAAAAAATAAAAATAAAAAAAGATGGTGTTGGATAGATGGATGTAGATATCGAGAAAGATGAAATTTGAAAATCGGCGGTCAAGTGCGAAAGGTGTTGGAGAGTCATAGTATGCGTAATTCATGGTTCATAGAAAGTTGGTTCCTAGCAGAAGATCGCTCAAAAATAAACGGACCAAGTCCATTTATCCTACAGGCGGTCCTGCGCCGGCAGATTCGAACGGCGGTTTGCGTCAGACTCTGAAAGGTGTTCACAGAACACAAAGAAAAGAGTGGTAGAAGATGTCTTCACATAACAGTGCAACTGCCACCACTCTGAGCTCGGCGACGTCTACCACCAAGAGCAGTGATGGCACCTATACCGTAAGCATCATTTTCATCCTCATCGGCATTGTAGAGCCGCTCGGCCTCGCGAGCACGGCGCCTGCGTCGGCGCGCACCGGCACCGGCAGCGCCAGCTTCCTCTGTGGCCATCATGTAATCGGCCCACTTCCGGTCCAGCCGGGAAGCAGCTGCCAGATCACCGCGGAGGACACGCTTCGTGTGCTCGTCGACGGTCATCTGCCACCCGTAGAAGCATTTGAGTTGGATGATTTCGTTTGGGGATGTTGATGAGGGTGGAGGGGTGGAGCTTGGAGTAACGTATGTGCTGGTCATGGGGGAAGAGCCTGCGTCGGATGTTTGTGTTACTGTCACGACTGTTGATGTGGGTTTGCGTGAGGCGCGGGGGACATAGGCATTGCTGGAGAGCACTTCTTTGACACCTGCCCAGGTAACGTTTGCGCAGTCGAAGATCACCAGTCGTAGTCCGACTGCCGGGAGATCGTCGCTGTACCCGCGTTTGCGGATGCGGAAGCTGGCTTCCATCAAGGTCAAGTCCGAGACTCTGGTGTTGTCCATTTCGACGGATCGGAGCTTTGGGCAGCTCTTCATCACTTGTAGCATGCCCGTGTCACTGAGGCTCTCGCAGTAGCTGACGTTCAAGTGCTCTAGGTGCTGGGCACATGAAGATTTGGCTAGCTCCACAAGGACACTGTTGGTCAAGTTCTCCAAATCTTCCATTTCCAGATGGGACAGCTTAGGTGTGGTCTGGATGACGTCGATGATCGAGCTGTCGGTCAACTCAGAGCATTGAGAAACCTGCAATCCCTCCAAGTCTGGAACATTATGAGCTAAACTCTTCAAACCATCATCGGTTATCTCGGCGCATTGATGCAGGTCTAGATGGCGGAATAGTCGCGGTGGAACCACAGGGCGATTGGTCAGGAGGTCCACATTGGGATTTTTGCCGTGGATCAGCATCTTCAGACTCTGATCAGTCAAGTCGGTGCGGCTCATGATCAAGCGTTCCAAAGAATTGCGCTTAAACAGAGCCAAGGTAAACTTTTCATTGCCAAAGCCCCGAATCTCGCTAGCTCGGAGGTCCTTCAACCGCTCACAGGACTGGACAATCCGAAGAAGACCAGAGCTGTCAACATTGTTGCACCACGAAACATTCAATGTCTCAAGTTGGGGGCAAGACCGGGCAATGACTTTCATGGCTGAGTTCGTGACACTCGACAACCCCGAAACATTGATATTTTCCAAACGAGGGTTGCGGAGCAAGAAAGAGTAAATAGACGGCTTGTCGATACGGCAACCCTCCAGCGAAAAGTTGACGACATTCCGGCACAAATCCGATATGCGTTCTCCATCAGATGACCACTTATCACGCATCTGGATGCAACCTCTCAGATTGAGGTCTCGAACGAACGGACCACCAGAAGTGATGAGCTTCACCAAAACATCGCTGGGGATCTTGGAATAGTACTCCGTTGTATCAACCTTAGACCATAGCTGCCCATCATAGCACATCTCATTCCACGCCTTGGAAACAGCAGAGCAGCGAACAATCTCCTGCGGTGTCAAATGCTGAAAGACCTCCATTTTGAGCTCTCGCGGCATATCACCCCAGAAATCGAAGGTCTTCACTGGCTCGGATTCCGGGAGAACGATCTCCTCCATCCTAATCCCCACCGGTGTGCCTGTTCGCGGTGACCCCCGTGAGGCCGGCCTCACGTCTGAGGGCAGAGGTACGGTGCGGGGTAAAGGGCCACTGGGCCCATCAGTATCAACTAGACGTGGGCGAAGGTTAGAGCCCTGGAACTCGCCAGGAGAACCAGAACAACCGGGTGTAGCAGGACGAGGATTGAGACCTCCATAGAGCTGAGAGGAACTCCCATTTCCCAGACAAGGCGAGTATGCGGTCGATGATAACGAAACACAAGATAGGGAAGCCTTGTGCTCTCGCCGGAGGCCAGAAGTAGATGCCGAGCGCGCACGTCTTGCCAATGTCGGGCTAGACGACATTCGCTGAAGATTCTGCAGGAACTTCTGGCGACCCTTCAGCTTGGGCGGTTGTTCTAATGGGATCTGTCCGCAGGCTGTCGAGTTCGGGGGAGAGATTTCCTCCGGCATGATCTCGTCGGATATCTGGGCGGCCATTTCGGTGGTATTGCTCGAGCCGTAGATACGATTCTCTTGTCCGCCAGTGTTCTCCCACGTCTTCCGGAGGGTGTCGGTGCGACACAGAGTAGGGCAGGTTCGACGAAGTCGGCTATCGACGGGAGAACAATCGGAAGGTATAGAGCATCAGGTCGCGTGCGCAGTACTGCACCGTGATCACCTAGACCTGCATAGTGATGAAACACAGTCCTGGTTCTAGGAGAGTCAAAGAGACGCAATAAATAGCAATGCGGTGGGCGGGTGGGGAAACCACGTTGACCGTTATTGTTCTCTGGGGTCCACAGCCAACAGAACCGTGGAACAAGCCTCTGTCCGACTTGTGCCGAGTTGACGTTTAAAACGTTAGTGGAAAGAAAGTAAAAGAGTAAAAGTAGAGGGGGAGTAGGGAGGGTGTAGAGGGGCACTGGCAAGATAAGAAAATAAAAAGGGAAGCAGAGTGGAATGCAGAGCAAGTAGGGAATCCGATACATCGACTAAACTTGGAACACGCCCAGAGTCCACATAGCGAATGATGTACTTCCCATGTACCCTATCCACGAGGCCCCGGGTTATCTACTTCCTTTATCGCTACCGTACACACCACAGTATACATCCTTTATTCCGTACTTTATCTCTAAATTGCAACATCGTCTTCGGATCTCCTTCTGATACCTCAGTGGCACAGACCCCATCTGAGGTGAGACCCAAAGCCAACTATCGGCTGACGACGCCTAAGACAGAAGGAAAAGACAGCGAAATTACACCCCAATGTGTGACTAGAGTCCGAGCCAGGGAAAGCCCGAGGCGAGATTGTTCCTGAGAGGCAGATTCACTTTGTCGCCTCCTTGGGACTGTCGGACTGGGCGCCACTGCGGGGGATATGGGCCCGAGAGGCGACGAAATGTATCCATATCCATGTCTGACCCACTGTCTTGTCTTGTGTCTTTCTGGCTGTTCCTTTTTTCTGAGCCTTACTGTGTAACAGAAGCCACATGTGCATGAGACTAGCCATCACCCACTTGGCACAGGTCAAACCTTGGAAATATAGCGCAATTGCTAACCTGGCTGAGCCACTGGGACATAGAATGTACATACATGCGCTCCACCCCTCCACTCCTCTGGTGATGCCAAGGAAATGAGCCACTGTGTCGAGTGGCTCCGACACATTCTCCCCGCAATTTCATATCTTTCGGTGAAGCAGTATATAGATTCTTCTGGATCTCTAAGTCATATAGGTCACAAATATCGTATGCAAAGATATAATCAAATGCCATGGAATAATGCACGTAGAAAGGCCCAAAGAAAAGTACGGACATCATGCCACGCTCATGTTCATAGTCCACCCTAGTAAGAGATCCGCTCCACCAATGATACCCAATCCCCAGCCCGCAAAATCCTGCCATCATCAAAACGAAATCAACTTTGTGGGGTATCGTGTTATTTTTCTTAATAAGTAAAAGGCGTGGAGAAAGAGATCAGCTATCCACCATCCACGGGTGCTCGAGCACTTCTGTGATTGTGAGACGGTTGTCGACGTCGCGATCGAGCATGGTCCGGATGAGGTCAATGCATGCTTCCGAGAAAGGAAGGAAGGGGATGCGGAGTGGGTGGTCGAGGATTTCGTCGACGTTGTAGAAAGGGTTCTCCTTGTAGACAATAGTGTACAGGAGAATGCCCAGGGCCCAGATGTCCTGTTCCTTGCCGCGGTACGACCTGCCCTGGAGAACTTCGGGGGCGGCGTAGTCTAGTTCATGCAGTCAGCATCTTACCCCTGCCCAGGTCCGTAACACATATTGGAAATCTTACCAATCGTTCCCACAAAGACATCGAACGGCCCGTTCTTAATGTAGGCCGCACTACCGAAGTCAATCAGCTTGATCCGTCCCTCTCCGTCGAGAACTACGTTCTCATCCTTGATATCTCGATGCACCACCAACGCCTTGGTGTGTAGGTGATTAATCGCGCTCACAACCTGTTTGAAAATGTTGCGGCATTCCGACTCGTCCATGTTGGCCTTGAGCTCGATGTAATCGAAGAGATCCATTCCTGGAAGTCCGTGAGGAGTCATTTCAATGTAGTAATTGACATCATCCTCAAAGAAGCCTTCCATCTCCACAATGTTAGGGTGCTTGAGCCCGTCGCGTCGTAGGAAGTCCAAAACATGAATCTCCAGAGGAACCGTTCCGAGCTTGCGATCACGAGTCCACGTATCCACCAAGATCCGTTTCTTGGTGACATACTTGAGGACCATCCTCTTAACAGGCTGCTTCTTTAGACGTGCCAATTTGACCTGCCCGTAGGCGCCTTGTCCCATTTCCTCTACGATCACGTAGTCACCGATGGACCGTTTTGCTGGAAGCTCGTTCTTCGCATTGATCTCGCGAACAGGTTGTACGGGGCGGTCAGTGAGAGGTTCAGATGCAGCCTCGCTAAGTTGCTGACTGAGTGTCGAGGTCGGAGCTTGCACCTCCACTGAGGTACTGCGAGCGCCAGGTGTCTGCGTGTCGGAGCTGGATTCTGACGGTCGATCCGAGTCGTGATCATGTGATGGAGAAGTTGGCTTAGAGGTGGGCACTGATGATGGTGACAAGCCGGCGGCATGTCCGGCAGCATGGAGCTGCCTTGAGTAGGTGATCCACAATGCATAGACTAACTCCGTGACTGCAATTGTGTCATCGCTTTCATCTGAGTCACTGTTGCGATCGCTGGCTTTCTCTTTCTCCTTCTCCTTCTCCTTCTCCTTCTCCTTCTCCTTCTCCTTCTCTTTCTCTTTCTCCGCCTTTTCCTTTGAGAAGAAGGTTCCGCTTTTGACTACGCGCAGCTGAATGTCCACAACAATAGTCGAACCGTCTCGGTGCTTAGCAAGAAGACCACTTGGCTCAGTGAATACTGAGGCTGCATTTGCCTTTCCGTCGCGAAGGATAGAGAGCGTCCGTGCCCGCCGGAAGCTGTGCTCAGGAATTACAATACCATCAACCAACGGCACATTGTCCTCCTCAGTTAGAACGTCCAAAATCTCATCGAAGTCAGGGACCAAATCAGTAAAGTGAAGTCCCTCTGGTCGTTCTTGGCCGAACAAGACAGAGGAAAAGACGGAGTTGGAGCTGATCACATTCAATGACGAGGACGACAAGACCATCATTCCAGCGACATGGGGGAAACTCGAGACTTGTAGAGTTCGGTCTCCTCCTCCCTTGCCGACCGCCACAGGGATGCAAACGCCGGCCGCAGTGCGCGCGGCAAAGTGCTTCAACCCCGCAATCTTAGCCACCCCCTTGTCGAAGGACGTTTGTAGAGAGTCAGTTGGCAAACACGGGAGAAGGTCGGTGATTGGTTGCCCTTTATGGACGACAGATGGGCCCCAGATTTTGTCGGTGTCACCTTTGACATCCACAACGTTCCATGAATCGTCGCACTGGACAGAGGCAGCGTTCTCTGTAATCTCTTCCAGAACCCAGATCAGGCCACCACGCTTCTCCATAACCCAGACGCTAGCGGAGCCCCGTGTCCCGTTTCGTTTTTGGATCGGAACCACATCACCGCAGAGCAAGACGCCGCGTGATTTATTGGCCGGATGGTTCGCATTTCGGGCATTTCTCGTGCTTGAGCCATACCCGTCGTCGGTTTGGGCTCGCCGTGACTTTTCCCGTGAAGATGGTTTGCTAAGCAGTTGGGCTGTCACCCCGTTCCCAAGACCTCTAAACTTCGGATTCACGGCATGGATATTGGCGCGTTCGGGCTGAAGTGGCATACGGGCAGCGGCGTCAGTGCTGGGGTCCCGAAGTTTGCTTTCGAGCCAGTCCCTGTGTTCCTTCTGTACGACTTCCAGGATGCTTAGACGGCGTACTTCAGATTGAAGAACGCCAAAGATCAGACAGGAGAGATCATTAGCTGCCAGGATGGTCCATGGTGCTTGGGCTTCAGTTCGGAAGACGGCCTGGGATACGGGGGTCCATTTGCTGCTGTGGGTGTGGAGGGCAGGAAAAGGGAATCCCAATCCAGCGGTGGAGGAACTAAGGGAGGCGAAAGGGTCCGCGGAAGAGGTGTAAGGTTGAGCTAGAGTTTCCATCAGCTTGCTCTTGAGCGAGGCTGAGCAGAGATCCGTGTATGTACGTTTTAAGCTTACGCGCCTGGACGTCGGGGCGGAGGTCAAGTCCCTCCTTTGGTTCGAGATACGATCACTGGGGACAGGACTCAAAAACTGAGAGCTGTCCGATGGATGTGACCCTGCGGCAGATTCCAGTGCCATATCCCGGGTGCTGACTGGAGAGGCAGAAGAATCGCCATCCGAAAAGGCCTTCTCAAAGATGTTGTCGCCATTGATATCTGCAGGTCCGGTAATGGGTCCTCGAGTCTGGCTTCGGTGTTCCTGGGTTTCAAGCATATTCGCGCGGGCCAGTAGGTCCATCATGCCCTGGATTTCCGTATCCCCGCTGACATTGGCTTGTGCGTTGGCGATTCCAGGATTGGTCCCAGCCCATCCCATGCGGTCGCGCATGAAATCAATGGATCTTTTGAGGATATTTTGGCGACTGTGAAGGAATTCCTCTGATTGTTGTGCAAAGGAAAAAGAATGCAACGACTCCAGCGGAAACCGGTGTAGGTCCTCTAAATCCGTGAAGCTTTGGGTCGCGGACAAGCGGCCGGGACTAACTCGAGACGACGAGCGCGAGCGGGGCGACGCAGCGGGGCGTTGAGCCGCCATGGGGGCTAGCGACGACGTAGAGAGGTTTGGAAGGGTCAGAACTCGCGAGGGTTGGTGCTGGCGTATACGATCCAGTCCAGACGGACCGAGTCCATGCTCGCTTTCAAACAACGGAGATCTGCTGTGATGCCGCAACGTCAGTGAGGGACCTGCGAAAGTAGAACAACTCTCGCCGACCTTGAGATTGGGTCATATCCCGAAGAAACACTATTATCCCTCGAGATCTTCGGCTCTGTCTGTAAGGAAAGTTTTTGGAATCCGGACTCGGACTCGGGCGACTCTGAGAGGGGTCCCAAGGGCGATGAAAGAGGGCTGGGCTCGCCTATGACTGATCAGCATGATTCACGCCCAACTCAATCGGCGCATGTCGAAGTTTCCATTCCACGGGCCCTGGAATGATCCAGTGATCCGGAGGGTTGATCTCCGCGGTCAGATGCACTGCAGCAGAGATCGTGACTCGCTTTTCGGGAGTAAACCCGTGTCAAGCACACCACATTTGGTTTCGGTCGGGCGCTCCAGCACGTCTGAACTCGATCGGGGAACTGGAACTGTAGCTTCACTGGTTTTCCCCCTCTGGTTTCCGAGGCCCATGGAATGTGAAACAGATACAAGGTCAACATCAAAAGCATGTGCAAATGACTTACCATCAGGGTTAAAAGCAGAACCCATTCTCTTTTTTTTTGGTATTTTATTATCTCTGACCCCTGTTCAGTAAGAGACGTCAGATGGAAAGGAAAGGATGAGGCTCAATCGAGGCGAGCACTCGTGAAAGAGAGGTTATGCGACATGTATAAGTGTGTGGAGGTTGTGGACGGTCATTCGCTGCGATGGTCGAGGGGGCAGCTGCCTCGTAAGGACTCAGGCGACATGTGTGGCGTCGCGGCTGAGCACGCAAAAGGTAAAAAAAAAGAAAGTCGCGGTGATGTAGAAATAGTAAGGGGGAAAGGAGAAATGAAAAGCGCAGCGGGGGATTAGTGAGGTGGGGAGCCCAAGGGAAAATGCAAAGGAACTGGGTCCCTTTCCGTGATGTAATGCCGTCCTTGCCTTCTATACGTCTTTAAGGGCTTTCTTTTCTTTTTATTTATCATGCAGGTTATTCAGGTAGTTAGATCAGCTGATTGACGCCTTCTATCCCATGTGGCAATATAGCCTTTTCATAGTATGTACATTCTTAAAGATCCATGAGGAATGCCGGTTTATATGTGAACCCGGGAATAGAGCGCTAAATACCAAGCTACTACTCAAATACTTGAGAAAAGACATGGGTCCATGGCAGGAAATACCGACCACCAGGACATTATACTCGGAGTATAGATCTAAGAACGCAGAGCTGAGCAATAAACTCTTCTAGGTACTTCTAGGACACTCGTGGGTACTAATTATATTTTAGAGTTCACAAAGCGTGGAGCGAGATCAAAAAAGTTTGAAATCAAGTTGACTTCATATGTTTTCAAGCTGTGGAGATAGAGATTTGATATGGATACCCTACTAGAGGCCGATGGACCTTGCTTTCCACTGTATAGGCGCTCAGGCAAAAGGTTACCCCGCTTCAAAGAGGTTACTGCCAGCTTGCTTCAAAGTATGTATAGTCTCTAAAGCCATTGTGCAGACGATGATGCAAAGTGGCTTGTCGATAGATCCGAGCGCCTGATGTGGGACCATGCTTGACTCCTTTAGGTGTCCGGCTCCCATTGTGCAAAACATAACAATATAGTAGCCTAAGAGATAACAAATGGACCCCGTGGACTCCAGGCTTACATGTCACCGGCTTGTATACGTAACCAGTAATACAGGCCGTAATCGAGGCGATCACAATGGCCCATCCCCTGACAGAGGATCCCGAGAGCCCCGAAGGCTGTGTAGTGCCAATTCACTATGCTCGGCATCTGTCCCTGAATTTTCATCTCCGCCAGATCCGAACAAGGTGCTGGGTCTGCGGGCTTGGGCTTGGTCCTGCTGCCGGGTCTGCTCCGGCGGCGGCGACGTGGAGCTAACGAACCCCGATAGGTTCCGGCCGCCATCAAGCATCCATGAGAACCCTGCATCTGTCAGGGACGGGCGCACATTTGACCGCGAGGCTGTTGCCCGCACAGCTTCGGCTTGCTTGTCAGTGCTCATCCGATTTGCCCTGGCGACGCGAACAGGCTTGGAGGTTCCACTCTCGGCAGTCGGCCCGTTCGTATTCGTGTTAGCGGAAGTTGGCGTTCGCGATAGACCCTGGGTTTCGAAATCGTGCTTTGTTTCGCCAATTGTTGGTTCGGTTGTCTTTTGAAGCCCACTCTGGCAGTTTGCTTTACCTTCTACACGAGGCGGTTGCTCGGTAGACTCTACTGGGACAGAAGGATCTTGAAGGCAAATATGGACGCTCTCAGCTTTCGCCAGAGCTTGCTTCACGGATTCGTTTGTTCCGGAGTCGATGTCCTTGACATTGGCCAACTGCGATTGGAGATCATTCAGTGCCTCGCGTAGGGTAGTTGCCAAGGCTTTGTTCCTTTCTTCGAGACTATCAATCTTCGATTCCAGCGCGACTGTGGCCGCGGGTATTGTGGGGACTGTTGGCTGAGCCTCGGAAGCCGACGCAGCTGTAACATGCCTTGAAGAAGCAGCGCGCAAATTTGGTTCGTAATTCATTGTCTGCATGTTTTTCCTTGCTTCAGTCACAGCACCTCGAACGGCCTTGGCCACACCCCAAGACTCTGTTCGGCGTTGAAAGCCCTGTGAAACATCCTGGAAAATGGATTCGAGACTTTTAGCGTTGTTTCGTGCGGGGGAATGAGCAGGCGAGCTGCTTTCATTGCGTCTCTTGAAGTCTTCCCATGGAAAGGCCTTCCGTCGTGTACCGGATTGGCTGCGACTCTTTGACTCGGGTGGTCTACCCGAGTACTTTGAAATGATGAAATTGCCCCGCTCGGCTGTAGGGTTTTGTTCCAAATACAAGGCGTCGTACACAAAGGTCTGGGGTTCATGTGGCTGAGGTGAAGGGTAGCGGAGTAATAATGTTAATGCAGTCGAATAGTCTGCCTCGAGCACTAGATCGCGCATGTTAGCTAAACCTGATTAAACGAAGGACTAAGCATCAACCAACATTGCCAGCGAATTCTAAGTAGCATAGATATGCATGTGAAATCAACAAGATCAGACCGTAGTCCATGAGCAAACAGGAGGTCCCACATCAGCAGGACATCATCAAATGGAAATTCCCGTCCAAACAGAAGGCGCATCCAGCGGCTTTGCACAGAGTTTAGCATGTATCACACGTTTTGAGGTACTGCAACCTACGTCAGGAAAATTTGTGGTAGGACATCGACTGCTTCCAGGTGTTCCGCGAGTTCGTGGTCAATAATCATCAATGCCTCTTTGTGGAGATATTGGCACCGATCGACTATTGGAATCACCTCTGCCTGGCCATTTGCAGATCGTGTCTCACTGTGCTCATAGTAGATGCGAGCTGTCTGCATGGCAGAAAGGAATAACGTGAAAGAATCATGCTCCACGAATTGAGGATCAAGAAGCTGAAGCATCAATTCCTCGTTTCTGTCGTCGTTTAATTCAGGTTCTCCAGAATGTGGCTTCACTGAGTCCCGGTCCACTGCCCAAAGTATGGGTGCGAGCAGCTCATGCATGCCCTGTCTATATCCCACGTCCGGATTGAGCTTGGAGTAAACGAATAACACATCGGTCAACTTGGATTTCGTGGCTGGCTCTTGGAAGAAGAAGTTCTCTTGCAGGCATCGATCGACGTCTTGTAGAATTTCGGCGCGCAGCGTCTCATCGTTCCGAAGTGTTTGCCAAGGAGACTGATCGTTCCAAAGATTGGTCAGATAAGGCACTATTTGGCGGAAGCAAGACGAGGCTGAGAATTACGTACCTCTGCATCATCCGCCAGCGGATCAACACTTGGGTCTATATCGTCCGGGTGTTCAATGTATTTCAAAAAGTGGTCTCGGAGTGCACGATAGGCGTCGCGGGATTCGTCGAGCTTGGCTGCCCATTCATTTTGATCCAGACCGTCGAAAAGCAGAAATGCCTGTACTTAAATGAGCAACTATATCCAAGCTCAATCATTTCGAGTCACAGAACCTTCCAGCAAACCGATCTCAGCCCATCATTGCATAGGTTCCCTCCCTGTTCGGATCGCAAGGTCGCTCGGAGGTGGGAGGGCGTGTCATTGTCGGAGAACAAGATGTCCCATCTCTTTCTGTGAAGGTCAGTAATAAAATACGTCCAAGAATATTGGTGGTAAATACCGTGTCTCCTCAATGGTTCTCATTGCCGAAGTTGTTGACTAGGAGAAGATGAGGGGAGCCGGCGATAGCTAGACCGCCCTCCTTATCGTCATTCGACATCTCTATAATCGTCCGAGGTTGACTGCACTTTCACTCGGACAAATTTACAAGGAAGGGCGGAAGCTGGAGGATATTTCGGTTAACGTCGATATACGATCCGTTGCTTTGCTGCATGTGCAGAACCAGCCCGTAATTCAAATGTCACCTTTCACAGCTTCATGACACCACGTCCGAGATGTCTGCCGATCTACTAGCAGAATTTGGCCAGGGCTCTGTCCGAGCCAGTGGCTCTTCTGGCCAGCAGAACCAGAAAAGTGCATTCTTTGATGACCTGAATCAAGAGAATATCGATTTCTTTGGAGCGCCGGCAAGTGCTTCACAGCACAACAGAGCTGCGGGTCCAATCCCGAAGACAGCTGGGAACCATTCCGCTGCTCAAAACCCATGGGAGTCCCATTCTCAGCCGAAATTTGACTTACCCCTACATCAAAACAGTGATGTACTGTTCGATGCAGCATTCGACACACCAGCAAGTGACGCGGATGACGACTGGGGTGAATTCGAGGGACCGGAATCTACTTCCCAGCAGGCTCCCAGGCCCACGGCTCCATCACAGCAGTCATCAATAGCTACATTTCCCAAATCACAACCTTCACAACCTCGACGAGATGCATTTGGGACCTCGGGGACGGTTAACTTGCTGGACTCTCTCTCAATAAGCGACACGACACCAACGCTGAACCAGGAGACAAAGGTTCCCCCAAATAAACAACATTCCAAATCTAATAATCAAATCCAACCAACATGGGATGATGACTCGTTCGGTGACTGGGGTGAGTTCGCCGACGTACCCGCTAGCAAACCTCAACCGAAGGTCTCCGAGAAAAAGGCAAAACCACCTATCAAATCTAGCAACCCGCCGGCATCAATCTGGGATGATAACGCCTTTGATGATTGGGGTGATTTCACGGATGGGCCCAGTGCACCACCGGTCCCCAAATCCAATCCGATATCGCCAACAGTCACCAGTCCAGCACCCCGAAGCTTCGTCTCTGGAAGCTCGGCATCTTCGCCTATCGTCCGCCCAACAAATATTCCACCGCCATCTGTACTTCTCGAGTTATTCTTAGATGTGTTTGACCATCTACAAAAGGAGGCCACACTGGTCAAATCCCAACTACGATCTTCGCCATCAAACACAACCAACCTTTCCGCGACTGCGTCAAATATCCACAATGCGCTTGAATCAGCTGCCCGTGTGATTGCAGGGCGAACTCTCCGCTGGAAACGAGACACCATTCTCAGCCAGAGTATGCGAATCGGTCCTGCTCGTTCCGGCAAAGCAGGTGGCATGAAACTCAACAGCGTGAATAAACACGAGAACATCAAAGAAGAACAAGATGCCGTCAATGTTCTTAGCCTTTGGCGCGAACGGGCGGCGGTCTTCAATGCTGTTCTACAAGCCGCCGGTCAGCGGCCCATTCCCGCGGTCCCGGACCCCAGTGCGCTCAAAGTTACTGTGGCTCGGTCGGACCAAGGAGCGTTGAAAGCTTCCCATTCATGTGCACTGTGCGCGCTCAAAAGAGACGAGCGGGTCTTACGGGTGGATGAGTCGGATGTACAAGATAGTTTTGGCGAGTGGTGGACAGAACATTGGGGTCACACGCACTGCCGACAGTTCTGGGAGACTAATCAACATCTCCTCAGGCAACGATAATGCGTTTATAGACAAATAGTTAACACGATGACCCAATGCTAAATGATAACCGGGAAGGGGCCCGATATCTTCTCCACCTCGATAAGAGGTCACCTTTGCCACTTTGTGATTCGTTTGTGAAGCCGCCCCAATCATAGTTCTAACTTCCTGGTTCACCCCCGCATTTTCACCATGTTAACCCTTGTATCTTGTCAACTTGTCAACTTCGCTCCAATATATACACATGGCGGGTGATGGAAGAGTCGCAAAACGATCTTCGAATGCGTTAGTGAAAGCACTTCCGCGAAAGTCCGGTCGCTAACTTCATTAGTTGTGTGCGATGCCGAAGACAAAAGATCAAATGCTCCGGATCGCAGCCCTGCGATGGATGCAGCAAGCGCAAGCTTTCATGCATCTTCAATGATAGAGACCAGAAGATACTGGTCACAAGAGGGTAGGTCCAATGCAGAATCTGCCAGTTCAACGGCTAATGATCGACACAGGTACATCATGGAGCTGCAGCAGAGGATTGCGCTTATAGAGCAGTCCGAAAAGGGCCAACGGAGTCCTTTCAGTTCCAACTTTGATACACAAACCAATGGTCTGTTTAGTCTTGTGGCATTCTAGCCGAATGTCCCTGCTGATTTATTACAGATCCAAAGGATCACGAAGATGCATCACTGGACAGAATTACTCCTAAGGATCAAGATGAGTCCCAGGACTACGAAGACCCAGATTCTAGCTTGACAAACCCGCTCTCAAGCGGCCCTCCTGCCTTCATGGCAGCGGCGAATGGCCGGACATGTATGTCTTTTTTATTTCTTGCAACGTACAATTCTAACGACACCAGTCTATCTTGGAACATCATCAAACTGGTCATTCACTCGGCGAATTCTTAGCCTAGCGCACCATCATGCCTATCAGGAGGCACTGTCGCCAGAAGCTTTACTATTTGACGAAATGACTTATGAACTCCCGTGGGACGGGTTACGAACAACCCCGGGCCCAGATGTTCCCGTCGTTCCTACTCGCGACCACACTATGTATCTGATCAACGCCGTCAAATTCCGCTGTGGGCAATTGTATCACCTCTTTGAGGAAGGTGAGTTCATGGCCTCATTACAGGAGTTTTACTCGGGAGATGGCCACACCATGACCAATAGTCTATGGTACATCCATTTTCTCCTGATCTTGGCGTTTGGGAAAGGATTTGTTCAACCCAAAGCTCAAGGGAAAAAGCCGCCTGGGGTTGGCTACTTTGTCAAAGCTTTGCAGCTTCTACCTGACCCCGGCGCTCTATACCGTGATCCTATGGTGGCGACAGAAATCCTCTGTTGCATCGCGTTATATTCCCAGTGCATTGATTGCCGCACATCGGCGCACAACTATGTAAGACACTCTGAGAAACGGAGTTGCGTAATACTTGACTGATAAAATCTCTAGATTGGGCAAGCCGTGCGGATGGCCATGGCACAGGGAATGCACACTAGGATGCCAGTCGAAGATTTGGGCCATGACACCGTTCAGAGATGTGGCAAAATCTGGTGGACAGTTTACATTTTAGACAGAGAAATGACCTCTCTAATGGGTCTCCCTCAGTCTATCAATGATCGCTACGTGCAAACCCAGCTTCCCACATTCTCAGACCAAGCGGAGACCGTGTCTCTCGAGATGCATATCAAGTTGTCTCAGATTATCGCAGAGGTCAACACCAGTAAGACCCATCGGTCACTCTTGCTATTGATATCATATAACAGCTTAATAGAAGTATATGCTATCGACGGACGCATCAATCGAACATTCCTGCTCAGCACTAAAGCCGCATTAGCGAATATTGCAAGCCTTGCCGATGAACTTCGCGAAGCAGTACCGTTACATTTGGACCGAGAAGTGAGCGGTGTTTCACGAACGTCGGCCTCTTTACACCTTCTATATCATCAGGTATGTGGTTCTCTATGAACGACAAAATGCGGTCGCTAACCTTAGTCAAGTGTATTATCCTCGCAACCCGACCTCTATTATTCTGCTTCCTCAAAATTCAATTTGAGTCACCAGAATCCTGCCTAGCATCCTTAAATGCATCCCGCAACGTTCAAAACTTGATGCAAATGTGTCTTGAATCTGCCCAACACATCATCAGTATTCTCCACAGCCTACAGATCCAAGGTCTCCTAGGTATGAATCCAAGCCAGCTATCCTCCCCGATATATTCAGACTAACTCTCTGGTTCCAGAAACTTTCCTTCCCTTCGACCTCGAATCCCTTTTCGTATCGACAGTGATCCTCCTACTTAGCCCGGCAATCGACCCCCGCTTACTAGACAGCCACCCCAGCTGGTTGGAAAAGGCCTACGCAATCTTCGATGAAATGATCGGAGACGGGAACCAAGTAGCCAGTTTCCGGCGGTCAGAGCTGCAAAGACTGGACGAGACCTTGAGTTGCATCTCTCGGGGTCAATCTCGACCTTTGACAGTGCCTAATTTCTTCCACCAGACTGATGTTCTTCCTAATCCGCCTTCTCCATCTTCGACATCCATCCCGGAGTCAATGCCACAGCCTCTTCAATATAATGCTCTTCTCAGGCAAGATCCTGTGTTGGATGGAGAGTGTGATTTCGGGACAATGTTGACTTCAGCTGAAATTATGGCTGTTGCGGATTCTATTGAGACGTTTGATACCGAATGGGTGTCGAATGCGATGGTTGAGCATAGTATTTGGTAGATTGTCATGTGTAACGAATGTGATGAATTTCAATGTAACTTTGTCCCAATGTATTGGTATTCAATTGGAAAGACTACTACAAAATCGAAACTTGAATGGGAAAGATATATAAGAGCTGTATAAATCAAAAATTCTAGCGAAGCTATCTAAAGCTTAGACGATCTCCCAGGTCGAATCTCAGCAAGCTCCTTCGACTCTCCAATTCTCCAACTAACATCACCACCCCAGTTCCCCTTCTCACCAGCAGGCTTAGGCTGCTTCCACCTCCACCTCTTAATCTGCTGCTGTCCAGCACCCAAGAAATCCCTAACCCAAGACCCAAAGATAGGGAACATTTTAAACCCGTGCCCAGAATCACCAGAAAGCACAACAACCGAATCGGAAGTCTCAGGAAGATAATCAATAATAAAGTCCGAGTCATCAGTATCAGCAAACCAACAAAGCGACCTCCTAACCAACGGCCGATCCTTCAACGCTGGAAGCGTATGAGCCAACAACTTCCTCATCTGCTTCTCATCATGCTCAGGTATAAACGCACTCTCCTCCAACGAACCAGGCATATGCGAAATTCCAGTCTGAGCATCGGTATTGACATACCCACCCCCCATAGGACAAATCTTCAACAGGTTCGTCTCAGGATCAGGCTCGAACAGGAATCCAAGGTCGCGCGCATAGGTTACGGGAATATTCCGCAGCATGGACGTCTCCTCATCGGTCAGATGCACATGAGCAACAGACCACGACTTCGCAACGACCTTCGTTCCAAGCTCGGGAACAAGTCTGCCGACAGCACCGCCCGCTGCAACAATTACCAGCGAAGACGGGTGGAATTTGCCGTCTTTCGTGCGGATTCCGGAACTCTTTCTGCCCTTCGACGCGCCCACGTAGACGATCTCGTCGACTGCGCCGCGTTCGCCGAGGTAGAAGCGGACGCCGGCTGCTTGCGCGGCTCGGTACACTGCTGCCAGGGCGTTGCCTGAGTGCGCGTATCCGTCGAACCGGTTTAGGTAGCCGTTCCAGCCGGTTAGCGGGCCGTTTAGTTGCCAGCATGCTTCGCGGATGTCCTCGTCGCCTTTGAGAGGGACGACGTGCGGCTTGAGCTTGGTGTTTCCGTCTGCTGCGGCGCGGAAGCGGCCGAGAGTTTCGATGGCCTTTTGGGGCGCGTCGCCGGATACACAGTGGAGGAAACCGGTCTGGTGGAAATGGGGGGCAAATAGGGGGGTTTTCCAAGCGGCGATGGCTTTCTATAAGAAATGACGGAGACATTGGTTAATATATGTTTTTGGAGAGTATAGTATGCAAGTATGTATATAACGAACAATTGTCAGATCAGTATAGAACGGATCCTCATACTCCGCGCGAACAATCTTGTTCAGATCATTGGCGGCTGAGAAGCGCGGAGGGATATGATCATCTTTCTCATAGACGGCCACGTTCGTGAAGCCATCGCGAGTCAGATGTAGAGCGGTTGAGAGCCCAAAGGCTCCTCCGCCAACGATGATGATCGGGTCGGATTTGGAAACTCCCATTTTTGGTTGAGATGCGATTGAAATAATGGACCAGCCAGATTTGCCTCTAGTTATAGCTATCTATAATTCTCAGGTGTTGGCCCATACGGTAACCTGGCCGAACTATCTACAAAGTGCGGGGAGGGCGGAGAGGAGGCCGTCGGGAGGCTTCCCGGCGTGGATCGCGCGGTTTTGATAAGCTTCAACGTCGGATTTGATAAGGGTATATGTGATCCTTGAGTCTAAGACATTTAGTTTGTCATGTATGACCTGGCTTGGTGGGGTTAAGTGGCTCCAAAGTTATCTTTCGGCATGTCTCGCGGCCCCGGTCCCGTACTAATCTTGTGCATTTAGTATAAAAACGCATATCTTTGTTTATGTATCTAAGTTCTCTTTTGTCACCTGAATGAATGAGAGGAATATAATTTATAATGAGTGTATAGCGCAATGAAATGTATAGATCGAGAAGGGAGTAGAAGCCGACACCTTCGTAAGTACTCGCGTGACGAAGTTATCAACGACAAATTAACACTACAACCGGGCTATTTTTACTATTCCTGTGCCTAGCTAAGATCCTAGCTAGCATGCCGCTACAAGAATACACCTCTCTGTCAGGCGTAATCTGACTAGTACACCGATGCAACTAGCCGGAAATCAAGTCTGAGTGCTTTGAATTTACAAGAATGGTCATTGTAGGCGTAACAAAAGCGTGATTGAATTGTAAGAGCACATATTTTACTAAATCATCTATAGAATTGTTCATAATACATCCGAAAATCCTCAGTGGTTGCTGGGGTAAGTGAATCCTTCCTGAGGGAAGAACTCCTCCTTGATCAAACGCGGGCTGACGAAACGACGAAGAGGATCAGCGCTACCAGCCTTGTCGTTAGTTCCACTGGCGCGTGCGCCACCGAAGGATTGCTGGCCAATAAGCGCAGCAGTGGTTTTGCAGTCTATAAGAATAAGATGGTTAGCTTTGATCATATTTCATATCAGAATTATGAGACTTACTGATATAGAAGTTTCCAGCAGAGTATCGGAGAGCATCCTCAGCCTGGCGGATGGCAATCCGGTCCTTGGCGAAGACAGCACCGGTCAAGGCGAGACCACCTCCGTTGCGGTCAACATCCTTCAGAGTCTGAGCCCAATCGGCATCCTTGTAGACGTAGACAGTGAGGACAGGACCGAAGATCTCCTCGTTAAAGAGACGGTGGTCTGGGGAATCGGCCTGGTATACAGTGGGGTGAATGTAGTAGCCCACGGAACCATCATAGGTACCACCGGCAATCAGCTTCAGCGAGGGATCCTTGTTGCTGGCATCAATAATACCCTTGATCTTCTCGAAAGAGGCACGGTGGATCACAGGACCCATAAACGCAGACAAGTCCTTGTCGGGGTTTCCAATAGTGATTTCCTTCACACCAGCCTTCAGAGCAGTGAGGAACTCCTCAGCCCGAGACTCAGGCAGGTAGACACGAGATGTGGCAGAACACTTCTGGCCTTGATACTCGAAGGAGCCACGGATGGTGTGGTTAACGGCACTGGGGATATCGGCCGAGGGGTGAACAAGGTGGAAGTTCTTTCCGCTGGTCTCGGCCACCATGCGAGGGAACTCGCGGTAGGTCTTCTGGGCAACACCCTGTCCGATCCGGCCGAACAGAGAGCGGAAGACATTCGAGGAGCCAATAAAATTCAGACCGGCAAAGTCACGGTGCGCAAGCACAGTGTCGGTGATAGCCTCTGGGTCTCCAGTCACGAACTGGATAACGTTGGGTGGAAGACCGGCTTCCAGAAGAATTTTGTAGACCAAGTAGCTGGCGTAGACATTGGATGGCGAGGGCTTCCACAGAACGACGTTACCCATCAGTGCGGGTCCGCAGATCAGGTTTCCACCGATGGCTGTGAAGTTGAAGGGGAGACGGCGTAGACGAAGCCTTCCAGGGGGCGGTACTCCACACGACTGCGTCAAGTTAGTTTACAAATTCGTTATGTTGATAGAAGGATTTGTATAATTCACCTCCACATGCCATCACTGCCACGGGTAGGCTGCTTCTCCAAAATCTCACCGGCCCAGTTGCAGTTCAAGCGGAAGAAGTCCGCCAATTCAGCAGCGGCATCAATCTCTCCCTGCCAGATATTCTTGCCCTGGCCAAGCATAGTTGCCGCGATAAGCTCATATCGGTATTTGGTGCACACCAACTCAGCAGCCTTGAGGAAGATCGAGGCACGGTCAACAAATGGGGTATCCTGCCAGCTCTGCTTGGCCTCCAGGGCGGCGTCGATAGCTTCGTTCGTTTGTTCCTTGGTAGCGAGGGGATAGTTTGTGAAAGTGGTTCCGTGCTCGGCGGGTAATGGCTGATCCCAGGACTGGGAGCTTGCTTGGAATTTTCCGTCGTAGAAGAGCTCACTCCGCACGGGCATCTGAGAACGAAGCTTCTTCAACGCTTCTTCGACCTTTGCGCGCTCTGGAGACCCTTTCCTATATTCAGGCTACACTATGGTTAGCTTGACTTAGTCTTCATAGTTGATGTCCACTCACGTTTGGCTCGTTTCTGGCATCAGGAAGACGGAAGGGCATCGTAGCCTTAGAACGGGTCTGCATAGTCCCCGGAAGGGAGCGCAGATGAGTGCCAGTTGGCCGTGTGGCGCGCAATCTCATGAGGGAAGCTGTAGACATGGCGAATATCTTGTTTGATGGAGTCAACAGCGATGTGAACTTGAAGAATCATGAAATCGAGACGAACAGATGAATTTAAAGGTCAACCAACCCCTCGTGGAAGCATCGGGGGCTTGTCCGTTACCCCACAAATGGTATCTCATTCCGACCGAGCTATGATGCTCTGGTTAAGCTACAATGCACAATTGTTACTCGAAGTATGCGACGTCGGGAGGGTAGCCGATCCCCATATCGGAGCGGGTGGAATAGTCATTATCAGCATGTTTCCAGGTAGATAAGCAGGAGAGAGTCAGAACTGTGTAGCTTAAATCACTATGGAAATTCAATCACATCAGGTTCGTTGGAACAGTACACATCTGGGCCAACTGGTGGGCGATCTGGTTGCAGCCACAGTCTCCGCGACTCTCGTGACCCCTGCAGTAGCAATTATCGACCGGCAAGTCTCAACTCCAAGCGTGCTGATAACTACTAACAAAGCGCTTAGATCAATCGTCGAGCAATCTGCATTCAAACAGCCAATTCTCCACGGCCTACGCCGACATGCGATCGCGGCGCTGAAACAACCACACCTGTTTGTTTTCCAGCGCCCATTCGGCTATGTCTGGGCGCTCTACGCGGCCACTTACTCCGTCGCCAACGTGACCGACACCGTCAGTCGTAAGCTGGGGATAACCGCAGCGGGGACTATAACCTTTGCCACGACGATGCTGGCAAACGTCCCGTTAGCGCTGTGGAAGGACATCCGATTTGCGCAAATCTATGGCTTCGGCAAGGCTCCCGATGCCAAGACCGGCCATTCTACGCCGCTCAGACAGAACCGGTCGATCGCACGGGCTGCCGCTGCTATCTTTCTCGTGCGCGATGGTGTCACTATCTTTGGATCGTTTACGCTGGCGCCGTGGCTCTCAGCTGCTATCCCGGATAATCTGGCGGCCCATCCTCATGCCAAGCCGGTCATCACTCAATTGACTGTTCCTGTATTGACACAGTTGGTGGCTACTCCACTGCATTTGCTTGCGCTGGATATGTATACGAGGCAATATCATGTACCCTTCGTGGAAAGGGTCAAGCAGTCACAGCAGTATCTTGCCTCGTCGACTCTGACGCGTTGTGTTCGTATTATTCCGGCATTTGGAGTCGGATGTCTGGCGAATATAGAGTTACGAGCTGCCTTTCACGAGAAATTGACATGATCCATTGAAATACTTTCTACCACTCCTATCTTATATCTAACAAGCCACAGTGCCAAACAGTCACATCTATAGTCTATCAAACACCTTTATCCAAACGATCCATGAAAAGTCGCGTCATCTCCTGCTCAAGCGTGCTCAATCTGTGCATCCTCAAGTCCACCCTTCCCAGTATCATCAGGATAAGACAGCAGCTCTGACTGGAAAGGCATCTCCCGTGCAATCCTCACAGTATCGAAGACAGACTTCGACTGAACAAAGATATCGTCAATCTCTTCCAATGTGCGGCCCTTGGTCTCAGGACAGAAGAGGTAGAAGCTGACACAGGCGAAAGCACTGATACATGCATAGATAATATAATAACGCCAATGGATAGTAGCAAACCCAACAGGGCTCACTTCCGCAAGGACGAAGTTGAAAAGCCAGTTTGCCGCAGCCGACATGGCCGTAACCTTGGCACGGGTACGTAGGGGTGCAATCTCAGCAGCGTACATAAAGGGAACAAGGAACAATCCAATGGGGAAGCAGAATAAGGCGATGAAGTAGAATAAGAGGGATGCACTCGCTGCAGCGTGGTTACTCAGATCGCTTGATAGTCCGGCCAAACAAGCCTGGGCAACAGTCATACCGGCTGCGGCGGCGATAAACAGTGGACGACGTCCAACTCGATCAATGAGTAGAACAGCCAGACCAGCTGCCACGAACTGCCAGATCTGGAGACATCCGGTGATGATTCGGGCGATGGTGCCCGAGTATCCCAAATCATTCTGAAAGATAGTATCGGAATAGAAAGTGATGATATTGACACCGGTCATCTGCGCCAGGATGTTCACACCCACGGCAATAACAGTCCGGTGTAGATGGCCATTATTCGTGAGTGCGAACGGCGAGGAAGAGCCCGTTGACTCGTTGTTCTGATCCATCACAAGCGACTGCCGAATAATCTCCAGCTCTTGCAAGACATGTTCGGAGTCAACCGACTTATCTTCCATGCGGGCTAGCACTTCAGCTGCTTCATCCATTCTTCCAGCACGCGCAAGCCAACGCGGGGACTCTGGCAGGAGCAAGATACATGTCACAACGACGAGAGCGAATAGACCCTGGAAGGCGATGGGGAAACGCCAGCTAACAGAGTTGTCACTGACATAGTAGAGTCCGAATTCCAACCATGTTGCGAGGACAATGCCGCCGATTGCGAACCATCCTTCCAGCAGCACCATCCGACCACGGGCTCCTGCGCCAGATGACTCCGAGACGTACATTGGGATGGTGGCAGTGAAACCGCCCACGCCGAGGCCTATATATATTCAGGTTTGGTTAGGTCGTGATGATTGAGTCATTGATAGGATAGGTGATAAATCATTACCAGTAATGACTCTACCAGCAATAAGCTGACCGAGTGAGAAGGGAGTCGACTGGATAGCTATACCGACCAGAGCGATGCAGCCTGCCACGAAGATGGTCTTGCGGCGACCGAGCCTGTCGCCCAGAAAAGCGCAGGAACCGGCGCCCAGTGCACATCCGACTTCATAGATTGCGACCGTGGTACCTTTCCATGGTCAGCGCGGTCTTTTCTCTTAGCTAAAGTTTTCCTTGCTTCTAGCAATACCTTGAATAGTAGAATTGTGTGAATCTTGACTTCCGGTAGTATTGACAGTGTCGATCTGAGGGAAGACAGCAATGAAGGAACCCAGCGTCAATAGCCCATTGCAAACTGCCTGATCGTAGCCCTGGAGCACGAAGCCAACAGCACCAATGAGACCGATGACGAGGCTCAATGACTTGCCCCTGAGCTTGTCTGCCATGACAATTCGATAGATAGACTTCTAGCAAGAAAGATGTACACTCGGGTGAAAGAGTTGAAGAATTTCAATTCCTCCCGCGAACACGCGCAAGGGCCGGGGCAGATAACGGAACCTTGAAACACCCCACCCCCAAAGCGAGGGGCCCCAGACTCGTAAGTTAACTAAATGAACTAAACGAACTAAACTAGGGCTGGGGGAAGACAAGCTTACCAAGCTTCGGACGTCCACCGACTGGCCAATCATATTGTCTGGTTAGGATTAAGAGTGGGACTTAGACTTTGGACTAACCGTGACTGTCCCAACTATCCGCATCGAGTCCGCCCACAATATCTCCATAATTACTTTCGGAGTCGGCAATTGGCTCTGTGATTCCGAATACGGCCCATTGCTATCCTCCGGCCGATGGTCCAGATCCATTTCCCCTCTTGTGTGCTCATAGTTAGTTTCGTGTCCGAGGTTTTGCCTTGTCCTTCTTATCTTCGGTATTACTATTGTGCTTGCGACAAGTATCTCCGAGCTAATGTTATTGGTTGGTGCTTTATACTTTACATGTGTTCGGTCCGATTTGATTAACTCGCACCCCTTTGAGGACCATGAGGTGTTGTTCTCTTTAATCTAAGCATTGTCGTTTGTTCGCCGCTCTGGTTGTCTATAACATTTTGTTGAAGTAGGCCACCATTTCTACATGGGTTTCAGTCGCCACAGTCAGACCTTTCTAAATTGTACATGTAAGACCTGCACATTCTTGACCCCTAGCATGATCACGCCATTGTGGTCCTGAGTTCCTTTATTTTGCCTACTCGTTATTTTACAAAAAAAAATTCTCTTTCGTACCTCTTTTGCTTATCTTGAAAGCAATTATCAGCTAGTAGGTCTCCGAAGTTCCGACCTCGCATGATGCATAATCTTACATGTACCGCTCACTGACTCTGGGTGAGTCATGGTAAATGTATGTTTCCATCTATATAATTATGATTAACATATTACGCCGTTATCGACCCTCACAAGATGAGACCATGATGCCCCAATCAATACAGGACCGTGATACGCTGCGCTAAAATAGGGGGCTACTTATAATGTCTGCGGATTTCCGAATTCGCCCCCAGTCCTTCGACCTCAAAGAACCGTATGTCCCTATTGCTTGCTAGTCTCACCTATGTATCCAAAGAGGGTTCCAATTGGTAGACTGGCATGGCTCCTTTATTGGCGCGTGCCCGTTGGGCATATTCGGCCAGCAACGCCTCTTGCAAAATTGGAGTAAATGCACTCCATGTAAATGGAAGACATATTTATCTGATGCGATGCTTATACTTATCTGGTTCCACTTCATGCTTGTGCTCATCACTCACCTGGATCTTAATGAGAATTTATAGGAAAGCACTGACAGCGAACTGGACCCGGAAAGGGGTCCATTGCATCTTGATTTCGTCGCGCATATCTTGGTCACATTCATCCGAGGTATTAATGGCAACTGTACTGTTCTCATAAATATTACAGTGGAGTCTCTTTAAATGTGTGAATAGCTACTCAGAGTACTGCGAGTGCGAATCCTCCCCTTCAGTACTTTTATAACGTAAAAAATGGGTGAAAAGGTGAAAAGGTCAAAAGAGAGAAGCAAGGGTAGCGAAAAAACGATGCTTAAGCCAGTATACTCGCATCGAGGCGTGTGGATGTCATGCAAAAACTGACAAATACTTCATGAGTAGAGCTGTCTACAGTGACTTGGTTACTCGTATGGATGGAGTACATGTAGCATGGTTGTTGGATCATCCCGTCGCACCCAATCAGTTCAGCTTCGACTCAATGACAAGTCTACTGATCTCCACATGGTTCCTGCAAGATCTGCAACAAAGTTTCGTCATTATAATTGAACGGGTTGTACTCCGTTGTCAAGTTACGCTTAACTCTTTTCCGTTACTGCAACAATTCAGGCGTAACCACGGAACCGTGCTTCACGTTGAAGAGCCTCAAAGTTAAAAAAGTTGCATCATTTTCATCCTGCATCTTCGGCATCTTCCGCTTGCTCCAAAGGGAGTGGGGTGCGGAGTCCGGAGAAACTCAATTAGAGTAGGTATACATTCGCTTCGGTTGCTCGAAGTATTCGGGATACTATCCCTTTTTCTTGGCCTTCCAAGTATCGGTGTGAAAAGATATCAACAATTTAAAAACCCGGACATTCTAAAACCCCAGGTGTACCAGTGCACGAATCATTACTAGCATGGTTTACAGAGTAGGGCGTATAGGGCGCCCCTCTTTGAAATGTGTACAATTTACATGTCCCTACTAACCCAGCCCCCTTCGCTCCCAATATACTCTTGCCAGGGTGTGTTTTAGATGATAGTTACTCATTTGGAAACATGATGTTTCGAAGGATTCAAGTTCATAGATAAATATAGAACCGTTCGGAGCCCCCAACTTCGAGCCGCTACAGCAATGATCACCGCACCGCCTTAAAATGACGCAGAGGCTAGCCCCAAATCAACCTTGGCTGAAACATGCAAACGTGATATCAATACTGTAGAAATATGATTCAAAATGATATATTTGTATGATAAAATGATATGATGTATAATAAAGCAAATAATGGCATAATGGTAGGGGCCATGCAGATATACGCCTGTCAGATCCCACGCTGATCGTGACATTCATGAGTGTAAAAAGAAGGGCTCAAAGACAAAAAGGGCTGATCTTATAGGAAATAAAATAAAGAGAAAAAGAAATGTAAAGAAGAAATAGAAAGGAAAAAAGGGGAAATTTCCGAAATCTAGATATACTCATCATCCTCAAAATCCGTATCCAGAGACTGAGCTCGGGCTCTTTTTCGAGAGATTCTAGGGGTGATCGGAGTAGCGGGAGCAGGATCGGACATTGCTGAAGGCGTAGCACTTGCGCGATCTCGACGCTGTTGTTTAGTTTCAAGTAGTCGCATTTGAGCTTTGCACGCATTCGGAGAGTAAAATCTCGTAGCGCCCATTTCTTTAATCTAGAACCAGAATATGTTAATGCCTTCCCAAAAGCCTTTCCGGGCTTGCTAGATCTTACCATATCTGATAGGGCACGGTACTTGTCCCTTTCCCAAAGCTCATGTGCTTGAATAAGGAGCTGGACCTAAATTGACACTTGTATTAGACAAATGATCCAAAAAGTGATAAAATATGCCCAAGCACGTAGCTTTCAAGGTCATGAATAGTGGAACACATACTCACATCTGACTCGTCCCAACGCGCAACTCGCTCTCGCTTCCGACGGAGATGACGCATCTGCAAGCGCGCCTCGGAAGCATCTTTATTGAAATGCTGCATGAACATGTCACGGATAACCTTCCAAGCAACGCCCTGGTCTCGCAGCGTCTCTACAAACGAATCTTCATCTTCGGCCTGGGGATCACGACGTCCACGACCGGGAGCACGAGGCCGAGGCGGGATCTGTGGAGAGGGATGGCCATACATGCGCTCGAGCTCCATTTGCCGCATGCCCTCTGGGTTTGGGGCAATGTTGATTGGCTGATCACGGGTTGGTTGCTGCGACGAGATGCGTTTCGCGCGCTTGGGTGGTGGAGCTTGGGGCGACATGTTCGGCGTTCGGTCCATGCCCATCAGGGTGTTGTCTGGGGCGTACATATAGCTGGCATTTGGTGCTGAGGTCCGAGGGAATTCACTTGAGAATGGGGCGCTGATTCCCAGGCCTTGTGGTGCTGAGATAGATTCATTAATGCTGTATTGGTATTCTTGTGCATGGTAGTCCTGTGAGTGGTGACTGAGTGCTGGACTTGGCCGGAATGAGCTATCCGGGAGACTGATTGGGGTCAGGACGCTTGGTGGAACAAGAGGCTCTGTGCAATATTGGGGATTGACTCCCATGAAAGGGGACTGTAGTGTTGCACGGTCAGCTTGGTTCTGAATCTATACAAAGTCTCGACAAATTGCATACCGCGTCTATGGGCCAATTAGCCGGTATACTTTCATAGTACTCCCGCAACTCTTCCGAGCATGGGACCTCAGGACGACGAGACATGATTCTGACTGGTTGCCCTTTAAGATGAAACACGCCTAGTAAATCACCGTCCACTGTGTTGTCTGGGTGGAAGATAGACGCCGAGGCCACAGATTGTGAAACAGGAGATGAAACTCCACGCAGGGGAAAGTGTGGAACTGCAGGGGCTGGGAGAGGTAGATGGTTGGATGTAGTCTTGGTTGTAAATGTATATCAGGAGGCTTGAATCCGAGGATGTTTCTTGGGATGAGAAGATTCACATTTCCAACTGTCGACGGCTGCAGATTTTATAGATTCATCCGGTCGAGAAAAAGAGGGGTGCTTAGAGCGAGATAGATGCACCGGTCTGCCTGGTATACTCCGCTTTGAGCGATATCACAGCTGGCACCCGGGATGCCTTGTGAGGCAGGATGTGAACTGTAGTCTGGAGGTGTTAACTATAGGCTCAGAGAGCACCAAAATCGACCTCAGTACCGCCGAGGAGCGCTGTACCGCATTGGAACATGGGAAACTCCAGCAAAGACTCGACGAGGGCCTATATTTAAGCGCTGCGGATCCGATAGTCTAAGTGTTGATATCCAGCGCGGTTCCGCCCCCATCCTACACCCCGGAAGGGGCTCAGACTCTGCATTGTGAAAAGAAATTGAAGTATTTCTATGACTTCAGACCCACCGCAACGGGTCAGAAAAAGAAAAACAATTCAAATCTTTCTCTCCACTAAATCAAATTGAACAAAAAAAACCGGGGTGGGCTGTAGGGGGTCCATGTGGGCGATCCCGCTCTGGGCGCAAAACAGACAAAGCGTAGCGCTTAACGTAGTTAGATTTCATAGTGATTTGAGATTGCATTTGGCCCCCAAAAAATGATGGCCCCATAGCATGACAGTTTCTCTGATGTTCTGATGTTCTGCACGGCTGTCAGCCTTGCCTATCTCGCCTTAATGATATTTCGGCAGCCCGAGCAGCCCCAAGAGCAGCCCCCGGAATAGATGTAAATCAGTCACAGCCTTCATCTCGTGAAGACCATGGGAAGGGATCATGATCCTTCCAGGGCAGCGGGCGTTGTTCACGGGCGGCTCTCGACTGGTCAAAGGTCAATCCGGTTCTCGAGGCTGAAAGCTCCGCGAGCCGCTTGGTGGCTTTGTCCACGGAGAATTCACGACCGCTGGTTACGCGCTCATGCAGACACCCGACGAATCCCCATTATTCCCGAAGGCGCAGAAGAACTTTCTTTGCGTGGTGCCAATGATGAAAACATTGGCAGATCGTCGGATCTGGCTTGGCTCCGAGCAAATCAGGGGCTTTTTCCCGTCTCCATAGCATGTCCCCACAGAGAGAGGTGTTCGGCGCATTCTACTGTAAGCGCCAGGCGTGTCTGGACCTTGGACTCATCATCACAATGTCAGCAATTGAACTGTTGGATAAATGATAGCTCCAGGTAAGATGCATAGCTGTCAGACGCCAAGCTCGCTATGAGCATGCAGTCTAGGGTGTCCAAATTGCACAGGTCGTAATCGCCCCCAAACATTGAGGGCATGTACTGCACGTCTACAGGTTGTCAACCCCCGTCATGTGATCAATATCGAGAGTCCTTCCCACTGGGAAGTGGGCTTGGGGCCACAGGGGGCTAGTGACATCAAATCAGCCTGGGGTCACATCGTGCAACGGTGTGGCACAGATAGCCCCAAATCTTGGGGCCGTTGATATTCATTTTCTAGGCCTATCTAGACAATCCCCGAAATAGCAAATGAACATCTTGGAAAAAAAAATTTGGATATCAAACCCCTGACCAGAAGGCTAGAAAGGCGGATCTCCCGTGCAGTCCATCCATTTAGAAGCCACTGGGGGCTATGCTATGCTTCAGAAATAACGGCTTTACTGAGGTATATCTCAAGGGGCGGTAGTATGTGTGGCAAATCATCGTTAATGAGAGGTGTTGGCACGGCGCTCGTCGGTTTCCTCGTCCTCATCTCCCGAGAATCCGTCTAGGCTGTCTTCATGACGGTGACCCTTGCCGTGACCATTCTGGTCCAGCGTATCGTCAGCGGCAATGGAGATCCCCCGCGCGCCCCATCGATTGTGATTTGAGTGACTGTCCACTCCTTCCTCCTCACCCTGAAGATGTTGCTCTTCGTCTGCAGATCGTCGCGATGCCCGGAAGTTCACTACTCGGTTCACCAGCCAGCTGTTTCCATAATCCTCGGAGTCAACAACGCCGCCATTTCGGAGCTTGACGCGCTGCCGCGAATAGTACACCCAGGCGAAGTCCACATAAAAGGCGGTCTGCACAACGCCAAACACGACCGATATCCAATCATCAAAGCGGCGCTCCGTAGCCACACGCACGATCCAATTGAGGATGTAGAAGGCTCGGTACGAGCCCAGAGTGAGGAGGTAATATGAGTCGATCACCGTTGGGACAGTGGTCTGGCGGAGTAGAAGGAGTTGCGGCAATACACACACGGATTCCAGGATGATGGAGAAAGCCCAGCAAGTCTATCGGTTTGATTTAGTGAATGTTCGTAAACTTGGTTGAGAGCGTTCTTTCAACCTACCTCCATGAACCAGTTTCTAGGGTACCCGTCTCTTTCGAGAATCAGGATCGCGATGGGTGCCATTACAAAGGACCCAAGTGTGGACCACATGCCGAGCTTCCAGGCTCTCTCCCTCTCTCGTGTGCGTGGATAGACCTTGAAGATCAAGAAGATCAGGTAGAAAGACGAAATTAGGTAGAAGAGCTTGAAGGAAACATTATAAGCAGTGTGCCATGTCCCAAACCCTGACCATGTATAGGATGAGAAAAGATCGAGATAACGGAAAATAAAAACGATGCCATAGAGAAGTTGCGTGAGGAGTGAGACTCCTATAAGAAAAAAAATTGTGTCAGTGATCTCTGTATGTTAGCTCCAATCGGAGTCGATCAAGGGCGTACGGACCTTCGGCACTCTTATTCTTGTGGATTGCCCAGATCAGGACGCATACTGAGCTCAGATGGAACAAGTCACCGATGATACGAAATGCATTCCAAGAACCCATGGTTTGAGAGTGTAGATGAAAGATCACGGAGTGAAAGAGACGCGGGGGTGGGTGTGGACACCTGTCAGGCTACCACCATTGAGGTCGGTACCAAGTATCTGGCTGGGAAGGTCAAGAGCTTTTGAGTGATTCGACCTAGAGGACACCTATCCTCTGTGTATATATGGTCCAGAAAGCTTGATGAAGAAGTATAATCGAAAGGTGAAGGTACTCGAGCTGGAGTCCTGGGGGAGTTCGTTATCGGCGATCCACATGAGCTTGGGCCGCGCGTGCCCTCACGTGACACTTGACGTCAGCCCGTCGATCAACCGTTGCACCAGAAGCATGTCTATAGAAGCTTGGTAGGCTATTGTTGCCTGTTGCTTGGTTTCTCGTCATGTGCTATTCATTACCGCTTCGGATTATGTGGTCATAGTAGAAAAAATCCCCGAGCTCAACCGATATATATATATTAATCAACTTAACTTGGCACTGGTTTGCTATTAAGAAGATTTATGACATGTTTCTTGATTTCACATACAGCGCAGACACTTAAAAAGCCACTGGGAAAGTACAGTTCGAAAAGGCTGGCAAAGATGCGGGGGGCACCGAGGAACAAGTATTAGTTTACTTAGGGCACACGACTTCCATCCCCTAGCTATCTAGGTTGCTGAAAGTTAAATCGAAGCTCTTCCTAAGCTTCTAAAGTGATACCAACCAGCTAGGATTCCAGTTTAAATTGCTATATTGGCTATTTGCTCTTACGCGATTCGAGGCCTAGATGCTCCAGGTGACGCAGGTGACGCGGTAAGATTCCCAATTTGGACGATCTTGCTGTAGGATTGACAATCTCGCATACGTAGAGCGTTTGGCCCATTATGCGAAAGCCTTCACCTGGTAATAAAGTGGTACAGTCTAATAATCCAACGGGATAACATTGTTAGGCATTCAGGGAGTTTGATGAAATAAAGTGCTGATTAACTGTACTTGTGCGCCTGATATTGAGAATAAGGTACCCATTTGTCTCAAGCTAGATAGGTTCCTGGGATTGACTTGAGCGAGCCATAGTATCTGATAGCGTTAACTTCGAAACGGTCAACCCCTTCTCTGTTTATGAAAATAGGCGATGCAAGTCATAGTTAACGTAGGTATGCTTGGCGCTGTCAGTCCGCATGGGAATAATGCCGCATCAAGCGCAATTTAGTACACCTGATCTTTTGCATAAAACCTAGTCAAATGGAGAGTTTGAATGATCGCAACTTGAAACCCTTTACCCTCTCAATTGGCGATCACAAGAAGATCAGCAGTCCTTATCAGCCCTGTCATAAGTAATGGCAATTGCCACAGATTGGAAATTGACCAGGGTGGTAATGTGTGTGACAAAAGCTATGCCGGCAAGTTGTTGAGAGGCTGGACCTCTGGAATATATACACGCCTTCATTTAACCCCGCGCCGTACCTAGGCAGGAAAACTGCTGACAGGGACCTTCCCAATCCCAGAGCATGCATCTACTTGGCAAAGACTTTGCATGGGGTCAAGGGAGGGGAATAGGACTTGGTGGCTTCAGGCGAAACCGTGTGGCTGATCTAGCCCGCTAAGTCTCGGGTTGGACGGACACTTCTACTGAATATTGGCACTGCGGGATGAGCTCCCGGACCATTGGATGACTTTGCAATAATCAGGCCCTCGGGCGTGTTGTTGACTCGCATTGGGCATGTCCTGTCATCCTCGCACGGTGTTGTGAGATCTCGCCGGGTCACCGGATTCTGGAACAGGCCACTCGCGGGTCTCTTCGGCCCAAATGTCTCATGGAAGCTGCCGGACGTGCCCAGCTTTGCTTCTGCATCTTGTCGCCGGCCGAATTGGAGCACAGCACGAGCCATGATTTGTGACAGGCCCCCTGTCCGGGCATCGGTTCCTAGGCTACGGAAGAACCTGTGGAATGCACCGGAGGGGTTGGAGGCGCGTTTGAATCGACACTGACTTCTATTTAGATGCAGAATCTACAGTATATAATTGAGTATAAAGGAGTAGATGTAAGATGTAAGAAAGTAAGAAGTAAGAACAATAGCGGGGAGGTAAGAGGTTGAGGGGGTAACAAACCAAAGTAGTCAATAATCAAGAGAAATGACACTGATATTCTAAAAGAACAATTTACACATTCTAGAAAAGAAATCGAAATCAACTATTCAACTATTCAACTATTAACTATTAAACTATCAAACTATTAAACTATACAAATGCTGAATGTTGTGATATGAGGTGACTCCATCCCCGCTCTCTTCTGTCTCTGCCATTTCTCTCTCTTCTCCTCTTCTCTCTGTAACCTTGTCTCTCTCTCACTTGTCCTCTTTCTCCCTCTCTCTTCTTTTCTCCTGACCTGTCTCTCTTTCTTACTTAAGTCAACATTCTCTTCCTTCCAGCCTCATGTTCTCCCCGTATTCGGAAGAATTCGAGGTCCCCGAATCGACGCTTCGACCATGCGATTTTGACCTGTGAGCCCAACCTCCCTTGACTCTCTTCCTCTCCCCCCCCTATACACTCCGATCGGGGTCTGGAACTTCCCTATGTCGCGAGATATACCTTTCCTCTGTCGTTGTCACCCTTTGTCAGTCTGGTTCTGCCTGGGGTGCGCCTGTGTCATCGTCTTTGGTGTAACGCTTTCCGACCAAGGCGCGCCAAGTACCAGATCCTGCTAACCCCCCTACGCGGCCTTTTTGTATGTACAGATGAATCGACACAGTGTGATTGAAAACTGCATGTGTCTTTCACCATGTCGTAAGTCCCTTCGTCAGTGATCTCCGTCCGGCCTCCAGCTGTGGGAGGGAGACTGGACTGGATTTGGCACTGGGTCGCGTTTCGTCACATTTCTGCCTCACTACTCAGTGTATGATCGCTTCACTTTACTGACTCGTCGCTACCCCATCAGTTCTCCCCCGACCTCAAAGCGTATCAAGACCTCGGCCACCACCAGCGCTCCGCCTCACATGCTCGCTCAACAACAAATCCATCCTTTTCATCGTGTGCCGACCTTCGAAGGCATTCCCATCCCTACTGCGCCGATACCTACTCAACAACCGCACGGGACGTCGCGCAAGCGCCCACCTTCTCCTGCGACAGGATCGTCCATGATGGCTGCCCCCGTGAATCCGGCGGGCGGCGCGATCGAGGGTGACCCGAACGCTTTTCCGCAAGTCGAGTCCACGCCCAAGAAAAAGGGGCGGACGAATACTCCATGGACTGCCGAGGAGGAGCAACGGCTTAAGACTATGCGCGACGCAGGCCGAAGCTGGTCCGAAATCGCAAAGGTGCGCGCGCGCGTCTTTTCTAATTGAAGCTATGGGTTACTGACCTTTGTTTCTCGCCTATCGCAGACTTTCCCAACCCGTACCGAGGGAAGCGTCAAGAAACACTGGTACAAGGTACGCGATATAAGGTGCCCCTGATGATATGACGTGTCTCACTTACATTCCCTGCAGGACATGCACTACGCCGAATTCGCCGAAGATGAGGTATGATCCTGATTTCTTTAATGTTCGCCGCATCACCCGCTGACAACGCACAGTCTATGAAACTTCGGGAAGCCATCAAGGAGTATGAGGCAAACAAGTGGAAGGTAATCGGTCAGAAAGTCGGCAAGCCAGCCAAAGTGTGTATAGATGGGAACCCGATATTGCGCATTCAAACTGACCAACTTGCAGGCCTGCGAACAATATGCCAAAGAGCATTTCAAGAACGTCTGACCACTATGGCTCCTCTGATGAAGTGATGATCTCGTTTTCTTAGCATCTTTTTACGAAGTTGGCATTCTCTTCCGGATTCCCGTTCCAGAGCGATGCAAGTTACATCAATGGCCGGAGGCCACTGGTTTTACAAGGCAGATGGAGTTGGTGATCTGGATTTCTTTTTTGATCTCGTTTTCAATCCGCGCAATGAACTATGAGCATGCGCAATGCGTCGTTTTTTTGCGTCAAGGCGTTGCCCTTTTTGTTTTTGTTTTTTTTTTTTTTTTTCAAGCGCTTGGGATCTTTCTGCGCTGTGTTCCTCAATACCATATGATTCCCCAGTAACTAGGAAATTGCAAGGCAGGAAATGGCCTAGACTTCTGCACGTACATGTAGATCAATGGAGGCGGAAAAGTAAAACGCGGGCGATCTTTTTTTCTTCCCCGCGGCTTTCGGCATTCGACCCGTCTTTCCCCAACTCCCCGTGAGTCACCCATCTTCTTCAATTGTGCGATTTTGGAGATTCCATTTGGTTTCAAGGTGAAATACATATCCCATCTACTGAGACCGAGCCTGCTAACGCCATCGGGATTCACAGTGACTCGAAGGTGACACAATCTCTTCCCCAAGCCCACCGCAGTTACCATGAAGACGAGTAGTGTGGTATTGTCCGAAGATCAAGGTATATAGATGCGCCATCTGCATGGAGACCGGTGTTCGACATATTGTCGTTCTGAGAATATACGGTTGAACTTGATCTGGATAATTCCAGCGAAAGGACTCATGCGCGCTTTTGCCCCCTTCAGCAAACCAGCCATACTAACCTGTATCGCAGCATGGCCTCAGAAATCCCCACCCTAGCGGTGCATTCCAATAAGGAAGACCCGACATACGAGTCTAAGAAATCCGGCGTCGTGAGCAAGGATGCAGAGACTTATGATGAGCCCACTGCCAATCGCCACAACCCCGTCGGATCGCGATTGGGCTCGCTCCTCAGGTCGTTCGAGCTACAGCTCATCGAGTATAACCTGGAAGCGCGAGGTATTGAGCGTGTTGCAGCGCATGAACGCATGAAGCGAAACTCGTGGGTTTCGTATCTGCAGGCATTCCTACTCTGGGTTTCGATTAACCTTGCGCCCAATAACATTACACTCGGGATGCTGGGGCCTGCGGTGTATGGCCTCAATTTCCGAGACTCGGCGCTCTGTGCTGTGTTCGGTGCTCTTATCGGTTCCCTGGTCTCCTCTTGGATGGCGACATGGGGGCCTGCGTCGGGCATTCGGACTATGGTGCGTTTTACATATTGGACTGTCACATCAATTCGGAAGAACTAATTGGTGATAGGTTTTTGGACGGTACTCAATGGGCTGGTGGCCTAGCAAGATCATTGTCTTGTTGAACCTGGTTCAGATGATTGGGTATTGTTTGATTGATTGCGTCGTGGGTGGTCAGATCTTGTCTGCCGTGTCCCCAGGGGGCATGTCGGTGGCCGTCGGTACGTATGCTGGGGTATTTTGATCAAGTTAGTTGTACTGACTGATAATACAGGCATTGTGATCATTGCAGTCATCAGCTGGGCAGTGGCGACATTTGGTATCCAAGTCTTCCATTTCTATGAAAGGTTCGTTTGGAGCATGATATTGACATTTCAAGTGAGTCACTAACAGGCATTCTACCAGATTTGCATTTGTGCCCCAAGTCATCGTAGTCTGCATCCTTTTCGGAGTCTCATCGACGAAATTCGACTTGTCAACCCCGCCCACAGACGAAGATACCCGGACTATGATAGGCAACAGGTAATTCCAGAAGCCTAAAGCCCAAAATCCATACCCAAGTCTGACAATAAACACCAGGCTATCCTTCTTCTCCATCTGCCTAAGCGCCGCGATCACCTACGCCCCTCTAGCAGCCGACTTCTTCGTCTACTACCCAGAAAACACCTCACGCCTGAAGATCTTCAGCCTAACCCTAGCAGGCCTCATCTTCTCCTTCACAATGGCCCTAGTCTGCGGCATAGGCCTCGCCACCGGCATCAACATCCACCCAGAGTACGCGGCGGCCTACGATAAAGGCCAAGGCGCCCTAATCGTGGAAGGATTCGGTCCCCTCCACGGCTTTGGCAAGTTCTGCTCCGTAATCTGCGCCCTAGGCCTGATCTCCAACACTATCGCGCCCACCTACTCCGCCGGCATCGATTTCCAGATCCTCGGCCGCTATGCCGAGATGGTTCCGCGCGTGATCTGGAACACCATCGCTGTCATTATCTATGTTGTCTGTGCTCTTGTTGGCCGCAGTCACCTCTCTGAGATCTTTACTAACTTCTTGGCTTTGATGGGATACTGGGTTGCGATTTGGTTTGCTATCATCCTCGAAGAGCGCTTTATCTTCCGTCTTCGGACGGGATATAACTGGGCCATTTGGCGAGATCCGTCCAAGCTGCCTATTGGTGTGGCTGCTTTTATTGCCTTTGTTGTTGGTTGGGTTGGGGCTGTCTTGTGTATGGCTCAGCTTTGGTACATTGGACCCATTGCCAAGTTGGTGGGCGCTTATGGTGCTGATGTGAGTGATATCCCATCTATCTGTTGAGTTTCTAGTTTTTCCTTCGTTCTGATGCTAACCCTCTTGCTTATCAGATGGGAACTTATGTTGGCTTCTCTTGGGCTGCTCTTGTCTACCCGCCTCTGCGGTACATCGAAATCCACTTCATGGGTCGTTGATATTGACATGGAGGAGACATGGTTAACCTACCTGTTAAAACTCTTCTGGTATATATGGTAGACTTTGTTTGATAATCATGCATTGTATATTGATCGTTATTTACGCATTTCTGCCTATATAGCATCTTGATAGAATATTCAGAGTATACAAAAGTGATGTTAATGTTTGATTTGATAGAAACCTATGTGTTAGAATGAAACGAATGAGCATAGAATAATTGGAATGCTTTCTATAACCATAGTGCCATGGGGGATGGTATCCCACAATCGTTTCCTATGATATGATTATCCCGTTGCAACGTTGTCAGATGTCTAAACAAGAACACGAAAGATTCCACCTCACACTTCATCTACAAACACAATACCATCCATCCGAGATCGAGGATGCATATCAAAAGTAATAAAACCCCACAATACTCTCATTTTCACCCACTAGAGCACTATTCTACAAAAGAGACAGACAAGTCACGGAGACGGAACAGGGAGAGACACACGCAATAATGTTGACACTGTATTGGAATTTCCATGCCAGAACCAAAGAGGGTAGATCGTAGACCCCACGCAAGCAAATAGCGGTGTTAAACATTTACCGGTACCAGTACTCAGGCTTGACGTAGTCGGCGAAGGTCTTGGGCTCGACGTGAGGGGGTGGTGGTGACCGTGGTCGTGGTCGTCTAATGGACGGAAAGTTAGCATGCCGATTCATTTAGACAAATAGCCAGAGGGAAACATACGGGAGTGGGGGTCCTCCTCGGGTCCGACGTAGTTCAGCTTGACGACGTTGCCGCACTCCATGCAGCGCTCGATGGGGCGCTCACGGGAAACCTGAGAGGTTTGATGTTAGTCTCGAGGGGTTGGAGATGCGGCCTGGTCAGCTCGGATTGGATAGGCGGTCATACGGTCAGCCAGTTAACCTGGTGGGAGTCGACGGGGAAACCAGTGCAACCGGCATATTGCTCATCACCAGCACCGGGGACGATGATGGGATCCTCGAGTGTGCCTGTATAAAGACGATGGTTTGATTAGCTTACGTCGGTGACTTCCGAATGTAAGATCATGCGATCCGCGGGAATTTCGTCATTCGGAAATTGCGATAGAATTGTGGAAGACATACCCTTGCGGGAGGCATCAAGGGGACGCATGTCGAAAATGTCAATGCCCTGCATCTTTCCGATGAGTTCCAGACGCTCGAGACCGGTGGACTGGTCGAGATCGGTGGGAATGGTACCGGGCTTGGCGCCCGGAGGAGAAGGTCATCCTCAACCTTGATCTCTAAATGCCAGCAAGAAATAGTAGTTAGTATTATGCTTCGGGAGTATCATATTGATATAATGGCAAACTTGGCTCATCACTCGGAAAAAGTATCCACACGACCGACATCCGAGGTTCCACGACGTTTAATTGTACAAACGAGGGTGCACTGAGCGGTCGAATAGAGAATTCTCGAGCAATAAATGCCAGCTGATGGGCCATTGGTTGTCATAGGATCGGGTTCAACACTCACCATCGAAGGTCAGGATCTTGCCCTCCTGCTTAGGAGCCCACTTCTTCTCGTTGGCTGTAAATATTTCGCGTCAGTCAACGGTAGTCGAGGAATTCAATGTATTTAGGTCGTTATAGCACGCAAAAAGTCAATTGGAAGCCAATTGCGTCGGGATGCGCGGGGGTTGAAGCATGCTCGGATCATGCCATATGGGAGTCACGTACAGCGAACGATGGAGGAAGAGAAAGGGCGCTGGGCGAGAGTGAAAGCGCGGGCAGGCGAGCGCCTCGCAAGGGCGGAGGCTGTACGTTGGAGGAACATTGTCCTGGAGGAGATGGGGTGGATGACGCGGGCGTTTGGGGCAGGAAAGAGGGAGTTTGGAGGTTTGAGGTTGGGCGAGTTTGAAGCCGCTTTGGCCCGAGCGCTTGTGATTGGTTGATTGACCTGTCCAATCGAACCACAGGTAATGATGAGTCATCTTAGCTGATTGGCGGACCTTCACCTGGTGGGGCACAGAGACCAAAGACGCAGATTAGCCGTTTTAGGCCAGTTAGGGCTGCACGGGTAGGGCACGGTGGAAGTATAGCTAAAGTATAGACAAAAGACCGTTATAGCTCTAGAATACAGGCCCTTTTACCATAGAGATCCCCCATATACCATTCAAATGCGACTCTTGCTCCTGCCTTACATCTTTCGTTTCTTCCCTTGCGTCTTTCGCTTCTCTTTCATCTCTCGCTCCGGCTCTTGCACCTCTTCCTCCTGGTACTGGTCCTGGTCCTTATCTTGTTCCATCTTTTGTAACTCTTTGGCCCTTTGCTCACACGCCGCTGCGTAGTTCTTCTGTTTAACCTTCTTCGCTACGATCTGCCATCGCTCTTTCTCATACTCCCTTATTGCCGCAATCAGTTTTTGGTCCTACCATCACAATTAGCACTCAATTCGGAGAACTTTTCCATGGATATACAAACCAGTTCCGCGTCCCATTGCGGCCCCTTTGCACTTACTTCCTTGCAGTAATGTACCTGTAAGGTGCCTGGCGCTCGACCAGGGAAAAAGTCCGCAATCTGCCTCCAGGTCAACCCGTCGTCCTTGCTGCCCAGTCGATAGGGGTCCTTGCAATTATGTTTTAGCTGTCTCAAAATCTCGTCATCCTCCAGTGTGAACTTTTGCTTGAATTCGCATAGTGGCCGTGGGTCTGGCATCCCAGTCATTCCTACCACACTTTTATGGTTCGTTGGTTTATTTGTTGCTTGGGATGCATTCTCCTGCTCATCCTGTACCCCTGATAGTCGTGGCATCGTGTATTTGTGAGAACTTCCCATAGGTGGCATATATTCATTGTCCCTAAACCGGTGGGAAGGTTCGGGATTGTCCTGTATCAGTGGTGGTATTTGAGGTGATATCTCTGCCTGCAGGCTGTCCGACGTACGAGGAGTATTCCATTGCACCCAATATTGATTGTCGTATTGAGCCTGATTTTTGGTGTCCTGGAATTGGGTCGGGTGTGGAAGCTGAAGCCCAGGGAAGCGTGTAGTGTCATTAACAGAGGTGAAATGAGGTAGTAGCGACGGCAAGTGCGACGGATTCGCTTGATGGGGGTGAGTGTATTCGGTAGGCCGGTCATGTTGTTGCAGTTGGTGTGAATTGTAGTAAACATGATCGGATGTACTACCCATGGGAGCATTTTGATGATAGTCCATAAATCTTTTGTAGTATCCGGTATTGTTTGCAAGCATGTACCGAAAATGGCGGGATCTGCGGTTCCAACAAAGTCCCTCTGCTGTATGTTCGAGGACGAACGGCCAAGGGTTGGCGGAAAAAAGGGATCAATCCTAGGGAAACGAGATAGCAGCCAAGGCCTGCTGTCACATAAGAGATCTGTGGAGAGCAGACGTGCGCCTGTGGATGTAATCAGAACAAGGATAGAAACGTCCTCTAGCCCCAATTGATTAAGTGCAGACAGGATAGGGCTTCTTTGGGAATGTCAATTTGCAGGACTTGCAGCCTGAGATGTTGTTCAAGCGTAAGACATGATAGAGTAGAGAATGAGGGACTTGGATATTTGACTTCTAGAATCAAAAAATAAAAGCCGGACAAGGTATGTCTTTAAATTCAAACGACATCTTTTGGAAATCTCCAGCCTAACCAAGAGAGAGAATCCCAGGCGCACCGGTGGCCAACTGGAGCGTGCGTTACCGGCTGATTTTCACCAATCTCCAGTGAACCAGACTGCAAGAAGGAACTGTCACAGATGTCCAACAGCTACAAAATTCCTCTGTGATAGGCATCCATCAGGTTGAGTTTCATCAGTCGAAAGTTTTCAACGGGAGTGATCTCTTTTCGCACAGACATCAATTCTTCGAGGGGTTCAAGGAACTTTGCTTGTGGAAGCGGCAGGACTGCCACCAGTTTTGTTTGCAAATCCAGGGGTCAAACACGAAACAAGTTATGGACCAGGGTATGCTAGGACCATGAACAGTCAGGAAAACATGACATATGACGCCCGTCAGCCTTTAACCGGAGGCATGCGGAGGTATCAAGCAGCATCCCATTCGCCGATATGATCTTCTAGACAAGCGCTCCGTATTGCCGGGAGCAAAGTGAACAATATGGCATCTGCTGATGGAATGGTATAGGTTAGTCGAGTAAGCGAAGAGAAGCCATTTGTTCAGTGCGCCGGGTTTCCTCGGAGCCAAGACTGCGCAAGTTCAGAGGTCAGAACAGAAGAGCAGGGGTTGAAACAATGGTGATCAACCCGGCAAGACGGGATTTGCGTTTGGGCCTGAAATTCCCTCCAACTGGGAGAAGTGGGAAGGAAAGAGAAGAGGAAAAAGACAAGGGTTCAAAGCCAACAATGGGCAGTCCGGACCATACGCAAGATATCATTGGAGGAAAGGAGCAGTTTGCGAGTCAGTCACATCAACTTGTTGCGCCACACCAAGCCCGTGTTTTCTGTCAAATGGCAGTGCAGAGCTAGGATTCGGATGGACTACCGAGTTCTTCTAGGTGCATGCGGGCCGTCATCTGTCAATAACTCTGACCCTTCTGATGCATGGAAGCGGGATAGAGAGGAGTTTGTGCAGGCTTGAATGGTGGGCGATTTCGATAGTCACGCAGGTATATTTGTTTGTTTGTTGAGTTTTGCACATGGCCCTCCCGCGCATTTTGGGCGAAGGAGAAGCCCAGCTTAGATGTTGGGCTGAGTGGCTCAGCGCATATTGTTCCATGACCAGGTGGGCGCCTGCTGTAGTAAGCCTCAATCACATCGCGGCAATCCTCGGAAGAACTCATTGTCATGATTGGGGATGTGTGGCTGCCATGCCAACTAATGGATCTATATGCATTGCAGAGCAAACTGCATCCTCGTATACATGGGAAAGAAATAAAATAAAAATCATTTCACTGATAAACATGGAATGCAATTCGCCAATAACTCGTACTATACAAAAATCCACACATCTTGCTTTTCCTTTAGCCTGGGTTCTCGCTGCAATACATGAATTAAGGTTGTCGTGATACAAGCCAAATAAAAAAAACAAGTGAAAATAGTAAGAAATACAGACACCCGGGAAATAGGAACAGAAACTTTGCAACGCCTGACCAGCTGCGTTTGTTTACGCAAAGTTGTCAGACCGATCCACCCAAATATCTTCCAACTCAGCGAAGTTCTGAAAGTGCAGAGGGCGGTGTTGGTCGTCGTAGAACTTGAGCGGAGTGTCAATCTTGACGTAAACAGGCCGCTTCTCCACGCTACCGAAGGAACTACCCATGAAGCTGTAGTTCCAAATATTGTCTTCGGGCACCAAGAAGTAGCCGCGGATCTTGTCACTGAGTAACAGCTGACACTTCTCACCCATGTTGGTAGAGAAGCCCTGTGGCTGATCCGAGGTCGTGTCCTTGTTCTCAGCACCCCATTTGTAACCTTGAGGAGTCAGACCCCAAGCGGCAAGTGAGACGGACCCAGGAGTGAAGGAGACAGTCATGGTCACAGTCTTCTTATCCCAAGAGGGATGCGCGTTCATGAGTCGGGCATGATGCGTGACATCCGCTGCAGACATGTACGGCGGCTCATTTCCTGAAACCGTGTGAATCACACCGAGCGGCTCTAGGTTCTGGAGGTAGTCATGTTGTGGCAGTTGGTGCGGGAGTTGGACATCCCGGGTGTTACCAACTTGGGGAATCATGACAATGGTGCGAACCTCCTTGACCTGGTCGTTGTCTGGCGGAGAGCTACCGTAGATGTAACCCGTAACCTGCACCCGGAGATCGGCAATGGTGATGAATCGCTTGAGGACGTTCTTGGGCATGATGTAGGTGTAACCCTCGTCGCGGATGTCATCAGAAGAGACGTAGATGTTGTTAGACCGGGTCCGGAGGTTGGACGTCGCGATCGCACGAGTACGCCACTCAGTCTTGGATGCAAAGGATTGCTGCTCATACTGAGACGTAGTGGTGACAATGATGTCCTCGCCACGGGCGTTCTGGGTCTTGGTTGTCACGGCGGTGAGCTGCTTTTGCTCCTCCTGCTGCTTCTCGATCTCGGCCGCCTGCTGTCGCTGCAGGGAAGGCGCGCTAATCTCCATACCCAGGATAATATCACGGACTTCACTGCTGGTCAAGCTCTGCACGTTCACATTGTTCTTCTTGCCGTAGTCGTTCAGGATCAAATCACGCAATTGCACTTCAACCTTGATCCAATCCTCATCGGAGAGAGAGGGCCAGATGTGGTGCTCCTGGGTGATGACAGTCTTGTCAGGGCGAAGAATGATCTTGGCTTTGTCGATGTTGACGTGGAGGGCTCGGAGAATGAGGATCAGACGAGAGAAGGCAGTGTACGGGGAAATGGATTTGAGCCACTCGTCATACAAGTTAAAGAGCACCATCTGAGGTTCGGTTGCACGGAGAATCATGTCCGCCAGCTTCTCAACCTTCATAGCAGCCTGGAAGGGCAGCTGAAGCTCGGAGGCACGGATGGAAATGTTGGGGAAGTCAAGCAGGTGAACCTCGAGAGGATCAAGAAGACCCTTACGGGTGACAATGAGCTGTTTCGGTTGCTCTTCGACGGGGAGAGACCGAATAAGAGCTGCCACTTCTTCGGCTGTCTTCCACTTGGCCAACTGACCCAGACGCTTCTGGCCTGCCCAGACACTGGTGTGAATGATCTTCAAGAACAATTGTCCAGTGCGAGGATTGAAAATGAAGATTGCACCGTTGATGGGCTTCGTAGTCAGGTTACCCTCGAAGGTTTTGTGAATCGTGACACGGTAGACATTAGTGTCGTCAATGAACAACTGAATCTGAGGACTGAAGAGCTCAGAGTAGTTCTGTGAATTGAGGAACTCCTGATTGCTCTCCGAGGCATAAAGTTGCAGACCCTTGCGTATACGTTCACGCAATACATACAGGGCCGGGTTGGCCTTCATGATCTTGGCCATAGCCTGCTGGATCAGAGTTTTGAGACCTGGGAAGTATTGTCCGTAGGCTGAGAAGAGGTTGTATGCAAGATCGATACCGATCATCAAACCAGTACTGGAAGGATAGATGCTCATGCTGTCAGAGGTGTAGTCGAGGTACTTGGCACGCACATATCGTTCAATGTCATGAGAATCATAGTCGCCATATCTCAGCTGCACATCCAACCAGAACTTGTTGGTTGTAGTGGGTTCATAGACATCCTTGGTGTCGAATACCAGGGAAGGCCGAGTAACGTTCCACTTATTGGTCGCGAAAAGGAGGATATCCGCACAAGAGCTGTTCATCTTGTAGGATTTACGCGGGTGGATAGTCTCCTTTTGAACGGCTTCGATACCAAGCTGCTCCAGTTCCTGGTCCAGAACCTGACACAGATCCATAACAACGGACTCGTGAATCTTTTGCCACAAATGGGCACGGAAGATCTGAATCAACGAGATCTTCAGCGTTGGGATCTTACCGTGTAGGAAGATACCAGTAAGATCCAGTTGAACCTGGAAACCGACATAGACGTTCGCGCGGTTGATAGTCGGAGACCACCACAGAGTAAAGCGGCGGTTCGGAATCTGGTTCAGACCAGACCTCTGGGCATTCGTGAGCTTTTTGAACTTCATGCTATTGGAAAGTTAGCTCAAATATCATTTAGAAAGAGATGAAACTAATAAAAGCACTTACCTCTCTTCGAAACCACTGGCTCTCTCCCAAAGAGACCCTCCCAGGACGGAAAAGCTGTCGCTTTGAATAGGGTGTGCTCCAAAATAGTTTCTACTCCGCCAAGTGCTTGAATGACGTCTGTGCGGTAGGCGTTGAGATTCCAAAGTTTACCATCATGTCGCTGACTCGTCCACCAGAACGGATTGCTCTTCATCAGCTGGTACTGTTTGAACTCCGCACGGAGTCGGAAACCCTTGTCGAAGCTGAGTGTGCTTCGATCCTTCTGGAAGAGGGTGTTGATACGGGGAAGACCACGATCCCAGCTGTCTTCCAGATCCTCCAGGGTCAAGCGGCGGTTTTGCTGCTGAGCCTCCATTCGCTTTTGCGAGTACTCCATCCACACACGCTGGGAGTCAATGAATTCGGCCTCCCAGGGAATGATGTAGCGGAAGATGTTCGGAATCAGGGTTTCTTCGTCGTGAGACATACCCGCTCGGAAGTGAGTAATGCCAGTATCTGTCTGCTTAGACCAGCGCTTGTCACTGGTGGGAATGAGGATGTGAGATCCCGAGATCATACCGAGACCACCAAGCTCCTTGGGTGTGTAGAAGACCGCAGGGGGAAACGAGACGGCATCTTGGAGTTGAGACCGATCTTGACACGAGTCTGGATTTTAGTCTCACATTTCACAATGGTGTCGAGAAGGTTGACGGTCGACACAGCAGCCTCACGATAGTATGTGAAGAGAGCAATCAGGGCAGTGTTCCACTTATTGGCAATTTTGGTGAAAGTCGTCGAACCGGAGGACATGAGTATTTGTCGGATACGGTTGTTAAACTTCTGAATATCCTCTTCGGTGACCTGGAGGAAGGCATGCGCCGTGCGCTCCTTGGTGGAGTTATCGACCAGAGACCAGACACTGTCCTTAACGGAGAACTCCTCATTCATGTTCCGAATCTTGGGAAGAATGCGAACTTCGAAACCGTTCATGGAGAACAACAAGTTGGGGTTGTCCTTGCTGTACACGCTAGCGAATGTATCATCCCAGTCAATGGTGGTGATAGATCTCGGGAGACGATTCTTCATGTCCCAGAAGACAGCACGACCAAGGTTGACATCGTGACGCATCAAGCGCATACGACAATCGCGAGGCCAGCACTTCTTGTTCTTATAGCCAATGACGTTTTCGAAGTTAGGGTCCGGATTTTCGGTCAAGAAACGTTGAATCAAATCGCGCGAGTCATCGGCCTGGAATCTGAAGAAGACCCAGATCTTGTCGACGTAACGTGTGTAGAGACGGATGGGGTGTCTAGTCTCGGTAGCACGGTCCCTGAACTGCAAGAAGTCGTTGGGGCTTCCAGGAGGACCAGCCATTTCGCTGGCTCTCTGCAGACCAAGGAGCAACAAATCGATCATCAAACCGTAGTATTGGAACACGAAGCCCGAGAACTGAAGACCTCGGATAAGACCATAACTGTTGGTGTGGTTCATATCCTTGTAGCTGAGCTGAACATTGTTCTTCGAGGTGATGTAGTCAGCCAAGTTGTGATCCATGATCAAACGCAGCAGTCGGTTCAACAAGGTGAGATCAATCTTTTCGTAGACCTTGGAAAGCTCGGTTTCGATCATGACGTTGGTCTCTCCCTCGGAAGTTTCCCACACATTGGACAGGTTATTAATACCTTGGGTCCACTTGTAGGTCAAAAGAGGAGGAACTTCAGAGTCGGAGGGCTTGATCCAAGCAGGGAAGAGATGGCGCTGCTCAGCCTGGTACCAGAGATACTGGTCTAGGTAAGCATCGGTAATCTTTTCGATGGGCTCGATGTCGTAAACGGGGTTGATGTTGTTGTAGTTGTCATTCATGTCGATCTTGACCTCCTTGAAGGCTCTCTGTGTCAGAAGGAATCGCTTGATTCGTGCCAATGTGGTACCGGGAGAGTCATAGGCCTGCTCGATGAGGGCCAATTCCTCTCGTTGACTTTGATTCAATCTTCCCTTGACAGAATAAGACTCACGCAGCCGCTCGAGGGCAAGGATCAAAATTTTGGTGTCGTGCTTGTAGGAAACACTGGGGAAGGGAATCGGAGAGAACTTGCGAGACTCCAGCCAGTGAACCATTGTGGTGTAGATCGCAACGGCTTCCTCGGAAGAAACATAGGGACCATCTTTCAGATAGTTGTGCTGGCGCTCTTGCTCGGACTTGAGCCAGAGACGCGTAAGACGACCCAGGTTCTTCTTTGCAACGGTCTTGTCGACGGTTGCACCACGGCGAATTCTCTCTCGGTTGTAGTGGGCAACAGAAATCCACCAGTCCGCCTTGCTCTTGACGTATCGAAGGATGATGTTCTCAATGGGAGCAGGGAGACCAGGGACCTTCCAGGGGATGTTACTCTTCCAGCACCTCCAAGCCTCGGACAAATGTTGCAAGACAACGTTAACCTTATTCTGCTTGATACCCTCGGGCATCATGTCCATAAGATCGGCCATGACGGAGGCACGCAGTTCCAGATCAAAGTGAGATTCCACACGCTGCTTGGTGACGGTCTTGGCGACGCCCTTGCTGTGACGACCCTCAAACTGACGAGAGAGCAAGTTGCCGAGCCAGCGCTCCAGCAAAGGAATAATACCACGCATGAAGAAGAGCCAGACTCTCCAGGCTGGGGCCCAGAAACCACAACCAGGTCCCTTACCGACAGGGCCAGAATTGAATCGGTAGTAGATCAAATGCTTCAGGTCTTTGCAGGAACGGATCTGGTGCATAAGCTTGTACTTGTAACGGTACATACCAGTGAGTTGACCCACATGGTTGAAAGCATACAGAATACCATCTGCAAGCTGGAAGGCATCGATGTTACCCAGACGGTATTGGACCTGGGCGTCGACAATCAACTTGGTCAAGCGAAGAATCTCTCGCATCAAGTGGAAAGCGTTTCCGAAACGAGACTTCTTTCGCTCCTTGGTTGTCAAAGTCTTGACAGGCTTCAAGTTGAAGTTGTAATCAAGATGGAGATAAGTCAAGTTCTTGCGGTGGATCAGCAAGTTAAGCATGTTGAAACCCTGGCGACAGACTTGCAAACCGGCCTCGACCCAGTCGATGGTTGTTTGCTGGAAAAACTTAGTCGTCTTCAGAGTCTTCATGAGGTTCTGTTTGCTCTGGGCCTTGGGTGTGCTCTTGTGTAGCTCATTCAAGACGTAGCTCTTGAGCAGCTTTTGGTAAGAGACCCGGACCTTCACGGGTTGACCCTGCGGGCAGTGCTCCAAGTACCATTGCTTGACCAGTGGCACGTCCTGTGCACGAACCATTTTACCGGACCGCTTATCGAATGGGTGAGGGGCCCACCACAGGGCGATGGCGGACGCGGTGTCGGGTGTGTAGAGTTCCTCCTCGTCAAAGAATGGCTCGACCTCACCTGGCAGCTCAAATTCGTCGTCTTCATTATTGCCGGGTCCGAAGATTTGGTCTTCGTGGCTGACTGTAATATTTTTTGGTGCGACAGAGCGGGAAGAGATGGGGTTGATGACGGGATCGAAGTAGAAAGCGGGGAGGTTAGGGTCTTCGGTGCGAACATAGACCACTTGGGGGTGAGAATACCAAGCGACTTTGACACTTCGGGGTAGGGTGTTGTACAGGAAGGGGAAGGTGACTCGGTATTCGGTCCGAATTGGGGCACGGAAGATGATGCGGTCAATGGCGTTAAACTCGCTGAAATCCTCGTCGTTAGGGTCAATGTCCTTGTATAGAGGCTCAAAACGGGGACCACCAGGAATGGCGACGTTGAGGGCCTTGGCAGTGAAGAAGCTGTTAAGGTCGAACATGTGATAGTAATTTTGGTCGACGACATCACTTAGAATCTGGTGACTGAGACGATGAAGAGTCGCCATCTGGGGAAGGGAAAGGTTCCACTTCTTGTAGCTCGGGCCATTGACATGGGGTGTATCGAGGAGGGGGCGGTGGTCGTAGAACCATTCGTACACAGCCGCATCTTCTTCCTCGTCGAGCTCCATCTGAATGGGTTCCAGCGGCTCAACATCTTCAATATTTTCCGACCAAGAAAGAGGCGGTTCCTCGTCATCGAACGGAGGGAAGCGCATACGCTTGAAGTGTCGGCGATCGCTCTTCTCCCGACGCATGCACATCCACATCGTTGCCCACTGGGCGTGGAAGACAGGCTCGATGACACGCGGTATCTCGTTGACCAGAGTCAGACATCCGTTGACGTGATAGAGGACCTTGACTTCTCTTGCTGACTCCCAGGGCATTGGCATGTTCTCCAATAGCTTCAATACGGCATGAGGCATGAACTTGAGCGCGCCGAGGTAGCTACGCTTCTCGTTGGTGAATTTCTTCTGCGAGACATCACCGATATCTCGTACAATCTTTCGCAAATGCTCTGGAGGCATGTCCGCCTTTTGTGTTTCAACAAATCCTCCCTTGCGCTTCTCGCCGAATCGATTGCGTTGCGTGCGCAGCCATTCGTTCTTCTTCTGCGCAAATTTTGCGACGGTCGGGTCGGCCGGCGGCTGATAGCCTGGCGGCGGCGGCGCCAGCGGCATGGAAGGAGCTGCACCCCATCCTGGGGGAGGAGGAGGTGGAGGCGGCAATGAGGCCATGATGGTAATTGATGGGGGAAAGCCCACCCTCCCTCGTAGATGTTGCGTTGGTTTCAAGTCGCGTTAAGCCACGTCGGAGGTCATAGGTAGCACGACTCTCAGCTGGGAAAGTAATTCCAACTGGAGGAGAAGACACCAACAAAGGTGGAAGATAATAATTAAGATGAAAACGCGACAAAGATCGAGATCCACGATCCCCTACGCGATGTGACTATCTCTGCTCCTGTCTCCCGTTGAACTTTGAGGTGGCGGCTCCGATTGACACTAGTCCGCATTGGGGCTAGCGCAACCTCGCCAAATCTGCGCTAGCGTCGGCTGAAGCAGAAACCCACACAAACCGTCTCGACATATTTCACTTTGCTTCACGACAACTCCGACAACTGCCGCCCTTGACCAGTTCAAGTACAGTCAAAATGACCAACAACAGACTGCAATACGTGAGTTCTATTTGAGATCTTGATTTGGGAATTATTGTTCTAACCCTATCGCAGCGCCGCCGGAACCCGTACGTTTCAAAATTCCCTCCAGACGAAGAATGCCCAATTCCACGTTTCCTACGATAGTCTGCACGATCACTATGAAGACGGGCCTGCTTTTTGTTCGGACGAATTATTGACGGTTCTTTTTTCTCACTCGATAGGTACAACACGCGGTCCAACAAGGTTCGCATCGTCAAGACCCCCGGCGGCGAGCTCCGGTACCTCCACCTCAAGAAGAAGGGTACCGCTCCCAAGTGCGGTGACTGTGGCATCAAGCTCCCCGGTGTGAGTGCTCCCTGACGCCTTTGGTGCAATTTTCGACGGTTTTGTGGGATGTGTGCGGTTACGGGTGGGCCAGACGAACGACCTGGAAAACTCTGTCTGGATGGACTGGGGTACCAATGACTGGCCGACCAAAACGCTGCACGCTCTCTACGACCGTCTCACATCAATTTTGGAAGTCCGATCGCCTGACAATTTTGATTTTTAGGTCCCCGCTCTCCGTCCCCGCGAGTACGCCCAGATCTCCCGCCCCAAGAAGAATGTCAGCCGTGCCTACGGTGGTTCCCGCTGCGCTGGCTGCGTCAAGGACCGCATTGTCCGTGCCTTCCTGATCGAGGAGCAGAAGATCGTCAAGAAGGTCCTCAAGGAGTCCCAGCAGAAGGCCGGCAAGCGCTAAGCGTGCTTTCTGTCGGTGTTGTTCTTTCGGTGGAGTGAATGTTACGGGAAAAACGGCTGGGAATGGTTCTCTTAGAATCCTAAAGATGAACAGGAACAGCTAGCACGCGGGTCCCAAAAAAAAGGCCCACTGCTATGCAAATGAATCAATTTCATTTATCTTCATGAGTGATTCCCAAATATGTCGAATTGAGTTGTCTGAAACGGTGTTCTTTTGAACCTAGGTGGAAGTTTCGCACTCATCTATTCCGACTCGCAACTGTTGTAGTCGATCTGCCATGACACGTTGGGTAGGTCTAGAATCTGGATTGACGCCTTTCCAGCTGGCACGGTCCTTATGGAAATTCACACTATAGTACCGTCTTGGTCTCAGTCATAACGTAGTCGGTGGGTAAAACAATGGCGTGCTCTGCGTTGGTCATTGCAGGCATTGCATTATCTGCCTGATATTGAACGTACTTCTCGGCGTCTCGGCCTCAAGCTATACGATACCTGCAGTGACGCCTTCCATTGCGTCTACGCGTGATTTGGAATCCACGTCAAGTAGGTGATCAGACTTCCGTTCCCCGGGGTGAATATCTTCACCGCGATAAGTATGGGTCCAATTCACGTCACCAGAAGCCAGTCTCTATGCTAGTTTCTCCCCTGCAACGCAGTTGTACGTGTAATCCTTGTTTCTTGCCTTGGTCGGAATACAGCCAGCACAGCAGCCGCCTGCCTCGCAAAGCGGTTGCAGGTCATCTCGAAACCCTAGAAGCGGAGCAGTAAATTATGTCTCCGTAGTATGGACAGGGTCTTGTTACAATGGGGACCTCTTGTCCGTAAAGTTTGACCCTTTTGCGGATTTGGATCTTGACTAGCCATGCAGCCAGCTTTAGGGTTAATGACACCGCTTGTTGTCAAGAGGGTTTCAGGGCCTTGGATCTAGACATTTCCAGCCAGTGCTTTTGGACTTCACGTTGGAGATTTATATTTGTTAGTATTAATGTTGCAAAAAGCAGTTTCATCGCCAGTGAATATAAGAAATATTGTCAGGATATACGCACTCGCAGATGTATATCAGGTGGCAAGAGCCGCACAAGTACTTTAGTAACCAGAAGAAACTGTTGTTAATAGCATCGTATCGGAAATGAATTTAGACACGATTAATATATCGGCATGACGCCTCCTAGCTGCTGATTCTCTCTTGACTTGCCGTTTCGAGTAGGAGATTCATCCCTGCAGCAGCATTGACCTGCGTGAGGCTGCAGACGGGATTGGTTGCAGATACACTGAACAAATGACCATATTAAGTATGGTTCTGTCTGTCATTCTAGGTACAGCTACATACAAGTAACGTTAATACATTTGAACTACGTTCATTTGACTTTAAGGTTAAAATGGAACAGAGACATAGCATTATGCTCGGACATACTTTGTGGCTTTTCTAACCACCCGCTACACAACATGGCGTGCGACGACCACAAAAGATCTCGTTCTCAAAAGAGATCTATCCTGTACTGCCAGTCTAAACTTGGTCGGTCTCTGCCAAGAACGAAAAGGAAAAATGAAGCCGTGTTGACATTTCATGTCAAAAAGTACCAATAGTACCAATAAACATCGATCCCTCCACTTCCGCTGTTCTACTAACTGTACGAACGCGCATATACATATAATCCCGTGGGACCACACAATTTGTCCGAATCTCGGAGCCTCTAAGCGATTTATAGATTAAGTCACCGGCCTAGGTGCCTTTCTTTTCTTTTCCTTCCTTTTCTTTTCCCATGTCAAACAAGAAGAAATTCTGGCGGTTGGATCCACCCAAAGCCCGGGGATACGGCTAACAGCAGACAATGGGATCGACCGACGAACACCCAAGAAGCGGTCAGGCGACTGTTATGTATCGAATTACTTCAAGGGCCTCCCGCTGCGAGTATTTGTGGAACAAGAGCGCATGAACAATTGACAGCTGTTGAACCCCGGCCCGCTCTCCCACAGATGCATAACAGGTGAAGTTTGTGCTCATTATCCAAAGACTTATGTAATAGTCGGGCTATAGAAGTCGTTACATTTGTATTTTTCCTTTGTTGCAGCTGATGCCATAACCACCAATATCTTCCAAGCAAAGAAAATCGAATTTACAAGTCCGAGAAGCCCGGCACCCAGCAGACTGGACATCCTATCGGCCAAACAGGCATGTACCAAGTGACAGGCATCAAACACAGCCTTTTCGTACCGACATCGATCAATTGATGTCATGAAGATCGAAAAATTGGAAGATCTACCCCTTTTTGCTTTTCTTTTTTCCCTTGAAGTAGTCGATAGATCGAATTCGATCTGGAAAAAACCAGCTGGGCTCGATTTGGCAACTACAGTGCGATAATTTGGGTAATATAGTTGGGCTGTACCTGATTTTCCTCGCTCTTGAAATTGAGGCTATAGATGCTGACTGCCTCTTCCCTGCATTGGAGCGGCGCCGAAGATCTTAACTCATTCACAAGGCTGCGGTATATCGGCTATGCATATCTACAGCACCAGTAGGCATGTACCGACCAAATTAAAAGAGTAGGTCATTGAACAGCGAACGTGAAAGAAAACAGGAATTTGCAGAATACAAAGAATACAAAGGTCTACTACATAAGGGGCGGGCTAGCTGTCGAAATGTTGCCACGATCGCAGAGAGACCCGCCGTCTTTGGTCTATTGGCCACATGTGCAGTGTGCACATTGCTAATATAGATAAGATTTATTCGGATGTCACCGCTTTCTTCGACAAAGGGAGCTAGCCTCGTCACTAGGTATTACCCGTCGGTTAGACGGCCACCGTCACCCACGATTGACATGTAGCTAACACGAACATCTGTCGAGCAACTGGGTCGCGAGCTAGTGCGCACTGCCGTTGCTAAAAGATCTCATGCCTAATCAAGACTAGCGAAGGCCCATGTGGACGTCAAAGAAAACTATGCAACAAAAGCCCACATAAATAGAACCCCGTATGATATTGGCCGTTAGGGTTAGGTCAAGGGTAATATCGACCTCGCAGCCCTCGGAGCCATCCTCCAATAGCCAGCAAAATCAAATTAACCTCTCCCAAAAATAATTAAATAATACCGGCACGGTCCGTAGGGAAGCTTTGGAAACTACTGCAAAGCCCACTAGTAGGTGGGCTTTCCCGGCCATATTGTGACCCGCATTGCAGCTGTCACCTGTCTAAGGGTGTACAGGTACAGCCTGTACGTAAAATTTTACACCTACATGCCTTTCCACCGTGCCCTCACGACTCCCGTCTCCGTATATGCAAGTTGCTTTTTACCCAGGTAGGTATACGGAGGTATCAAACTAAGTTACCTTGTATAGAAGTGGAACGATCTACCCTAACCACCCCTGCTCAACCATGCAGATCGTGCACGATCTACTTACCCCCGAGCTTTTGATTCTCTGTTCGATCTATCTCTGTTCGATCTATCTCGTACATGCTTTTTGGGAAGGACTCCAAATACCGAGGCTAATGCCGCTCTTGTCACCCGTGTATTGTCGATCTATCTATCACGCCAGTTGGTCGCGACATGACCGGGGACATTACACTAAGGCGTTGTTTTGATTCATGTGCGGAAGTAGTCCCCCTCCCCCCTGAAACTTGATCGCGGAATGTCGTCGGCATAACTTGAAAACGGTATGTTGTCCCTACGTAGTATCTGTCGGTCTGGTATATCCCCTTTCATATATGATTGACTTCTTTGTGACCTTGCCAGGGGTTCTCTGTAATGCGATCGAGTGAGTCAACCTTAATCCATGATCTATACAGAATACCAGGCAGACTCGGGGCCGTGAGTCCCGCCTTTTTAGGTCACCCGAAAGTGGAAGT